GACACCTATGCAAGGTCGTCCTATTGTTCCTTCTCACAGTTGGGTCACGACTGGTTTCTCTACTTATATTGATACAGTCTTACAAAAAGTACTTCCACACTTGCCCTATATTATTAAAGATACTAAATCCCTTGTTAAATCACTTGATGGAATTTCTATTCCTCAAGACGAAAGACTTTTATGGCTAGTTACTGGTGATGTGTCTTCAATGTACACTAATCTACCTACTACCCCATATGCTTTCGATGTTATTGCTAAAACTGTTGACAAATATCTTCCTCTTTCTCCAAATGATACTACCCTTATCAGAGAAACACTCAAGTTTGTCATGAGCAATAACTATTTTACTTTTCAAGGAATACCATATCATCAGGTCTCAGGTATTGCTATGGGTACTGCATGCGCTCCTGCTTATGCAAATATCTTGATGCATCATTTCGAAGAACGTTTCTTTGAATTTAATCCTGATTTTACTCTGATCTTTTATGGTCGATATATCGATGATATCTTTTTCATGTTTAAAGGTTCTGAACAAGAACTTAAAACTTTCTTGACTACTTTTGATACCAAACGTGCTTTTAGTAATCAATTAAAGATATCTTGGGATTATTCAACTACCTCTGTTAGTTTTCTTGACCTTCAAATTCATGCAAAACATAATAAAGTTGAATTATCCACACATCAGAAAATGCTTAATAAATACTTGTACATTCCATTCTCTTCTTATCATCCCAAAGATAATAAAGTTGGTTTTATTAAAGCTGAACTGATCAGATATATTCGTAACAGCTCTTCCTATCGAAGTTTTGCTAACACTGCTAAACAATTTTTTACTCGTTTACGACTCCGTGGTTACCCGCCACGATTCTTAATCTGGGTCTTTAGCCAAGTGCGTTACGATGACAGACCGAAATATCTAGAAGATGCTCCTCTTAGTACAGATAATACTCTTGTTCCTTTTGTTACAATGTATAATCCTATTTGGGAGACTCCACATCTTCGTAAAGGACTTAGGGAATTTTTTACTTTAAATCCACACTACAGACCAGTAGTTGCTTTTAAAAGAAATAAAAACATAGCTGATTTATTAAATCGTGCCAATGTACGCAAGTTAACGGGAAAACAGTTCCATTCATTACAACAGGATGGACTTTGTTGGATTTCGTCTAAAAAACGTAAACCATAACCCTTACCCTATCCCTAACCCTAACCCTAACACTAACACTAATGTTGATACCTCACACCAACACTAGTGCTTTAAAAAATTTGACCATGAAAGACCCCTCTTGGCCTCATGAAGAACAAATTTTTCACTTACCTTACCCTTACTTACACTGTGGACATTCCTGGTTGTAAGATCCTGATCATGCTTTCTATTAAAAAAAAGAAAACTGTCAGAATAACTCCTGAAATCTGCTCATATTTTACCTTGTAATTACCTCGGACTTGTTCTGTGGGACAGCGGCTTCTCTTATGGGAAGGGTTATAAGTAGTAAAATATATAGAGTGTTTTCAAAATAAAAAATGTGGGCGATAAAAATCCCCAATTTTTTCCAGGGTATTTATATTTTTTTCACCATTAGTCTCGGCACTTAACACCGAGTCTAAAAAAGGATCTCGGCACTTAACGCCGAATCTAAAAAAGATCTCGGCACTTAACGCCGAATCTCGGCACATAAACGCCGAATCTCGGCACATAAACGCCGAATCTCGGCACATAACGCCGAGTCTAAAGGGATCTCGGCACTTAACGCCGAGTCTAATCTTCCCTTAAATTTCCGGATCACGTCTTTCACCCGACTTATTCCGACTTTCGTGTGAAAAAATAATTTTTCAAAAAGATATATAAAGAGCTAGTATAATGCACCTGAAGAAGCTACATCTCTTGTAGCGAATAGATTCAATCTAAGTGTCTCTAGACTCTCAACTTTGTTGCTTCTTTATCGGTTTTTTGGATATATTCTTATTTTTATTCCTATCTAACCCTAACCCTAACCCTAACCCTTATCCTAATACTAATCCTAACCCTATCCATAAGCCTATCCCTAATCCTATGTATATTCCTAATCCTAATCCTAAGCCTGATCCTAATCCTAGCTCAAACTATAATCCTATCTATAAATTTAATACTAATCATAATTCTATATTTAACCATACTTTTAACCTTAATCCTATCCCTGTTTCCTACCCCTGATCCTGTTCCTCTCTTTAATATTTAATCCTAATCCTTACCTTAATCTTAGCATTAATCCTAATCATGATCATAAACCCTGTCGTTAATTATATTCCTATTCTTAATCATAATATTACCCCTATTCTTATCTCTAATCTTAATGTCAATATTAATTTTAACTATGCTTTATCTTTATTCGTAACTCTATTATTAATCATTATTCTATTCCTAATAGTGCGTATAAATTTATCCCTAATCTAATATTAAATATTAATCCTCTCCATTGTCATACTTTTAATCCTAATATTAATCCTATCATTATCATAATCTTAACCCTTGTCATAATATTATCTTTATCCTTAATCCTAATTATTCCTATAATTAACCTTCTATTCCGATATTATCCCTGTTCCTATCCCTGTATATAATTTATTCCCGTTGTTTTTTTTTTTTTTTTTTTGTCTCTTATTCAATTATTGTATCTTATCTGATGTAATATGTGTTGTTTTATTCATTAATTATTGTATCATTCTTTATGCTATGTATAATTATCTATTATTCCCTTATTTATATGTTTTTATTATGTGTATTTATTCATTGTATCCTCGTGTTTGTGAAATGTTATTATGCATTTATGTGTTCTATTTGCTATACAAATATCATCCTGTTCGTTGTATAGTGGTAATTATTATTCTCTGCTATGGTAATGTATTCGCTCCGCTATGGTAATGAATTCGCTTTTTATTTTCTTTTATTTATTTTTATTTTTTTTTTTTACTGTTCATATTCTCTCTTGTTTGTTTTTTTTTTCTTTATCTCTGTTACTATTTTTATTATTTCTTTCTACTTTGTCTATTTCTTTTCTCTACCCCTTTCCCCTTTTCTGTCTTTTTTTGCCTATTCTTCTCTCCTTTTCTGTGTTTTTTTTCGTAGTTTCTTCGTCCTTTCTCTTTCTATAATTCTTCCTATTCCATTTCCTCGTCTCTGTGTATTTTATTCCCTATCCCTTCCCTTTTTTTCTTGCTTGTTTCTCCCTTCTCTCTGTATATACTTTCTCTGTTTTTGTTATTCTCTCTTTCCGTTCTCTCTACCCCCCTTTCTCTGTCTGTGTTTTTGTCCACCTTTCTTTTTTTCATATATCTTTTCTCCGTTTTTTCTTTGTTTGCTTGTTCTCCCGGTCTCTTCTTGTGCTTTATCTTCATATTTCCCTTTTCTGTTCTGCTTATATTCTTTATCCTCCTTCTCGAACCTTTTTCTTTTCGGCTTTTTATCTCTATTTATTCCTTTCTGTTTCTTTATCGCATTTTCTTTCCTTGACATTGTTTCTTTCGCCTTTCTTTCGCCTTTCTTTTATGTTTGCCTATTTTCTTTTATGTTTTTTTTTGATTTACTTCTCTTTTCGCTTTCTTTGCTTCATTCCTCTTTTTTTTTGTCAATTTATTCTTACTCTTTTCTTTGCTTCTTATTCTTTACATTACTTTCATTTCTTTCGTCTTTTTGCTTTCCTACCATCTCTTTTTATATATCTTTTTTTTCTTTGTCTTATACATTACATTCTGTCTTTTCATGGGTTTCTTTGCTTTCCTTTATTGATTTTGCCTATTATTTGTACTTTTTTTCCTTACTGTCTCAATTTTTCTATCTGTTTTATTTTATTTACTCTTTTGCATTCTTTTCTGTTTATTATTTTTGTTCGATTTCTCTCTCTTTCTATGTATTTATTTTTTATCATTTTAATTCCTATTTTGTCGGATTCTTGTTTATCCAGTATTCGTTCCCATACTTGTTGTTGCTTCTTTTCTTATTATCTCAGTCTCATCCTTTCCCTTCTTTGTTCTTTTCTTAATATCACAACCTTTTCTTATTCTTTTCATTGTTGCTTTGTTCTATTCTGTTTTGATTTGTTTCTTTTAATTGTCACTATTCATTTTTTTATCACATTCCCTCTTTTATATATATTCTTTGTCTAATATCCCAATCTCTTCTTGTGGTGTTCTTACTTTTTGTCTAATCCCTCCTTTTTTTTCCCTTGTTCATTCTTTTGTCCTATTATATCAACGATTGTTTTGTCGGGTATCATATTGAAAGCCCATGATAAGTTGTATCTTGTTCATCATTTTCCTCAATTGCTATTTTTCATTACTGATGAGTGATGTTGATGACTTATTTAAGATTTGTGATAACATATCAAGAAAGTGTAATGCTAATTAACCATTGACGCTTGATAGCATATTTATAAGTTGGCTGGTGCTCTCTTACTACTGTTAAGAGCTTTTAATATTTTTTTAATAGTAAAACTGATATTGATTATAACAGTTTAATGATATAATGATTTTAAACTATTTTTTTTACTAATTATTCCAGAGCACGCTCTATGTAGTGGTATATATGAGACCGCTCAGTGAAGCAATCTCTGGTGAGATAATAACTGGATAACATTTTCTATAAGTTCGCATACGCGAACTGGGCTATCTTAGGCTACTTTCCCCTATTTTTCAAACACCGAGCTCCTCGGTGTTTGAAAAATGTTATTAGGAATGATATCTCATGTATCAAGGTATCTAAGCGCCGTGTGTCTTGCTTCTGATTGGCCATTCAAATGATACCTGTAGTAATAGGATATCCTATTCTTATGTATCACTTACACTTTGTTCTGATTGGCTTTTAACATTATGCCCATGGTACCATTTCTCGACGACTCACGCCGTGAGTCGTCCAGAAATGATATTAGGATATATTTCTTCATAATTATTATTTTTAACCACCAACGATATTGCATTTATGTCTACCAACCCATAAATACTTGGATGACTGGACCGTTCAGACAATGATTGCACCCGGCAAGAAGGCTTCAGTGGATCTTGAAAGCTACTTGGCTATTTTTGTGGACGAAATTCGTGATCTTTGTGAACATGGCATGCTGGTTCGAGTGAATGGTGGTGAAGTTGCCCGAGTAAGCGTTCATTTGGCAATGGCGACTGGCGATCTTGTAGAAGTATCACATTTGATGTTGCATGGAGGAGTCTCCAGTCAGTTTGGCTGTATGAAGTGCCTCATAGACACACAAGGAGGCCAATGCTTTACTCGCACAATCAGAAATTTCCAATACAGAACTCTCGAACAACTGAAAGCACCACTGCCTGTTGGCGTAAAACATGTGTTTGTAAGTGAAGCGATTTCATTAAACAATCATGTATAGTTCTTGTACCAACCATCATCTCTTCTATAGAACATCAAAGGACCATCCATATTTACCACTCTCAAGTCTTTTCCTGCCAACCCATCGTTCTACGGTCTCGACACACTTCACCTACTGAGCATTGGATTAGCTAAGCATTTGTACGAGCTCTTGTCTTCTCCATTGCATCCATCCAAGTTTGATAACCGATGCAAGCCCTCTATCGAAGAACTGAAAGAAGCAAAGCTTGATAAAGCAAGTGCCTGGCCTTACACCTTTGATTTAGATCCCGAAGTTCTGGCAAAGATCGGTCAGTATGTGGCTCAGTCAAAGAAGACCATTCCAACTACCTTCAATGCACCAGGAGGAGTTACCAACTACCGAGCAGTTGACTATGAAGAGTTTATGATTTTCATTGTTCCAGCCCTGATAGCACCACACTATCCTGACTCAATCAGAAAACCTCTTCTGGGTATCGTTAAAGTGGCAGCTTTGGTATTGCAGAAGAATGAATTGCATGCTTCAGACTTACAATTCATAGAAGCGTAAGTATTGGCATCTTGAATAACAAAACCCGTTTTATCCACAGACTAACGACTTCTTTCTATCTCTGCACAGTAAGATTAACGATTGGCACAAACTGCTGATCACTGAAATCAAAGCCAAACGCCTTCCTATCAAGACCTTTCGACCAAACGCCCATTATTTAGGACACTTGACTTACCTGATCAAAGCGCAAGGTTTACCGGCTTCGACTTCCAGTCGATCTATCGAAAGATCCATCGGCAGGTACAAACGCTTGATAAGTGCTCGCACAAATGTTGGTATAAATGCCGGAAACATCATTGATCGTTTGGCAATTATGCGAGCCATCAAGGCATCTACAACTGGTGATGGTACAGGCGATGGTGAAGACAAACTAAATGATCTGGATGCTCGAATCAATCTCTTAGTGCCTCGACGATACGATCCAACTACCTTCGTAAATCTAAAGAATGACAATGGCAACGGAAGTCAGCTCTGGTATCCAGTCATCCACACAACGGTTTCAAGTATCCCAACCTCCGTCAACGTCAACACACCTCTTTTTGTCAAGGCTATACAGTCCTACCACGACCGGCAATACTCGACTAATGTTCTGCAGAATGTCGGTATGTCAATTCGCAGGTTCATTATTGCCTTTATCGTTACTCATCAAAACCCATATTGACGTCTGAATTTCCTATAGTAACTCTCGTCGCAAGGTCAAAGCTTTCTATGTAGGGGCGGTTATTTTCATGTTCAAGCTCGAAATTGAGGGGATTGGCGATGAGTTGTTCTTGCTTATTCGATTGGGAAAGACTCATGCTGTTGACGACAAAGACAAGACGATGCCCATAGTGGAGCTGGATGATGACCAGGATTCATCCGCATATTTGGTGTGCACATTTGAGCAGGTCATTTGCCAAGTTGGTCTGATGCGTTTTAGCGAGAATGACAAGAGATATAAAGTGATAACGAAGGAAAAGGCTTTCCGGGCCTCGATAGAGACTTATAAACCTGGAAAAAACTCATTTGTGCTACCTCAATAATAAAGATAAATATAGAATTTATCATCGTATCATTACCCCCAACAAGTTAACAGACATTCAGCTTCATGATGTCGTTCTCCTCTTCTTCGTTTCTTCCCTTTTAGCTTCGGACATCAAAGGCATCCCATTCAGCTCACTACACAACGCTCAGTTCCTTTAGTATGTGCCAAAAAGCACCATTAATTGCGGAGTAGGTGCCCCAACCTTAACTTGAGTAAAACACTAGTGCGAATAGCACTGTTACCAGACAATGGCATCTTAAAATTGTATGATATTTCTATTTTTCCTTCATTCAATTGCCAATGCTTTTATGTCTCACCCTTGCTATTAAAACCTAAGCGTGTATACAAAACAGATTCCGACAAATGTCTTCTTTTTTGCCGTCTCCCTCACCTTCCATTCTTTATTGAATTCTTCCTTCTGTTTTCCCCTCGTCCTACTATTACTTAAGGCTTTGAACACTGATTTCTTGCAAATATCAACGAAACACAAGGGCCACAATGGTTAAAATTCCCCTCACAACAATCTTTTTGCTATTGTAAACCGGAAAGGTTCTATTGAGCTGTTTCTCCCGTATCTCTAAGATGATTTTTACCATTTTTAGCATCAAATAGGTGTTTCCTACTGCTTTTAGCGCTGAATACGCTGCTAGCTCCTACTTTGAAGCGGTATTTTAAATACAAAAGACTTTCAAGATCCAACGCAAATATGATTCTGACAAATTTCAGTTTTCCCCTTTCCTTCATGGTTTATACGGTATTCTTCAATGGATGTTTACTTGATCTCTCTTAGTTTTGATAGAATAGTGATAGATCTGCCGTTCCATTGTACACATAGGAAGGTATTACGAAAAAACCGAGAAAAACTTTAGATATTGATATTGTGCTTAATTTCCTGCCTAAACATGCAGAACAAAAAAGCTATATAAGAACTAGACACTTTGATAAATCCAAAAAAAAAACTATCCTGAACACCGCATGTGCAACAATCAATTTTCAACTGCGAGATAAAGTGTTTAGAGGCCATTCTTCTCTTTAGATTTGTTCCGGAAACGTATATAACAAACTAGATGTATAAGAAGAGGAAACATTGGGCAACCGTATTATTATTCTTGAGCACCCGATGGCCCTTTGGGAATTCATAAATTGACATTTACTCGAAAAATATGCCTAATTTGCTTCTTTTTACATATGTTTATAGATAGATTTTGAAACCTTCGTTAGGCAATAACAAACTATACGTGCTGCAATCTTTATTTCAAAGTTTTATATACTCAAAAAATGTGTTTTTGTGTAATATATTCTGTCCTTACTTCCTCAAATGGTTAAGCACTTGATGTACATCCATTTTTTGTGATACCACTGATAATTCTTTATTGAAAAAAAAATCCAATGCACCTTCAAAACCCCAATTTTGGTGCAAATGATCTAAGTCTTGGTGCTTTTACTCTAAACTTGGTGTATTTGCACCAAGGTTTTCGCCGTAGTGAACTTGCCTCACAGAAGTAACAGAGACACAGTTTATAAGCCAAAGATACTTTAAAGAGCATGCTCTATTCAATGATATATAGAAGAGGGCTCAGTGTAGTGGTTTCTGACGAGATAATAAATGGGTAACATTTTATAAAAGTTCGCACCTGCGAACTCGGATACCTTACGCTACCTCAGGATACCCGCTTTATATCTCGCCCAAATGTCATACACCAAGCTCTGTCGTTTTGAATACATATAAAATATATTTATGTAAGCATATTTAGCTTAAGAACTACATCTTTAATTTTAAAACTGAACGAGCTATCAATGCTCAAAAACCACATTTTAGTGCGTGTAGTCCATTTTCAGAGCTTAATAACTCGCTTCGTAGACTTAATGCAACTATAGTCTACAGATCAGAGATACTCTATAGACTGTACTCTAATCAGTGATATATAGAATAGGACTCAGTGTAATGATTTTTGGTGAGATAATATATGGATAGCCTGAGGTAGCCCGAGGTAGCCTCAGGTACACTATTTCCGGAAATTATTGGTGCACTTAGAAAAATCAATTTGGAGCACCGCCAAAAATCATTTTGGTGCACTCATTAAAATACGATTGGTGCATTTGCAAAATAAATTTCGTGCAAAAATTAAAACGTATTTGGTGCATTATGCACCAGATGTGTTTATTATATACTTTTTCTCTCTAAACAGTCAGCCCATCTGGCAGCAGAGTATCTGCAAAATCCTTGTAGGTCGCTGATCATAACCTTGTTACAAGAGTCAGAAATTCTAGTGGATAGCGTTTCTTCTTCCAAAAGTGCGACTCTCTTAAGCTTGCTTTTCACTATGGACCAAAACTGCTTGATTGGATTAAGTTCCGTAGAGTAAGGTGGTAGATAAACGTATCTATACCCTCTGCCTTCAATGTACAGTTGTATGTCTTTGTTTTTGTGGATAGGGGCATTGTCCATAATCAAATAGTGATCCTTGAACTCTTCGTACTTATCCATCACATCCAAAGTGTTGGCGACAAAATTGAAATAATGCCCAGTAACGGTTCCTCCCTTACCTGCTTGAACAGGGCCATTTGTAGCTTTTCTTTTTTTCGAGGGTGCCGTAACTTTTGGAAGCTTCATCTTCACGTTAACAATGCCAAAGGAAGATATGGTCCCAATGATTGTCGTGGTTTTTGCTCGAGTTTTGGGAACATTTACAACAGCTCGCTTTCCTTTACCTGACCATGCATAGTTGCGCTTCATGTTGATATGAAATGCAGCCTCATCAATAAATACGCAATTGCTTGTAAAATCCATGTCAGTTTCTTGCCACTGCTTGACCCAATTGTATCTTTCTTCAATCTTCTCGGGACTATTTCGCTCTACAGAGTGGAAATGAGCCCTTTTAACAGAAAAATGACACTTTTCATAAAGAAATGTGTGCAAGGCAGATTGGTGAATATCAAGGCCAACAAACTGAGCATTCAGTTGTTCCATCATTTCTTCCAAAACTGAGTTTGGTTTTTCATCTACTATGCTGATCAAAGCCATTTTGTGCTCTTCTCGAAGTTTTGCTGGCCTTCCAACCTTGCTGCTCTCTTTTTTGTGTGGTAGGTTCTCGTCTTTTGCCAAATTCTCCGCACCTTTCTTGTACCAATTTTGACCAGCACTGGGAGGGATATTTACCATTTTACATGCTGCGCGGATGCTCAGTTGTTTCTCGTAAACGTAAAAGAAAAACTTGTCTTTATCTTCAGGTTTGTATGAACGATACCTTTTTCTTTTAATTTCTATTGAATCCACTTTTTCATCATCTTCTTCTACACTATCTGTCTCACTCGTCTTGCTTGGCTTTTCTGGTGGCTTCAGGTACGTATACTCACCAAAGTTGGTTATGTTAGCCAAAGGTTATTGTTCATTGTCTATCTCCATGGAGATGACAGCAACTGATTCACCCTGCTCATTGCAGAGATTGCCGTTTCCATCTTCGAAAATAAATTGATTCATTGAATGAAGTAATACTTGTGATAAGAAAAGAACTAAAAGTGCATCAAATACACTTTAATTTTTGCACGGGATTTATTTTGCGGGTGCACCAATCGTATTTTAATGAGTGCACCAAAATGATTTTTGGCGGTGCTCCAAACTGATTTTTATTAGTGTACCAATAATTTCCGGAAATAGTGTACAAAGGTTCGCACATGCGAACTTTTACTGTGAGACGTTCATAAAGGATACCTCAGGCTGCCTGAGAATACCTGGGGTTACCTCCCCCCCTATATTTCAAACACCGAGGTGCACGGTGTTTGAGAAATGTTATTAGTATTCAAGTTTATTTCTACTGTAGGGGGAAAAACTGTCCCGTTCGTTCAAATAATCTTGACTTTTACCCAGTATATTGCCACAACTCAGAAAACAAAGCTACCCCGTACTGCGTTCGATAGAACAGCTTATAGGAATTACAGCAACATAAGAACCTTAGGGCTGGACTATATTTTAATCCCAGTATAACCAGCTAAAGTGAGACGTGGCAAAAATGTTAGGTGGGTAATTCTAGATGATATAAAATGGTTGATATCTTTACTTCCAATGGACGTATTGAAGAAATCTAAAAAACTACCCGCGGTATGCTCAGGATATTTAATATCCCAGGAGCACTCTAAAAGTGTAAAATAAGCTAGTTTTTTCATATTTTTTCATTATTTCTTTGCTTTCTTATTTTTTTTCAAAACTTTCATTATGCCTGCTCGTTTAACACAAGATTTACGCAACATTCTCCAATCTTTGCTCCAACGTGGTCGTTCGTTCTCAAAGATAAAAAATTTGTATCCAGGAGTGGGTAACTCTACTCTTACAAGGCTCAGAAAACTATATTGCCCTGACCCAGCTAGACCTCTTGGCGGAAGACCGAAAAAACTTGGTGCTAAAACTATGTCCCTAGTGTCAAGAGAACTTCGATCAGGTGCTTTAGATGGTCCCCGAGCAGCACAAGAAAGTTTAAGATTGACGGGCCATGATATGTCAATTAATGGCATCTGCAAGGCATTGAGACGAAATGGACTTAAATCTCGTAGAAAAGTAAAGACCAATTTTGTTAGCAAGACAAACAAGCGGCTTCGATTGGCGTGGGCTAAAAAGCATAGGCATCTTACTATTGCTGATTGGCGTCGTTGGGTGTTTTCGGATGAAACAAGAATAAACCTTTGGGGCTCAGATGGTAATTCTTTTTACTGGACGAATGGTGACCGAACCATGCAGCCTCATCAAGTCAAGCCTCAAGTGCAGGGAAATGACGGTGGGGTCATGTTCTGGGGTTGTGTAACAGCGGAGGGGCCTGGTTATGGTACTACCATTATTGAAGGCTCAGTAAACTCGGACTTGTATGTCGATATTTTGAAGACATCATTGGTCGACACTCTTGAGCACTTTGGGAAGACACCATCTAATGTGCGATTTCAACAAGACAGAGCAACACCGCATACATCGGGCATTACTAAGCAATGGTTCACCGACAATGGGTTTAACCTAGACGAAATCATGGATTTGCCACCCCAAAGTCCCGATTTTAATCCCCTTGAACATGTCTGGCATCTCCTAAAGCTTCGTCTTAATAAGTATCCCACTAGGCCCTCTACAAAAGAAGAATTAGAGCGGCGTATTAACAGTCAGTGGTACAAAATAATAGAAAAAGAGTGCCAAAAATATATTGATAGTTTGCCTGCCCGAATCAAGGCTGTCATCAAGAGCAAAGGTGGTTCAACTCACTATTAATGATTTTATAATAAAATGTACATTTTTCTATATTTATTTTTTAACCAATGAAATCATTGGATTTTAGTTTTTGAAAAAGTTATAATTATGTATAGATAACACTACTTTCTCTTATTTAAACGATATATATTTCGACTTTGTATACAAAGAAATGACCAAAAACTTGTGCAAAAAGACAAAATTTTAAACGAACAGGACAGTTTTTCCCCCTACAGTATATTGACTCTTTTTCAAACTACAATTAGAAAAGAGCCTGCTCCAACTGTGGGTCTCCGTGCACTTAACGTCAGATCTGTGAACAAATATTACGATCTTTGGTTTAAATATATCAAGATGATTATGATGGCTGCTGCTCCCTCCTTTGGCTCTGACGAGGACCCTGACCTTCACATGAAGTACCGTGAATTCGGTCAAACTATTTTCAATGATATTAACGGTGACACATCCAGACAATTTGTCATCGATATCGAAAATATCATTGCTGAAATGCGTTCTGCTGGAGACAGCTTTCGTGCTAGTGAGAGAGACTTTCCTGTCTTGCACAGCTGCTTTATGTCGCTTGTCAGTGAGCAGACATCTCCATTTATCCATAGAGTCAAGTGCTCAATCCTGGTTTTCACTGCATTCTCACAGATTGAGGCATCAGGATGCTGGAAGAACGTGGCATACGTAAAGAGTGTGCCTGCGAGATTAATGTATCTGTTTAGAAGCATCATCCTTTACGAACTCTTGTTGAAAAACGATGGGCTGGTATTTGATGATGTGGATAACAATGTCCAAGTTGGCACCGCCATCAATGATGATGGTCTTGATACTGATCTCACTGAAGAAGAGTTGGAGGAGTTCCACAATAATGCGTGATCAATAAATTGCCAGCGAATTTCTCTGGATCTTTTACTCTCGACGCATTCATATCAAAACACCACGTTGCTATTAGTATTCCTTTCGTAATTGCTCTCTGTCGTGTAGCTGCTTCCATGCGCTCCGTTTATTTCCATCTGATTCAGACGGTACTGGAGCTTTCTGGAGCAAGTGTAAATTCCCCATTCTCAATTGTCGCTTCTGTAAGTCGTTTGGACAGCATACTAATGAATACATTCACAATATTTTCTACATTGTCCTCGTTAATTCCTTCATCATTGATCAGCTAAACACGCCCCCATTGCAAACAGATGAGTTAGTATCAGTATTTTCGTACGTCAATCACACTTTACATTCTTTACACGGGTGATAAAGTTTTTCGAAAAGACATCATAAAGCACCAGTACAAATACACCGCATTTATCAGCAAATATTTTGCATTTTCTACAGTGGAGTGTGTCATTTTTTCCTTCTCCTTCATTCAAGTAAGCCCCTACATACCTATATTTTTAGATAAGACGTTGGTGTACCTTGTCCATGCCTTACCAGCAATAACAGAGAATATTTCCTTGTAACGCTTTTTCTTTTCTGCCTCAGATGCACCCTTGTTTTCTTCTACTCGTTTCTGAATTTGACAAGCCATGGCAAACCCATGGTAGTTCTCAGCTTGACGTCTAATGGAGCTACCAAGATATGCCCTCATTTGTGTTCTCAAATCTTGTGGGATCCCCTCGAAATCAAATATGCCATCCTCTTCGTATTGATTCCCCAGACTCAGTATCGTTTTGAATCGCTTTTGAACCTCTGCCAATAACTCACTCTCGTTTCCAATGTAATGATACAGTACTAGACAAGCAGGTCACAATCAGCTAATAGTTTGCACGTTACGAATTATACTCACAATTGAATGATGTCGGTGAGAGCTCTTTTTTAAACCATTCCAAATTGATAAGTTTCACAGCTGATTCCTTTACTCTCTTTCGTTTATTCGTTGCGTTAGGCGTGGATGGAGGATTTAATTCAGCGAGAAGCACCGGCTCTGAAGACGTCGATAATGACCCTGAGGGGAATACTGGTGGTGATATCGTCGCAACAGGTATGTGAGGTAAAGTCGCTACGGCCACTGGTGGTTTTCTAACACTATGTATGTTATCATCTTCTATTGGTATTATGGCGCCTTCTTGCATTCCAGCATCTGTTGTCTGCGTATCTAAATCTGAATTACCGAGGGTTGCAAGTTGACTGGATCCACCTCGAATGTTGTCAAGTGCTTACTTCAAATCAGATTCTAGCATGTTTGCAAATGAAACTACAACGAGTGGTAAGAGATCAAATACACGTTCAATCCAGAAGAAATACCATCCGTCAAGGAAGCAAAGCCATAAATGATTTGCAAAATTGCATCGCCATCGCTACCAATTTCAAGCACGAGAGTTTCGTACTCATTGCGCAAGGTAGCAAAGACTTCTCTATAAACATCCGTATCGCCAAAAGTATACAGTGAATAAAAGGTGAAAAAAAAGCCCAAATGCCATTGAAGCGATTTTTATATATTGAGGAAAGTCACTGCCATGGGCCATTGGTCTGTCGTTCGTGCACCAACGTTGGGTGGAACTAAATGTACCAACGTTGGGTGATGTTACATGTACCAACGTCCTGTTATGCGCAATATATATATCAGATACCATGATACCCAAGTATTGTGAGTTTTTGTCATTCGCCAAAAGGATGATACCTGCCTTTGACTTGTTCATAAAATAGGATATCCTATTCTTAGGTATCGTTTGCCCTTTGTTCTGATTGGCTTTTAGCATGATACCCATGGTACCTGAGGTACCATTTCTGGGCGACTCACGCCGTGAATCGTCCAAAAATGTTATTAGGGCATGTAAAAGTAGTTCAATACAGTCTCAGCTATCATAATAGATTGACAGTAATATCCTTGTGCCCTAGATCGACAAAGCAAAAATACTGAAAAGTTTATTTTTCTCTTTACCTTAAGCAGCCAAAAAATTACACTTTTTCGATTTTTCAGTGGACAAAAAGCAATAACATCACACTTTTAGTACATGTAGCAATGCCTGGTAATACGTGCTATTATAACCATTAATTAGATGTATTTTTCACTTTCTGAATCGCTCTGTATGTAGCCAAAAGAGCTCTCTTTATCTTACAAAAATGCCATTTAAAATATTCAGAACATGCTGATTTGTACCCCGACTAAAACGGTCTGCTGAACATCATATATTTAAAGCTATTTTATCACGTAAATTAATAGTAAACACGACTTGTTCTTATTGAAGTATCATATTTCAACTGTTATAGTTTTATGGAATTAAGGTTTCAAGCTGAAATATGTTTTTATGTGGGAAATTGAAGCAGTAAAAATCAAGTAGTTATCACCCTATATTTAAACTCATAAAACCTGTATTTCTACATGAGTATTCGAAACAATAATAGCATTGTCTGGTTAAATGTGTATGCAAAATCTTTTGTTTATGCTTATCTAACTATGGCGGATGTATTCAATAACTGATACAATTTATACTAAACAAATAGTCATATTTTTTTTTATTAAAAAAATCGATTGTAGTGGATAATTGACGTAACAAATGTAAATGAAAAGCTGCTGTTTGTAATGAAATAGCCGCTCAAACGCGACTTGATTGAAAGCCGGAATTCATCAGTATCACTCACTCAAATTCATGTTATTTGAATCGACCAATCACGCGCACAAATGTTCATCAAAATACAATTGCAACATACTAAAGCAAATATGCATATTTATCTCGCACATTGTCGAATGAATGAATCGCTCCTGATCGCAGTTTATTAAATCACGCCCATGATGATCGTAATAAGTGATATTATCTTTATTCAAATGAAATCAAATCAACAGCAAGCATATTCAAATATGACAACTATGCCCTGATACTATATTTGCATAGTACTCCAGATAAAGGGTCCCACACTTTAATATAAAAAATCGCATCTTCAATCGTCAAGGTTATTATAGTAATGTTATGACGATAGCTCATTCAAGCCAATCAAGGTAAGATTGATTTATGGCCAGTGATCAGATTAATCATACTTTTAAATCAATGATATCTACCAGATATTGGAGTAGCATCAACTGCTACTCTCTATCATAGCTAGCGCTGCAGACTAACTAACTCCAGATGTGCATAAATACGCTTCGTTTTTTTTTTTTTTTTTTTTTTTTTTTACTCAGTTCCAGGATCTTCATTTTTATCCCAACATCAGTATTTCAGCCGCTTTCAGCTTGATTCTATTCTGCTTTATTTTGTAGTATGCGATAACAAGATTTCAATGCATGGCATTCATATTCTTTTCTGACATCTCATCTAGCTTATATAACTTTCATACAGCGTTTTTCTTGCTTTCAAATCTGGCTTGCTTTGTCGGGTCATTTGACTTTTCATTTCATTATTATGCCTGGCTTTTTTTTTTTCATTCGTTGTTTCTTTTATTGTACAGAATGCTCGTAACAAGAGATGAATCAATATGTCTTTTTTATGCTGTTCAAATTACCAGAGAGAACGTTGAATTCTATGAGTGTGCAATCAGCGATATGCCATACTATTCAAGAAGTCTAAAAAAAATCAAAACTACTTTCTAGATGTGTGATATATGCAGAATGGTTTGCCATTTACCTGTACCCCGCCACTGCAACATCACTTATCACATCTGCTGTCATGGAAAGTTGAATTCTATTAGCTCCAAACAGAACGTTTGCTATTTCTCTTGTATGCAACCTGTTGGTTATCAGCGATTACGCATGGCAATTCAATAGATGAGGTGTCACAAAATGGTGTATTGGAGACATCTTGCTTCGTTGCAGTGTGGCAAAGGTTTAAAGCGCTACTCTGCCTGTCTTCTCAACTTCTGTTTCGTCTACTGCAACTGCTGTTTTGCCTGTCATATCATCTGCTGTTTTTCCCCACTCTTACGCCAAGTACGTGCTTACAGTAACTGTTTATCACTTTTAGATGGCTGAATTCATTATTGCTGTAGTTTCAAATGGCCAACTAAAGCAATACATGAATTACGCTTATCTTGGTGTGGATACTAAATCTGAAGTATACGAATTTGTGTATATGCCAATCAGTTTTTTTTTTTGGTTACTTGATTCAAGTCGTTTTACGTTTGGAGATTTATTGGCAAATGAGTGTATCTTTATGGGGTTGTCTGGATTGAGAGATAGATTCTCATTTCATGGCAGATCGACTGTGCAATGTTTGAGAGTCTACACTCTCTGGATGCAGTTTACGACAAAGCAGGATTGGGAAACCATGATGTTTCTTCTCGATTTAGCCCAAATACTTGACCTACTCTTTGGTTTTAAAGTGATTCCATAATTGCTTGTATTTAGTGGTATTCAATAACGGCATTTACAAGTCGACTAAGCGATTCACTCTGGACGTACTTATAGTTTCCATTAATTTGAGTATTATTTGATTTACATTATTGTGCTCTTTCTAGTAGCACTTGTATCAAATGCAGGGGCTTCTTTTGCCATGCCAATGGCACAGTACGCCTAAGCAACGCTTTGTTCTATGCCATTTTTATCATGACACAATATATAAAAGCAATTTACACAGTATCTATACAAAGGGTATGTTTATTAAAAGTTGTTAAATCACCCAAAAGTGACTGATATTGAGCTCTGTCAAGCTTTGGCACTGGACAGATACAAAGGGACCAGCCGGTCTATCATCTGGATTGGAATGCAATGTATACTTGGTAGGGCGGTTCGTCTCTTGAGGTTTTTGCTCATAATGAAACGTTAAGCTATCTGCATATTTTTCGTAATCTGTCAATTCATAAAGTTTGTGTACACTCGGCTTCTTTTTACTGGTATCCAAGAGTGAAACATCAAATAAACGAATGTCGCCAGGCAGCGTATTGTGATGGTAGCGTGTGGGAGGTCGTATATGACTAATGCTAATCATGTCAAAGGTGTGGTGAGGCATGTTGATCTTGACTTCCATCTGAGAACATTCTCCAATAAGCGCACAAGAGCCAATTTCCAGCTTGCGTAGATTGGGACAACGGATAGACAGGTATTCAAAGAGTTCGTTACGAAAAGATCCATTTTCCAATACAAGATGACTCAATTTGGGACGCACAAAGGTCGAAGGATTATTCACCAGGGCGTCTCGAGCAATGTCAGCAGAAGAGAGCAGAGCGGCTTGAGTGCCATCCAATTTTAAATAAGAAAGCTTGGAGCAGTATTTCAGTAACATATCAATAGGGACAGGCGAGTTCTTGATTCCAGAAAAGCGCATGGAAAAGACCAAAGAATCAAGACGCTCGCTGCATTGACCAATCATGGCAATGGATTCCTCCATGGTTTCTTGAATACACAATGATGGCCAGCCCCACAATGTCAAGCTAGAGACATTCTGTCGAGATTCACCCAGATACTGAAGCAGATCAATGGTATTATCCGTCATATCACCCAACGCAATACTCTCCAACTGTGTACCCACGCTGTCTAGGGCCTCCAAGAACCAGTAATTCATGGTGATATTCAAAAATTTCGCAGACCTAAGACAACGGCATACCATGCCCAGTCTTGCCAGGGCACCATACCTTTCTTCCAAATCAGTGACACTCGGAGGTACACGATGAGGGGTATCGACAGAATACTCACACCACAATTCAAGGTTCTCCATGTACACGTATTTGTTGGCAAAATAGTACACCCATTCGTAATTATCGTACAAATCGCCACCGTTTTGATACTCAAACGTACGCATACATTTAGCAGGCTGGCATAGATAAGTCGCTACTGCTCTCTTTTCTTCTACTGTGGTTCCAATAGGCTCCAAATGGACATTGATGAGTCGTAGCTTTTGCAGATGAGGACAGGCTTGATGAATGGTTTCCATTTCAGGAAGCAACAGCGTTACAGAATCAAGTGATAAATTGATGAGGTCAGTTGCCTTGTGTAAGCTGGCGAAAAAGTCGCTTTTCATAGCTGGCTCATTGTCGTTGAAACGGGTGGCTAGATGCGTCAGTGACGAGAGAGGCGAAGAGGGGCATTTCAGCAAGTAATTGGTTACTGTGAGGTCTTGTAGTTCAGTGAGACGACGAAGATGAGACCATGGAGCCAAGGAAGCATGCTCTAGCTGTGCCTGTTCCATACTTTGATCCATGGATATTCCGTTGAACGAGAGTGCAATGAGGTTGGGACACAGCATGGGTAGCGCATTAAGTTCGTTGGCTGTCATGTACACATCATTCACAGACAATCTTCGCACATAATGGCCCACAAATCCGGGCTCTAATGATTGATAGAATTGGCTAAATTGTCTTCTACCTCGAACATGAATGTGTCTGTATTGTGATGGAGTGAAAAGCTTTCGCCAGGAACGACAGACAGACTGGCAGATGCCCTTTTGCTTTGTGGTGAGATAATAGGCCACATTGTCAAATATTTCGAGAGGATAACAGTCGTATTGTAGTTGCTTGTTGTTCATGGTGGTCAATGTATAGAGTAGAAAATGAAAGAAGAGAGAGAGAGAGAGAGAGAGCAGATGCAAGATGAATTCTCCCCTTGGTTCTTTTATACCCTCTTTTTTTATTGGTTACACTTATTGCATAAAATTTAAGGTTTTTAATGTGGGGTCGTAAAAAAATGATGTATGAATTAGGGGTGGTTATTCTATTTGACTCATTGACCTGGAAACCTTATATTATCCAATTGAATAATACAAAGCCTCTCATAGGTTCCTCCGTTTCCGATAGTAGTATAATTTATAGACGAGGAAACAAGACACCGTCAATTTGGCCCAACGGCCGCTCCTTGAGTTCGAGTTGAGCAGCGTTCTTGAAATATCTATCTTGAGGAGATACACCCAACCTGGTCAGCAAAAGATCCATCTTGGTAGGCATCACAGGCTGCAACAAGATACCAGCAACACGGCAAGCCTCCAAAGAGTAATACAGCACAGTGTCGAGACGCTCCTTATCTTGTGGTTGTTTAGCCATTTTCCATGGTTCGTTTTCTGCGAAATGTTTATTCGCCTAAACCATCAATGATAATTAGTTTTTCCATGTTTCCATGTTCTATATAGTAATTACTTGCCTGAGATACCATGTCAAAGATGCAAGTGTATGCTTTACTGAAATCCCTTTCTTCGAACGCCTTGTTGTAGTCCTCTGTCATGGCATATAAGTCTCTCGCTTTTTTTTTTTTTTTTTTTTTTTTTTTTTTTTTAGTACATTATTAACTGATTCAACTCACCTGCTGTTTGACTAATTTGATGGTGTAACATTTGATCTCTGGGATGAATGACTTGATTCTTTCCAGGAACACTACCACTAGGAAGTAAGGATGCTGCAGTAGCTCTATTTAATAAATTGCCTAGTTGGCCAGCAAGGTCCTTCTTGTATCTTGTTTGAATCATCTCCTCCGAGTAGTCTGTTGATTGTGAATACACTGTAGATACGCTGCTTGTTACTGCTACTAACCTCCATCGTCAGCTAAACCACCATCCCTCACCAGATAGTAGCGTACGGGATCAACACCATAATCCTTCATAACCTGGAATGGATCAGCTACATTCCCACGGCTTTTGGACATCTTTTGTTTGCCCATAGTCCAATGAGCATGGGCTAAAATTTGCTTGGGTAGCGGGAGTCCTGCAGCCAACAAGAATGCGGGCCAGTAAATTGCGTGGAATCTAAAAAGTTGTGTAAATACTATGTCTCCATTTTGACAGCTCTACCTTTACCTCACAATATCTTTACCAACCACTTGGACATCAGGGGGAAAGAACTCTTTGAGTGGAGCGTCCTTTGACCATGGATATCCAGTTGCCGTTAAATAGTTGGTCAGTGCATCCAGCCAGACATAGATGGTATGCTCAGGGTCATTAGGCACTTGAATACCCCAATCAAGACGAGATCTCAATCTCGACACGGATAAATCAGCCAGACCTTGATTGATCCAAGAAATCACTTCGTTTTTGCGGTTGTTGGGTGAAATGGCATTGGGATTTTCGTTGATCCACTGTAGCAGACGGTCTCCAAACGCTGACAGTCTAAACTTGTAGTTTTCCTCTGATGTCCATTCCACTCGCTGTCCTGATTCAGTCGCTACCATGATCTTTTCTCCCGTCTTTTCGTCCACAGCTTCTTGCACTTGGTTGTTGGCGTAAAAGGCTTCGTCAGATACTGCATACCATCCTTCATGTTTTCCCTTGTAGAGATAGCCATTCTTCAAAAGTTGGTTCTATCGTAGTGATATGTATCAGTATACTTGATCTCTTGTGGTAGTGCTCATTTTACCCATAATTCATGGACGGCTTTGTTGTGATGTGGGTTGGTTGTGCGTTCAAAACTACTATAGCCAATATTGGCTGCTTGAAAGAGGTTCTTGAAGCTCTCTGATACCTTATTGCAAAACTCAATTGGCTTCATATTGTTCTTTTCAGCTGCTTGTTGGATCTGTATTTGCGCGGTGAGTTGCCGGGATTCTATTATGTCAAATAAGCTCGTTTTTTTTTTTATATATACCTTCAATCCATGCTCGTCTGTACCCGTCGACATGAGCACCTCTTTTCCATGCAGCATATAGTTGCGACGGATAGTGTCTGCTAATACTGTTGAATACAAATGGCCAATATGTGGCACTAGAAGCAAGGTGTCAATCACTCCTCGAGGTGCGTTAGATTCTCTCTTACCTGCATTGACATAGTAAATGGGCGTAGAGACAAATGCTTTGGTGTGTTTTGCGTGTCTTGATACCAAGCTGAAATTTGGCTTGTACAATGCTCGTCGTGATATATAAGCAAGACTCAAGATACGCATTTTTTTTTTCTCTTTTGACAGGGAAAAAAGAATGGGATAAGGGACCCTGAAGTCTTTCATTTTTCATATACGGAATTTGAACCTGTCAATGCAAATGCTGAGGTGTATGTATCCATTGGAAAAAAAAAATGCCCTGATTTCAGGTTGTGTACGATACATACTCATGATAAGGTCTACATAGATTCAGCATACAAATCATTATATATCAATCACACTAAATTTAATCGCTCTACTGAACGCTTTGTATCAGTTCTATGAGCTTCAAAATGCGCATTATACAAACAGTGATACAACGTCATCTACAACACTCTCCTTAATTCATACAAGGCAAACAAACAAAAAGCAGCCTTCCCCCCCCCCCTCCCCCTTGTTCTTTTCATCACTTGAATATGAGACTTCCCCTCATACCGTTATCACCTTATATTCAGATTTTGCGTGAATATGCTCAAATCCTGGCTCAAACCACTAAATCTCTGTCAGAACAGCAGGACAATGCTAATATCAAATCATCGCTGGAAAAGAGACTGAACAAGGAGAGAGAGAAACTAGATCGACTCACCAAAAGCATGCAAACTATCCAGTCCTCTTGCTTGCTAGACTTCAATATCTATGACATTGCCAAGGAGATTGCCTACATCAACTGCAGTCTGTTTCGCATGGTGACATTGGATCCAACGTGGCTCTGCAACTTTGACAAGCAATCCAACATGGTGCCTCTGCTGGATTTCCATCGTTACTTGTCTCATTCATTTGCACATCAAGTCATCTATGGAGACCCCAAAAAGAAATCCGTGATCCAGTTGATCCATCTATCGTATATCCTGCTGCATGTCTACCGCGATTTCTCTGGTTGCACTGCTATTTTGACCACGTTGCACATGCCAGAAGTGAGGCGCCTAGAAAGCATGTGGGCGCCGTGTCCCGTCAAGTTGCTGCAAGTGTATCAGGAGCTCGTAGCAATGCTTTCACCAGACAACAACTATGAAGTCTACCGCCATCAGCTCTGGCTCAACACGCAGCGCTTTCTCGACTTGACGCCAAGTAAATCACAAATAATTGCTGTGCCTTTTATGCACGCTCATCTCGACATCATACAAAACTTGGTACAGACACATGCTTCTGTTCAGGCAGCACCAGATGTCGTGCTTTCCAGCGCTGGACAGCCGCTATTGGCATCAACAGTGCAACTATTAGAGTTTTGTCAGCAATTCAATAAAATGGATCCCATCGACCACTGCTCATTAAAGAGCAAAAGAGCAAGTACCACCAGCAACAACAAGGCCATCAAGCTATCAACGTCACCTTGTTTGGACCTGGATATACTGCAAAGCGATGCCAATGTGTATCACTGGATTGTTTCTCGCGCCTATCTGACACGATCTCAGTTGCATGCCGAGAGTTTGCATGTGGAGCCTCTAGCTGTAGGCGAGATTGAATTGGAAGCTGAAGAAGAGCATGATTTGTACTGGGATTTCTTTGACCAGCAAGAGCCTGTAGCAGTGATCAAGGAGCCAAGTTTGAAGCAGGTTGATGTTAAAGATCCGGTGCAAGCAACAGTAGACGCATTGGACGTGGTTGACAGTGTTGGCGAGTCGTCCCTGGTAGTTGTCCATACGGAGCAGGCCTCAAGTAAGTAGGCAGACGCGCTGGGATCAATGTATGTCTAGTAACCTGTCTATTGCTAGTAGTTGTTGAGCTAGATGCTGTTGACAATGTAAAAGCAGCATCCATTCATAATGGTACTCTATCAGAGGACCATATTGCCCTGGAAGATCCAGAAGAGCAGCCGTTTGCTGACATGGAAGAGGTGGAATCAGTGCTACCTGAACCTATGGAATATGACGATGATGACGGCGACGACGATATCATTGTATTGACAGAAGAAGACGATGAAGAATGGACTGGATATCCACTGGACAGCACCATGCCATCTCAAACAGTGCAAGACACAGAGGAAGAAGAAGAAGAAGACGAGGAATGGACTGGTTACCCTATTACCAGCCAAGATGAGCAAGACACGGCCGAAGAGGAGAAGGAGGAGGATGAAGAAGAGGAAGTTTGGAAGGGTTATCCTATTCCTTCTAGTGAAACAAGTCCAGTTAACTTGTCATCCTCATCAGCATCACCATCTGAACAAGGCACCCATCGACATGAAGAGTGGAAAGGCTATCAAAAGACGACAGAACAACAACAACAACAACAACAACAACAACAACAGTTGCCGCAGCAGCACGATCACTATCCATTGCATGCGATTGGAAAAGCAGCAGCTAGAAGAATGCAACACTCACTGTCGAATACAGACACCCATCGAAAGCGACTACCATCTCCTTTTGCTCCTTCTTCTTGTTCGACATGATTTTTTATTCTCTAAATAAACACTGTATTATACACAAAACTATTTACTACTCTTCAGGCCCCATGTATTGATTGGTCAAAAAGTCAAATGCCTCATTTCGTTGTGCTGCCTGGTAAACGTGATATGGCACCATCATCTTGATTGATTTATCTGCTGACCCCTCTTCCTCTTTGCGACATGTATTTACAGTGTCTTGAACGAGTTTCTTCAAAAAGACACGCGTGGCCTGTGCCAAGATATTGCCCATCACCAGACGCTGCTTCATGGCAGAAGCCAGATCAAAACTGGAAGTAGGCCCTTGCAAGTTGCCATCTTTAGCCAGCAGCATGTCGTTGGCAATCACGCTCTTGAGTCGCAACTGGCCTACCACAGACCATATCCAGTCGAGCGAGCGTTCATGAGCGACATCCATAATATCCTCGTCCAATGCACACAACTCTATTCTCTGCAACATGTCCTTTCGACAGTTGTTTTGCGCTGTGCTGCTAGCCACATCTTGGTAGTCCATATCCACATCAATGTCCATATCATCATCCTCCTTTTCACTCAACACGTGATCCCACCCTGCTTCCAGCGTACCCAATAGCTTGCTGACACTGGTGGTGCTGTTAATGCCGCCTCGCTTTCGACTGCTGTTCCAACCTTTGGGTCTACGCGGGCAATGATCATCGATGGTTTCATCATGGCCATCGCGAACACTGCCGCAAAATTTACAATAGCCAGGTGCAAGATCAGATGCGCGTACATCTTCAATGGTATCTGACAGAGTAGGCGTGTACTTGTTGTTTTTGCACCATAACACGGCATCTTTGGTGGTCAACGCTTCCGATGCAAGACGCAGCACAGTCTCGTTGGATTCGTGTGCTCTCTTTTGTGCTTCCAGTCGCAAAAGTCGAGCTCGGTGCCATTCCAATGCTTTTCGTTTGCCAACAGACCATTCAAAAAACTGCTTGGAACTGGTAGCGCAACTGTAAGGAAGCACCGTGCCATGAGATCCTTGCAAATGTGTGTGTGTGTTGGTATAATAGAGTCACTGTGCCGTGTGCATGGCTTACCTGCTCTGACAATGGGCAGCCGCCTTACAGACTCCTTGAGTATGCCATTCAGCAAGCTCATCTTTTGCTTGACAGCCATGGCTTCTAGCGTCTCTTGTTTCGTTTCTTGAGGCGTGGGTTGAGGTGCTGTCTGTGGCGGCGCTGACTGAGTGGGTGTTGGCACAGGCGACAGGGTGGTATCTTTGAAGTCTGTGTTGCGATCCAACTCGATCTCTATACTGCGTTCACCGCCCAGCAACTGCTTTCCAGAATGCGAATTATCCAATTTCAAATGATGGATCAAATCCACCGCCTTGTTGCGTTTCTTATCCACAAAGAACAGTTGTATTCTGATGGGAAACTCACCCCATCCAAAGCGAGTCAGTTTGAACGGTGCCTCTGTGACATCCACAACATCGTTTGGCTTGTAACTGGGATGCAAATGAAACCGAGCACAGGTGATAAATGCACCCACAGGCTGTTTGGATTGTGGTGGCTCGACAACGTAAATCATCCATTTGTGTGTAAATTGCTTTAATGCAGGATCTCGACGTTCTGTTCACATGTTGGTCTATTGTTGTTGCCAGCCAAAACAAGAAAAAAAAAACTTACCTGGGGATATGAATTTACTCACATTGCCTACGAGAATGCGTCGTTTAATGTAAAAGCGAGAACCAATATCAGATGTAGTGCCAGATGACATGGCTGCTGCAAACGATTCAATCTTTGGTGGTGGTGGTGGTGGTGGTGGTGGTTCTTGAGACTTGTCTTTCTCCTTATCTGATAGCACATTTAATTTTGGTGGTGTTTCTGTAGTCGTTTCTATCACTGTAGTTGATGGTTCTTTGTTGGTAGTAGTGGGTGTATTTACATTAGACTCCTCCTCATCCTTCACAGAGCCCGTACTTGTTTCTATCGCGGTCATCGTCTCTAGATCTTCAACTGCTGCTGCTGCTGCTACTGCTGCTGCTGCTGCTGCTGCTGCTGCTGCTTTCTGGGATGACTTTCTCTCGTTTTCCAGTTCCATGTCAACATCTTCTTCGAATACTTTGATGGAAGGCTACAAAACAAAAGGGGTTTAGACCTAAAGCTGACTTGCAGCAATCACTTTGCTTACGCGTTCCAGCTTCTTTTGTGATTTTGATGCTGATGGTGTCAAATTCATCACTGGCCGCAGTCGAGCAGGATTATCCAGCGGCACCTCCGATTCATCGACGGGTGTGCCACATTGCAACATGACTTGCTCATAAGGTCCAAATTCTAAATTATGCGAGATACGACAATGATTCAAAAATCCCTGCAGGTTCAACAAGTCATCTCGGAAACACACTGGACATGCCAGACTGCAGCAGAAAAGAGGTGAGTTCTCATGTATAAATATACACTGTATCTGATCATGTTACCTCACAAAAACACCATCATTTCTTCTGCCGTATAGTTTGCTCTTTTCGGATGTGCGATATGTCTTTCGTCTAGGTACAACTGAACTGGTTGATTGCTGTAGTAATGCTTGTGATCCACCTTGAAAATACATGGCAGAGCGGCGGGTATAATGTGCTGATTCAGGCAAGGATGCTGCCATGGACTCTATACGGATATATGTAAGCATACACAATCAACTATTTTTTTTTTTTCCCTCAACTCACCATTTTCAACAGCTAATTTCAAGTCTTGAAGCACATGTTCTGCTTTGCTGATTTCATTTCGAATAGTGGCAACTTCTCTTTGTTTAAGGTATATTTCCAAGTCAAATTGGTGGTTGATGATATCTACAATTTTCTGTTTCGTTTCTTGGTCTAGGCAAAAACGTAAATTTACGAGTCAACAGTGTTCTTGTAGAGCATTACCTTTTGGTATGGAGTCCATTTGAATGGTGGATCTACAGCTCTCTATCGCAGCTCTTGATAGAATAAAAGTGCGTGTGTAAATGAGTGTACTGAGAAGAACAAAAGACAAGAGTGAAAGAATAGGGTTGAAAAAAAGTTTTATTAGGGATTTATACTAACAATTCAGGCTGAACACAAAAAAGTCCGGTTTGGTGGATCCCAAAAGTATTCAAGGTATAGCATTGACTCTTTCAAACCGAGAGCCTACTTGTTCAGACTCCCAAAAGGAAGCAGAAAAACTATCCGCTGATTTAAACAAACGCAACTGCTCTCTCACATCCTCCAGCATTTCTTGCGCCATCAAGTACATTTCAGTGCCTTCCTTGTTGTACATGAGCGAATTGGTCAGCATAAGCACAACGTCTCTTTCAAATTCGGTTGTTGTTTTTACAATCTACACATTGGAATATGAGTGCCATCACATACAATGTACAATCGCTATCAACCCTCACCCCGTCCCTCACTCTGTTTTTGATGGTCTTGAGGTAGAGTGGTTGTTTGACCACTTGATCGTACATGGGGGCCCATGATTTCTTGATGGGGTTCATAAACATGGTGCCGTTCTTGTGGTTTGCAATTTCCTGCCATAACAAATTGATGTTTTTCTGCCATGCTTTTTGTCTTTGTTCGCTGTTGCGTTTTGAGGATGTTGTGAGTGTGTTGGCTTCACTGTCGCCTGTGAGATAGTCGTCTTCAGGTGTTTGGATAAGCGCGGTGGTACTGATGGATTTGGATACAGGTGATACTGCAGAGAAGGTTAGGATGAATAGAGTACCAAAAAAGAAACTAAAACTTACTAGGTGATGGGGATGATTCTTCAGGTATCTTAATGTTGGGTAGTGGTGCATGATGATATCTATGTGGGGAGAGGGCTCCAGCTTCTTGGCTGGTATGCTCCTGTGCTGATTTTGGGTTATGATCCACAACATCAGCATCCTCTTGTGAACCAGCAATGGTCATAGTCACTTGCTCAGCATCGATTGCTTTTGCTTGCTCTACTGCCTCTTGTACGTCTATTGGTACTTGAGAAACAGCAGTAGACAAGACTTGGTCTTCTTGGTTAGAGTCGTTTAAGCGAGATCTCTTCAGTGGATGTGGTTCATGTGCAATAGCATCACTGCTTGTGCGTTTCAATCTATTCTCTTGCAATACCAGAGTAGAGTTCATCGATGCATCCTTTTCTTCAGTGACAGTTGCTGGTCTATTTTCCTTGGTGCCTGAATCGTCTTGTTGTAGTTGCTCTGTTACTGATGGTTGCCTGTCTATACCACTGGATTCCGCACTTTTGACAGGTTCATAGGCTGGATCAGGTTTTAATCTAGCATCCCATTCGCCGGATTGAATGGCGTGTATTTCAGTGGCAAGTTGATTGAACTCCTGTTGCTCTTGTGCAAGCTTGCTTTTGACCTCTTCTACTCTTTGAGAGTAGAGATGTCTGGCTAGTCGAACCACGACGGGCATATCGTTCTTGATGTCATGTCGAAGCGCTTGTCTGTTCATTTCAGTCAGCATGGAATGAAACAAGCTGTTTGGTTTGACTTACGATTCTGCCTGTAGGTTCTCCACGAGCACATAGTACTGATAAGAGCAGTTCTACAGCACAACAAGTTTAAACAACTCGCGCCCCATCTTCTCTGCTGAAAACTCACCTTTTGGCTGTAGAAATCAGGGGCTCTTTCTATACCTTGCAACTGAACAAGATCGTGTTGTTTAATGGCACGAGCCACTTGGAACCACATGTTTTCACCATACTTGTAAACTGCTTGTGTTAGCAGCAACTTCTCCAATATGGTCCATTCATTATGAGATGACATGTCTATAGTATAGAGAGAAAAATAAAAAAAAAAGAGAGAGAGAGAGAGAGAGAGAGAGAGAGAGAGACAACCATTGCCCAGTTGCTCGTACGCGCGCTCTATATAGTACTACAAAGGTACCCTGTGTGACATCATGGAACAAAAAGTACAATTTTATTATGAATCTGTATACAACTATTTCTCAAACTCTTGATCGTCTATGGCCATAGGCTGTGTAGGATCCGTTGAAACAGAGTTCCATAACCCCTCTAGATCATAGCGATCTCTCATTTCAGGCGTGAATAAATGCACAATGATGCGGCCCAGGTCTACTAGCAGCCATCCAGATTTATCGTTTCTGCCTTCAATATGAGGCATGGGCTGCTGCTTCAAACTCGTTGGATTGGATTGAATGGCCTTCTTGACCACACCACCCACATGCTCTGCTACACTGCTGAGGTATTTGTCTCCCTTGGCGCTGGATGCTACAATCATGTACTCGGCCCAATCGCATTTTTCTCGCACGTCAATGACTTGTACATTGTCCAGCTTACTTTCCTCCAACAAGCTTCGGATCGTCTCGGCTGTCAATTTTCCAGATGCCATCAGTTCCTTGGATGCTTCTTGTAGCGCTAATCTGTCCTCTAGATGATCGCCTAGTGCTTGACGTTGCCACATGGGTATAAAGTCCCTCTCTGAGAGCTGCTTCTCCTGGGCGTATTCGGGATCCACAAACCAATCTGTATCTACTTGTTCGTCAGCTTCATTAAATGCATCTTGTTGGCTAGTGGATTCGGGATAGAGTTCAGGATAGTCTTTGGGATCAATCTCTTCCAAATCGTCTTCTGCTGCTGCTGCTGCTGCTTGTTGTTTTTTCTTATTATTGTCCTCATTTTGAGCAAACAGGGTGGATGAGAAATGTTGATGTTGATGCCATGTGGCATGTGAGATACTGGCAGCTGCGTAGATGCGACTGCGGAGAAGAGCGCTTGATGTACGGCAAACTGGTGCTTTTAGCTGCTGTGTTGTTGCGAGTTGCTTGACTAGACGAAACATGATTAAATGTTAAAATACAAAAAGAGACAAGGTAGGGTACCCTATCAATGCAGAAAAAAAAAAAAAAAAAAAAAAAAGGCTACTTTTCCTTTGTGCACATTGTGACTCTTTAAGCGAGCAATTTGACAGAGCTTGATTGGGGAAAATGACACAGTAAATGTTGATCAGATCAACTCTAGCTACTTGAACCTTGTCAATTGGGTAGTATGAGCCAATGTTCGTGTCAAATCAGCTGACCAAGTAACAAAACATGCTGATTTTAGATTTTTTTTTTTTTTTTTTTTTACAAGACATGTACATTTCAAAGATATCTGATAATCTCCTTGAATGCCAGTAAATCTACATGCCTACGACAGATTCTCAGTATTCAGCTGCATGAGTCCAATTCGAATGGCAAATGATCGACTGAATTAGGAGCTGTGGTTCAAACTTGATTGCAAGCGCAAATAGATTGAACGTTCGCAGCTTACATCCGTTAATTTTTTCCAAGACACATTTGAAACAAAAGGGTCCGAATAAATGGCGCGCTAGACTTAAAAAAGAAGATTTTCATCCATTGGTGTTTCGACAGGAGCCAAGTTGAGCCGAAGTTGGGTAAACATACATCATGTCAAAAGTTACACAGTACCAAATGGAAATACGAAATGAAAAGCAAGGTAGTATAGGTCCATAGAACTGAACGATGGGTTTAGTCTATATATATAATTGCAAGTGTTTATTACTACGAGATAAAGGAAAAGAACGATCTAAAAGGTGAGATGAATTTACAATGTTGATTTTAATAGCTAAAAAGTTCCTGAAACAAGAAATTTAGCAGGAAGACTCCAATGGTAAAAATAAATTTCCAAGTGGATGGTTGACATGAATACGGGCAGGAATGTAGACATGCGTAGGGTATGAATCGTTGGAGGTATATGGACCACGGCTGACATAGCGATTGAGCGGTGGGGGCGATGTATCAATGGCTGCAAGCTCGTCATGAACGTCATCCGCTGATTCAACTTGATCATGTAGCAGTTGGTTGCCTTGGCAATATTCGCTTGTGGTATGTGCCAAGACAGACATAATCTTGTCGACACTGTCATCCTCCTCAGATGCATACACTTGCTGGTCTTGTGATGGCGCTGGCATGCCGATGGATTCAAGCCAGCTTTCAATAGAGTAAAAATCCATGTGGCCGTCATTTTGAATGATACTGGCTGCAGCAAATCCAATCATGCAACGAGCAGTAGCATCGTTGTCAATAACATGTTTGTATTTCTCAACAAGCAAGTTGAATTTCTCGACAGTATCTGTAGTAGCAATGCAATTGTCAGATTGTGGTGGAATAATAAAAGGCATTCGATGTTGTTATAAGGAAAAAGAAAAAAAAAAAAGACAGAAACACATGAAGCTTAGCTTGCCCTATTTATACCTTGATTTGGATCTACAAAAAAGGAAAAATCGGGTAATCCAATCAGACTGTAGCAGAAAACTTTGTAATATTTATTAAATTGGTATGTATTTTTTTTTTATAGATCAAGGGGTTTTTTTTTTTTTTTTTTTTTTTTTTTTTTGCTTCTAAAAGTATTCCTCTTCTTCATCTTCATAGTAGTAATCAAATCTATGCGCAGGCTTCTTGTGAGGCTTCTGTCCACCGAAATCAAACTCTTTGTTATATTCATCAGGATCTACACCCTTCTCCTTCCATAACTTCTTCTCTTCTTGGTCCATGTCGTTTTCATCAACGCCCTCTTGGTAGTAATCTTTATCTGCGCCTCTGCCACCCTTTTTGCCACTGTACCATTGATGGATCCAATGCTTCATCTTGTGTCTATGCCAGGGATCACGACCACCTGCAACACTCTCGGTTGTAGCAACTATGCTACTAGGCTCGGATGTGTCGGCTGTTGTGGCTTTGTCTGCAATTCATGTTAGTTTCTATTGTAATGCAACATGGCAGTATATCGGTAAAATATGTACCTGTCACTATGCTAGCCTTTGCGTCTGTAACGTCCTGACGTCGCACTAGCTTCTTTTTCTGAGCGGATACATCTTCTTTGTGAGTAGCAGCAGCAGAGCAACCAGCAAATGTCTGACACTCTTCGTTACCAGAGAACAAGTAGTCTTTGATTTGAACGCCACTGTCATGCGCTTCATAGCTATCAGCAATGATTTGTCCACTGAAGGAGCCGTAGAATGTGTCGATAATGTGAGCTACAAGCAATAGGTTAGATGAATGGATTATGCAAGGAGGGTGGTCTATACATATCTACCTTGCGGTGCAAGCACCATGCCTACCAAAGCCTCATGTGAGCTACGCTTCAATGTGAATTTACCGTTTGGAACATAGGTTCCCTGTCGATTGATTGCATAAAAGTTATAGACGGTATTGCAAGCATTGAGACCTGCACTGGGGTTTCTGGTCTTGATATCGAATGTCTCTCCATCTAACACAGGTATCTGCACATACAATGGGTTAGTATAGATACGCCAGTCAGAAACCATCCATGCTTACATTGAACACAACCATCTTGTCATCTGGGAACGCTTGCTCCACAGGGCCCGTCCAGATGTCGTTGCCAAGCAACATGGCATGAACATCCGATAAAGCTGCTTCTGGCACCTCGCACATATGGTCGTTTGCACAGCTAAAGTAGTTTTTGGCTTCACACGTAGCATTGTTGCAAGTACCAGGCATTGTAAACAAGTTGAAAGGCTGCTTGATGTCCACACCTTCAGCAATGATATTGACAATGACACCCATCCTGTTGATGTTCCAATTGGGCAGCATACTAGCCAACTGTTGAGACATACCCATAGCGTTCTCGCGTGTCTTTTCAAAATCAAATGCTGTGGCAGCAGCCTCCCTGACAGTGCATCCTTTGAGAGGTGCTGCAATGTTGGTCTTGTTAGAGACGTTGGCAAATCCATTGACTCGGATGGTGGTAGCGTTTGTATGACTGTCGCCCTTGAGAATAAGACCCTGATGGCCAAACACAGTATCACTGGTTTCTGATGCGCAGCTTGCTTGGTTTCTTTGATTAATAATAGCATTTTCACCAGTAAATGATCCTCCTACGGCGAGTGGACCTTGAGAGCCGCCATTCTTGCCAGACGTGAAATCACCGAAAAAGACACCATTGAATTTGGTCAACTAAAATTTGCTTTTATGTGAGAGAATTGAAATCAAGTTGCTTGTGTTTTTATTTATACCATTTTTCCTTCAGCCGAGAGAGAGGTGAGCAAGCTACACACATCTTGTACTGAGGCAGCCGCAGTAGTAGTAGTGGTAGTAGTAGTAGTAGTAGTAGTAGTGGTGGTGGTGGTGGTGGTTTGATTTGCTGGAGCTGCGTGTACACCAAGTGCTGCCCATGCCGCCAAGATCAAGGATGCATTCAACAATGGGCTCTTCATTTTCTTTTTATGTTTTGTAGATTGAACAAGAGAAAAATCAAAAGGGATGCCCGTGCTCTTGTTTGCGTTTTATACGCTGCTGCTTTTGTTTATCCAACGTCTATTGCAAAAATGCTAAATGTTGTTTTTATTGCATTCCAGGTCCGTTTTACAATTGCCAGCTTAATGAAAGCTTATTGCACTCTTGTGTTGATTTGATCTAGGATTGAATTAGATTCCAAATCAGACATCGAGCTGTAATCCATCATGGAGGAATTGGGTTGTGTGTTGCATAAGCATAGTAGACCGCTACTGGCGTGCACTCGTCAAGAAGCTGGCTGACAAAGAACCTTTGGTCTCTCACTCGCAGGCAACATTACCAAAACCGATGCTTTGGAATCGAGACACAGCCTAGACCATCAAATCATGATGTTGCTCCTGAAATGTCAAGCCTATTGAAATAGTAGATAGAACTAGAGTGGACCACATACACTACAGTGGTGCTAGGCCCATCTTTCTAAAGGCGTCTGTCCAATGCAAAGCTTCTTTCTGTTTGAGTACGGCGTTCATCAGCGCTCCTTTTGGCGCGCCATAACGGACTACAATGCGTGCCACACAATCTGGCGCAGCAAGTGGAGGGGTGCGGTCTTTCGGATGTGCGCATCTTCGGGTGTCAGTTCAGCATGAATGAGCCATCAATCAAAAAAAAAAAAAAAAAAAAAAAAAAAAAGTATAAAAAAGACAAGATCTACCGCTTTTCCTTTGGTTCAAATCAACAGTAAAAAAAAACCTTCCTTGATTTTTATTCCACAACAATGTCTGCTTCTCCTGCTTCTCCTGCTCCTTCTCGTACAATGGATGTGATTGTTTCCATCCATGAGAATGAACCTGCTATCCAGTTAAAGTTTCTTTCTGAAAGATTAAATTGGGATAACCTAGTATCCTTCATTCAGTCTTCTTCTACTCTTGAGCCTCCTGTTGTTCTCTATTATAAGCTTGCGTTTGACGCACCTACTAAGACCTTGGAAAGCCAAGAGCATTTGAATCAGTTGCTCTCCACCTTGGACTCGCCTTCTTCCTTGCGTTTCTATGGTCATCAGGAACATGTTGCTTCTCCTGTGTTTGTTTCATCTACAGCTGCTTTTGCTCGTCTTGGTGCTTTGGTGGATCAGCATAAGCATGTCTTGAAGTCCAGCTATCGCCTCTCTAGATGGATCGGTGTTTTGGCTTCCATGATGGCGACATCGGACAGATCTTTTGAGCATGAATTCCAAGTACTTGAAAGCCTGATTCAAAGAAAAGCGCTTAAGCTTGAGCGCCGCAGTGCTGGTCGTTCTGACAAGAAGAAGGACAGCTCTGCTGAAACAGATGGTGTGATCTCTGCTGCTGAAGATGAGGAATTTGCTGAATCGCCTCAAGTCATTGACTTGGATGCTCGTCTGGATAATCTAGATATCAGTGGTCGCCCTGGATTTGGTGGACATTTTGGTCGTCGTGGCCCTGGTTTTGGCTTTGGTCGTCGTGGTAGACATGGCTACGGGTTCTTTGAAGGATGCCTTGGTGGTGCCAAGAATGACAAACCTGAAATTGACTTGAATTTTGAAAATACACGCCAAGCATTTGCTCAATTCCACCGTGATCGTCTTCACCATCGTCACCATGATAGACCTCATCCTCCTCATAATGGTCCTTCTAGTGATTCTGAAGGAGAAGCTAATTTCGGTAAATTTAGTGGTGGTAGACATCATCGTCATCATCATCATCATCATCATCATGGCAGACCTCATCCTTATAGTGGTCCTCGTCCTTTTGGTGGTCCTTTTTCCTTTGATGCACTATCTGATAGTGATGAAGATTTCTTTGGTCCTCATCGTGGTAAGCATTTCGATTGTCGTGGTGGACGTGGTGGACGTGGTGGTTTTGGTTTTGGTTTTGGTTTTGGTCCTGGTTTTGGTGGTGCTCCTCCTGCTTTTGGCAATGATAAAGAACTCTTTGGTTGTCGTGGATTTGGTGGCCCTGGATTCGGTGGTCGTCACGGTTTTGGCAAGCATGACAAACACCATTGCGAATAACTTGAAAACGGCATATAGTTTTCATTTAGGCTCGTATATAGCTGGAGCTCTTTCCAATTGAATTTGATAATATAACTTTTTTTTTCTTGTAAAAAAACATATGATTTAAATAAACTACTTTTTATTATACACAATTTGACCAACTCTGATTTTTTTTTTGAGACGTTTATCAAGTGATAAGGCTGTGGGCATACTCGACTGAATAACATTTGCTTCACATTTACCAACATAATTTGAAGCCGCTTTAGATCGCCAGAAACAGGCAATATGCTCAATGTTTTGAATTTTACATGTCTTTGAAGTGTCAGAGCGTATTGTATGATTTAGGACAATTCCGCTTGTATTACAAATTAAAGCTATACATACTTGATGTATTATTGAAGCTTGTTATGATGGGTAATTCAGGGTAACCAGAGGAATAGGGTTCAGAAATCCCGATTGCCCAAAACACATTCCTGTTTGACGAGTCAGTTTGATGGCTTATAGTTTAGAGTGATTTTCTCCCGTAAATATCCATTGAATTTCATGAGATTTTATCGAGTGATTTTAAACCTTGGACCAGTTAGATACTGAGATAAGCATTGGAAATTCTGAACACAAATATAACCTCTGAATCGCAAACTCATGTTCATGCTTTATGCAAAGCTGTTTGCTTATGAGATGAGCAAGAGAAAAGAAGGGTTCACATATTATTAACAAGCAGTTGAATTTGTCGTACGATTACGAATTGCAATGGACATTTGAGCAGTAATACAGCACACTGTTTGAAACCTACTGTGAACGGAACGGGAATATCCGGCAAACAAGATCTTCTTGATTCAGCAGGTCTCAGTCATATTGCCTCTTCCCCCTCCCCTCCCCCCCTTTTTTGTATAAAATCAAACAAATTTTTTTTCTCTGTATATACAACTATCCCTTTTTCTTTTTTTGCTTTCTCTCACTTGATTACTTCCACTTCAATGGCAGCTACAGCCTCTAAATCTGTTAATCCATTTGCTCAACAGCGTCAATGGAATTACCAGCTTGAAGATAGTTGTTTGCCCAAGTTTTATGAACAAGATGTGCACCAATCTCAACGCACAACATTTCGATCTGTATCTCCCAAAATGTACAACCAACAAAAGATGGATTACTTTAGTGACATCAATGATGAATTGGAAATGGCTGACAACGAAGACTCGCTGTATGAAGCCACGCTCATGAATGCTAATTTCCTATCACTGTCCTCTTCGTCGCCTTGTATTCCTGTTCAAGACCAAGAAAAGCCGAGTGGTTCGCTCAGCCGTCTCCGTCAAATTCTCGGACACATCAACCCAAATTACGTCCCTGAATCGCTAGCATTGCCTGATATTACCCCAGCACCCTCTGTTCGCTCGCAATTCTCTGCTGCTTCGTCTTCATCCTTGTTTCAACAGCAACACGTTCAGCAGCAAACCACTCATACATCTGCAATGAGGGCATTCTCCATATCCGATCCTCGCGACCCTAAAGGAAAGGGAAAGTCTAGATCTACTTTGTAACATTAATTATCTTTAGAATCGCTCATCCTATATACCCTTTTGATTGTTTCTGTAATAAAATAGCTTGATTTTAGACGCTTTGTATGCTGATGTGTTGCCTATCTTTGCCTCAAGTCTGACAGGTTGTTTGTGTGACTGATGATCTCGGTCTACATTGGTTACAGCTTTTTGAACTTGTTTCTGCATCACCAAGTTGATGCACGATGAACTCTTTCTGTATACCAATACGATTATTGTCATCAGAGAGCGATGAAGGCCTTCAATGTTGATCTGTCATGCTTAGTTTCGCCATGTTGATGTGGCAACTTGTTTGATTGACTTGCGAATGCATTGAGAAATCTATTACTACACTCACATTGCTGTATTCTGACATTTCTCAAATAAAACATCTCATCCTCCCATCTGAGCCGTGCTAATTAAAAGCATGTCATGTAGTAAAAAAAAAAAAAAAAAAAAAAAAAAAGGAATGTAGCAAGTGGGATACCACCACGTTTGCTCTATCAGGCAGATACCATTAGGGTACAAAGTGGACAAAAGGCACTTTAAACAGAGCAAATCTGCCAGCTTCTATTGGCAACTCAAGTTTTATTAAAGTACAAGGTGACATCACCACAACCACAACCAATCCTGAAAAATTGGGAGGGTTTGGATAGAAGGGGCAATTTCCAACAAAAAATAACGAATCTCCACATTTTCTCAATCCTTACAATATGTTGACTAAAATCCTTGCTCGTTCTACTCGACTTGCTCGCCCCACCAATGTCCTTCGTCGTGGTGGTCATGGAACCCCTTCTTACAACGAACCTGGAGGATATCTTTTCAATGAAAAGGTAAACTACAACAACAATAACCCCTCCCCTCCCCCCCATCGTATATCAACCATCACAGCCCCGAGATTCTTCGATTCACACTTGGAGCCATCATGACGATCGACAATTACGTTTATAAGCTTGAGAGCGTTCAAAGCGGTCAATAATTGCATTTTGTATTTTGGTTGATGTTGGATGGCATGGAGGATCTCGTTGATATACCGAGTGGGATGTACAAGGTCAGATTGCTAATCATCCTTCATTAGACCCGTGTAAAGGAAGATTGGGAGAGTATTTACTATTGGGGTATGGGCGGTGGTTTCGTCGCCATGGCTGTTGCTTTATATTACAAGCCTGATACTAGGTAAATATAGACAAGCAATGGGATAGTTCTTTTTTTTATTAATGCCAAAATCTAGTGTTGTTACTTGGGCCAAGAAGGAAGCTGAAAAGTCATTAAAAGAGAAGGGTGTCAACCTCGAATACACCAAGACTGCATAAATTATTCAACTAAACAACTACTTTTTGGAAAATTAAAATAAAAAGAGGCATTAGGAGATTTGTAATAATTGCTTTTTTTTTTTTTCTTCTTCTTCTTCTTCTTTTTGCATCTTTTTTCCTTTTTTCGATATACAGCAATGAGTGAAATCGAACCAGACTATGTCAAGTTGATCAGTGGCGACGGCTTTGAGTTTGTTATCCATCGTGAAGCAGCTATCCGCTCTGGAACAATCAAGAATATGCTTTGTGGACCAGGTTTGTTTACGACTAGAAATATATATATATATATATATATATATATAAAACGCGAGAGCCAGCATCTGTTAACATGCATGCAAGTCCAATTCAGAGAATCTGTCGATAATGAAATCACATTCAGAGACATCAAGTAAACGCAGCATGCATAGCAACCGATGATGTATTAATTTGTATAATGATAGAGCATCCATACTGGAGATTGTTTGCAGATATTTGTATTACAAATGGCAATATGAAGGCTCAACAACTGAAATCCCTGAATTCAAAGTGGATCCAGAAGTCGTATTGGAGACATTGATGACAGCAGATTTCCTTGAATGCTAATAAAGATCATACTCTATGGCATGTGGCATTTGGGAATGAATATGAGCCCAAGGCTGCTTGATAAATAGCTTGAGATGTTTTATTACTTTGTACACGATGCTGGATGTTTACATAAATTAAAAGTTGATGGCATTACCGAAAGAGGCGATAAGACAGGCTTCACGGAATGCTTCAGATAAAGTCTAGAAAAAAAAAAAAAAGAGAGTGAGTCATCAACATCATAACGCTACCACTATACCATCTACTTACAGGATGAGCATGACATGTACGGCCGATATCTTCAGCGGAAGCATTATACTCCATGGCAAGGACACCCTCAGCAATCATTTCGCCAGCATTGGGGCCCATAATGTGGACACCCAAGATGCGATCCGTATCGGCATCAGTGATGACCTTGACCAAACCATCCGTGTCATCGTTGGTACGAGCACGAGAGTTGGCAACGAAAGGATAGCTACCGGTCTTGTACTTGACACCTTCTTCCTTCAACTGGGCTTCGTTCTTACCGACCCAAGCGACTTCAGGATGAGTGTAAATAACAGAGGGGATGGCATCATAGTTGACATGGCCATGGCCAGTCTTGATCATTTCAGAAACAGCGAATCCCTCATCTTCAGCCTTGTGGGCCAACATGGGGCCAAAAGTAACATCACCAATACAACGGATGTTGGGAATGTTGGTCTTGAACTCGGAATCAATGACAACACGGCCACGGTTATCGAGCTCGACACCGACCTTATCCAAGTTGAGGCCTTGAGTGTAAGGACGACGACCAATGGAAACCAAGACGGCATCCGCTTCGAGCGTTTCAGCCTTACCACCCTTGGCAGCTTCCACCTCCACCTTGACAATGTCACCCTCCACCTTGGCACCGTTCACCTTGGTGCTCATCTTGAACTTGAGGCCTTGCTTGCTCAACAATTTGTGAAAGTTTTTTGCAAGCTCAGGATCCATACCAGCACCGATAGCGCCCAAATATTCGACAACTGTAACTTCAGCACCAAGTCGAGCCCAAACAGAACCTAGTTCGAGGCCAATGACACCAGCGCCAATGACCACCATCTTCTTGGGCACCTTTTGCAACTCCAAAGCACCAGTAGAGGAGACAATCTTCTTTTCGTCAATCTCGATGCCAGGGATGGGAGTCACTTCAGAGCCAGTAGCAATAATGACATTCTTGGCCTTCAAGGTAGAAGTAGACTTGCCATCCAAAGCCAACACATCAATCTCGTTGGCAGTCTTGAAACTACCAGTACCCTTTACGTAGTCCACACCGTACTTTTTGAAAAGGAACTCGACACCTTTAGTCAAACCTCCAACAGCTCTGAGACGAGCCTTGTGCATGTTATCCAAATTGAGCTTGACATCAGAGACCTCAATACCACGCGATTTGAGATCATGTTGAGTTTGATGATAAATGTGAGAGTTGTTCAACATGGCCTTGGAAGGAATGCAGCCGACGTTCAAACAAGTACCACCCAAAGTGCCACGCTTCTCAATACAAGCGGTCTAATAGTAGCAAACATGAGTTTTATCTTGGATGGCTCATCGCTTGTGCGCAGACATACCTTCAAACCTTGTTGAGCAGCTTTAATGGCAGCAGGATAGCCACCAGGGCCACCACCAATGACGACAACATCGTACTCGGTTTCTAGATGCATAGTTAGCCCAAGGTATCTTGCAACTTGAGCGATACTACTTACCAGTGCTGTAGAAACGGTAGAAAGCGTTGGCCATGGGAGCACGCACAGTCTTGACAGCTGCATTACGGGCAGCAATCTACACGGATTCTAGGTCAATAAGAACATACAAATAGCTGGCCACTACGTCTTGCTTACATTGGCCAAAGGAGCCTTGGTAGTAGCGAGTCTAAACATGTTTAAGGTTCAAAGATAAAGAAGAAAGAGATTACGGAAATGGTCATATATTAAGAGTTTTGATAAAAAGTCGGGAAAACATGGGGAAAAAGTCACGACCAATGTGTATGTGTGGGGGGGAAAGGGAGGGGGAGGGGTGGGGGGATGGGGGGGGGGGGGGGGAAAGGGTTGCCCATTCTGCTGCGAACAAGAAAAGCCGTCTTCCAGCAACAAAAGACGTTGCGAGATCATGGCCACAACAGATGACATTTTGTCCCTGAAAATCATTTTTTCAAGGGCCGTGATTTGACACTTTAGATCTGGTTTAATAAGGAGTTTATTGGATTACTTGCTTACACGAACAATGTATCTACTGATAATAGCAGCAATCAAAGCCATAAGACCTCCAAAAGCCAACACAGTGGACACATTGGATCGGCCTTGGTCATTGGGGTCTTTGACTTTTTCTGAGGCTGCAAAGATGACCGATGAGATGATGGCTACTGCAAACTGGGGAAAGACAATGTACATGTTATGGACACCCAAGATCATGCCAGCATCAAATTCATCTTGCTGATCCTCTAGCGGATGCTGTGTGGAGGGCTTTTTGCGACGTTCATCTTCGTAGCTCACATACTCGCCCACCAGGGAAAATGGGATCCAGAGCACAATGGCCCACGGAATGCCCATAATAGCCAAGACGATGGTTGCTGCAGTAACAGAACGAATGAACCAAGCCGAAAGTAGGGAGCCTGCAATGATCAGCTGGGAGCAAGTGTACACATTCAGTAACGATAGCCACCAGACACCCTTTTTCTCGAAACGCATGACGAGTGCAGGTATAACCATGCCGGCAACGACGGAGACCATGGAATTACACAAGAGAGCAAAGGATCCAGCACGGGTGCCTTCAGCCCAGTTATCATCACCTGGCAAAGTAGCGGGGTGTGAGGCAAAATAGAGGTCTGACACCCATTGTGTACTATGAGATGCATGTATACACGTATAAGTCATCATGTGCGCCACCAGATGCAGATGCGAGTCTCTAACTCACCTGTAAAACAAGAATGGGAACCATCCCATCCAGGCAAAAAACTGTGTATTGCACAGGGACTGGATTGGTTTTGGCAAGAATCGGAAAGCACGCCAAATGTAATGGAATGTATGGTACCACGGCCTAGCATGTGTCAGTTTTTCTAATAGATCTAGTGGTTGGTCATGTACTCACACATTGTCCTGGTCCTCTGTATCTACGTGTTGCTTCTCGTGGACAGCGATACATGTTACAGCCAATGTCGCCACAAATACTGCCATGGCCACAATACAAAACACCTTGATCTGAGAATCACCCATCCAAGGGAAATACTTTACCAGATCCATGAATCCTACAAAATACCCAATGACCATAGCACAGTTACTCATGCGTGCACTCCAAGCATTGGCGTATTCCTGCTGCCAAAGCGGTGGCACATCCAAGATCAAAGCACGACAAATGGCTTGCACTGCATTCAAGGTAAAGTCCAGGAAATAGAAGGATGAGACGGCAACAACAATGGCGTAGAGATGAGCCTGTATGAAAAAGGACATGAGTCTCTTTGCGAGCTACTCTTTGAGACAATGGATACTTTACAGATTGCTCAAAGTTCTCGGGAGCGTAAAAGGAACGAGCAATCCAGGCACCAAATTCTTTGGCATAAGCAACGCCAATCATGGACAGACAGGTCAAGATACCTGCCACTACGATAAAAGGTCTGCGTTTACCAAATCTTGAGGTACATTTATCGCTGAAAGCGCCAATAAGCTACAATGCATACATCAATACCTTGCAACAACAACAACAACAAAGAAGGACAAAGAAGGACAACTTACGGGTTGTACAAGCAAACCAGACAAGGGACCAGCCAGCCAGACGAGAGCCGTCAATTCCTTGGATAGATCAAGTGATAACAGATATGGTGTACCGTAACTATTGTTTGCCAGCCATTAGATTGGCTCGTTTTTCATAGAATGCTGCTCACACTTACGATAGCTCAACTGTCCCTGAATATGTGCATGTGTTGTTTTAATGTATGGGGAAAAGAAAGACATTCCGTTGAACTTACATGTAAATTGCACGCCGGCCATGCAAATGGTGAGACCTAATAGTTGCATCAAACCAAGGCCAGCTTCTCTTGCCACATCCTGAGAGGAAGGCGTATCCGCAATGGTGCCAATGCTGTTATAGGTAGACGGATCAAACGAAGATCGTCTTCTTCTATTTTTTGGCCTGGAAAGAGGGGGCTTTTGCTGCTGTAGTAAAGGTGAGTTTTCGCTATGACTGAGGGTCATTTTCGAATCGGGTAATGAGTAGAAAAGAAAAAGAACAGAAGGAATGGGAGAAAGCAGTTGTGCATTTTAACCTTTTTATTTTAAACTATGGATTTTGGTATACATATCATATGATTGTGTCATCTTAGGAGGTCAAAGGTAAAAAAAAAAAAAAAAAAAAAAAAAAAAAAGGGCAAGCAAGGTGCCCAGGATCTCTGATGAAAGGAACCAATCATCCATTCACTTATCATCTGTCTCTTTGAATTATCGTCATCCCCCTCCCCCCCCCCCCTCTCCCCGTCTTTGCACTTTACATATCAGCGTTTGATTTGAGAAAACTAAGGAGGGGGTAAGGTTTTCTATTCCACAGCAACTTCATCGTCGTGTCTACATTTATAATACAAGCCTATATAAAATAGAAATGCAAGGGCGCATCCAAAGCCATAGATCCACATTTAGCAATTTGATTATGCAAGTAGGCATATATTAAAACGAAAACTATGGACGTCAAATGGATGAATTGAACAAAGTTTTACGTTAATCCGTTGATATTTAGTACACGACTACAGGAGATGATCCATGTCAGCATTTACTGAAATTTGCTAATTATACTTGTTTAATTCTTTTTTTTTTTTATCTATCAGAACATATAAAAAAAAAAAAGGAGGTTTGAAGAGGGGCATTTTGAAGGAGGATTTATAAGAAATGTAAAAATATAACGTGCGTGTGTGTATGTGTGCGTGTGCGTGTGCGTTTGCGTGTGCGTGTACGTGTGCGTGTGCGTGTGCGTGTGAGTGTGAGTGTAAGTGGATAAAGATAGCAGGGCTCTTAAGCAGAGACTTCATGAGAAGCATTTTGTGCTACTTGGACTTCACGTCTCTTGATGGCTGTAGCAAGTACCTGTGATCGGAAAGAGAGGCCCTTTGTGCGTTCAATGACTTGCTGGTAGACAGATGTAATTGGTGTGTTCATGATGACAGTGTTTTCCTCGAAATCAATCTTGGCATCAACACGAGTGTCTCTGATCAAGTTGACAATCCACTTCTCGCCCTCCTCTTGAGACAAGTTGAGTCTTTGTGACATTTCCTTGATGTCGATCTTTTGATGAATTCTGCAGTATGTCTCAGAGATGAATTGTCTGGCACTCTCCATAAAGTCTTCGTGAGTAGCAGCCAAGAAAAAGTCGTTGCTCAACACATCCTCGCACTCCTTTAGCTTCTTTTGAGCACCTTCAAAGTCGAAGCGGACAAACAGGGCTTCAACAAATTCGGTGACGGGATCCTTGTATTCGTATGCTTCTTGCTCAATGATCTTGACCAACTCCTTCATTTGGTTCTTTCTACGCTTGTTGGTGACAACAGCTGTGGCGAGATAACGCAAGATCCATGGGCAAGACGTCTGAATGGTGTTGATATATTGAGGAGTGAGGAACATGTCGACAATGCCGTCGCGACCCTTGGGGTGGTTGAAGAACACAAACAAGGACCAGTGAAGGAGCCAAGTGCGTTGCTGCAATTGCTGAAGAGGTGATGTAAAGTTCTTTGAATCAATGGCTTCTCTCAACTTTTGCATTTCTTCCAAAGCAGCGTCCCAATTACCCGTCAAAATCTCGGCTGCCATCTTTCCCCATGTAGCAGAGAGAGAACGCTCGGCATCAGTGGACTATACAAATGGTGTCAATTCAATGTACATGCTGGCCACTGCTCAAGCTTACCAAAACGCGGAAATGGTAGAGATAGTCAGCGGCACCTCCGTAATCACCACAGTTGTATTGGAACTGGCCAAACTCGTACAAAATGTTGATGGAATCATCGGTAAACTAGACAAGATTCGAATGAGCATGGTGAGCAGCACAACAAAAACCTGTTTCCGTACCTTGTAGTTTTCCTTTAAATACTGCAAGTTTTGTGCCTTATCTTGACGCAGAGCAGCAATGACTTCAGGCTTCTCGAGCACGTCCATGACCTTTTGAGCCTTGGTCCTCAAATCTTCCATCTTGGACAAGACGTTTTCTCGCTTGTCGGTGAACTCTGCAATACATTATCCATCAGTTTTTTGCATCGTGTCTACATGTGTCACTGCAATTTACCCTTGGGTGCTTCTTCGGTCTTGTGGAGCTTCTTGTAGAGGTCCAACACGAAATCAACCATGTTGGAGCTCTTGAACAAGTCGTACTTGGCTTGGAGCAATTCTTGGGGAGCGTAAACCTAGCATCTCTCGTTAGTGTCACGCTTCTCAATCGACAGTGTCTACATGGATATCTACTTCTTTGAGTTCCAAAAATTCGATGAGAGGGAAAACGAGATGACGATCCAAGAATGGGATCATTCTCATAGTCAAATCTTGAGTGGCTGCCATATTGAATGTGATGGTATGTTTCAACAGTGGTGGAAAGGAAAAAAAAAAGAAAAAGACAGCACCAGCAAAAAATTTTGGAAGGCTTGTAAAAACAAAAACTCATTTACACAGTCACCAAGCAATGAAAAGCAAAGTGTTGGATTCAAGCATCATGCAAGCTGTCATTTATTAGTCCATTTGTCTATTCTCTGTATGGTCCAAAGGGTGCAGTGGATTGTCAGTGTAGGCTCCAGTATGCCCAACACCACGGCTAAGCTCATTATGCCACGGTATATGCAGGCGGAGTGGCATGTTGGCGTCGCTAGGTATGCTGTTGAGAGGGGCATGTGCATCAGTCTCCTGCGCCCAATCGGTATTCTGATCAGGCATCCACGTTATAATGTCTTGCGTAAGATCCGAATTGACGGATGCAGTTCTCGTATGCCCGCGTTGCTTGCTTTTAGGTGCTGGTTCTTGCGGCTTGAGAAGGGTGTCTGTCTTTCTCATGCTGTTCTTTCTTACAATCCGATCCACTTGTCCTAGAGCCAAGCTATGTCTCTTGGAAGGCTTGATGGGATGCTGCTGCAATGCAGTAGAGCTTTCGTTGCTCTTTTTTCGCCATTGTCGCTGTGGTGGCTGCTGTGAATTCATCGCCATAAAAGGGCTGCTGCTATCGAGTCGCTCCAATCGCTGAGATACTGGTTCTTTTACTCGAAACGGATAAGGCAAGATCATGTCTTTCAAAACGCTTGCATCGGGATAATCCAAGTAGTTGCGGATACTTGTGGGTGTTGGGATGTAGAAACCTGTTATAGTTTTTCCTGTGATCACAGGCTGCTCCGAAAATGGATAGGTGAATGCTGAAAAGTCTTGACATCTATGAATGTTTACTATGAGCTACTTGGAATTTATATATACACTTTATCTGATTTAGTACTTGCATCTATGTAGAGACAGCGCAACAGATTAGGCTCAATTCTCACTCCAGCTTACTATATATATATATATATATATACTTACACTGTCATCGTCTTTGTGAACCAGGCTAGTATGATTACTCTTGTGTGATATGGATCTATGATCTTGGTCTGTGATGGAGCTTGAGTGAAATGGTGCGTCTGTCGTCCTGAGTGAGCTGGCTGGCCTTGGATGATGTGCGAGCGTCGCGTGCTCTTTTCTCTCTACATCCAATTGATCGAATGTCTGTTGTAATAGTTCTGCCGTATCTTTCTGAGTGTCATCATCCTCAACCACAAGTGAATTCAATTGTCTCTCGATATTGGGCGTATACGCTGATGATCTGTTTGACAGCAGTAAATTACTGCTATTATTGCTACTACTGTGCAAGCTTGTCGTGGATGAATTGGCCAGAAATTCGGAATTGTGTCGCCCGTAGAATGGCAGTTGCTTTCGAAAAGTCTGTGGTGAGTCCATAAGGAGAGAGAGAGAGAGAGAGAGAGAGAGGAAATTGATGAAAAGTGAGCATGAGAAACAAGACACACAAAAAAAAACGAGTGTGTCATTTGAAACCACATTTTGTTCTAAATATATTGATATTGATTTTTCCTTGGTCTGTTTCCGCGTCGAAATACTTGCTTGTGGCAAGAACAAGAATCATGTGGCTCTTGCTCAAACGCTACAATGTACTTGCAATAGTTGGCCAATGTTGCAATGTATCTCTGTTGCATTGTAAATACTGTTGAAGTCTGTATATTCGCAGCAAGAAGAGCGCTTTATCTGCCTGCCCTAGTCAGGAAACCAGGTCTGGATGCTCATCTTCAAGGCCGAAACTAAAACACAGGTATATACATATAATGATTGACCTTTGACATGCCTGATACATGTTCTACAGACTTTGTGTGTAGCCTTTTTGTGAAAGTCCAGTAGGGGAGTCGAGCTCCATTTTTGTTTAAACTCCTTTAAATATCACTATGAGAGATAGAAAAGAGTGAATATATAACAAGAGGATCGGATGGGGAAAGAAACAAAGATAATACAGAAAAGGAAACGGATAGAGAAGCAATACTAGATATATACGAATCGAGTTCAACTCGGTATCCAAGCGGGCAAAGGAACGTGCAACACAATGTTCAACAGTGAGAGCTAGAAACGGGGTTCGGTCGAAAATCCAACGCCAATGTGTTTGCGAAAATTTGAGAGATAGAGAGATCATTGAAAGGAAAAAAAAAAAAAAAAAAAGTCATCGCGATCAATGGGGAGGAGAGGAACAGAGTAAAATTCGCTTGAGCAGAGAAAGAGGCAGATAGATATGAATGATAGATGTGACGCCGTGCCAGCAATCTTGGTGGACATGAGAAGAGAGCATGAGTGGCATCCTCCGTGGTAGAGGTGGAGCAAATGGTACTTGAAGAAGAAAAATGTTCCTGAGGAAGGCGAAGGTGAAGAACGGCTCCGGTGGGTATTTTTTTTATATATATATATATAGATAACTCGATACCAAGCCGTGCGAACAGCAAGAGGGATCGCTGCTGCCCAAAAAGAATGCCATTGAGTGGAAGTGAGAGGAGAAAGAGATACAGAGGAAGAAGGAATTGTTTCACGTAGTTTCTTAAAGTAGCAGATGCTTTTGAGAGGCAAACGACCGCGGCAGAAAGAGGAGAAAGAAGGGATCAGAATGCGTCAGCAAAACGCTCTTAGAGAGGAAGGTTGATTTGGATCTAATGATGATCGAGGAGAAGTGAAGCACTACTACTGTAAGAGGAAAGGTTTCAGCAGAAGTGGATGAGAAGTAATGTAGCTAGCAACGCGTTTGGAAACAATGGAATGGCGAGTGGATTGGCAGAAAGTACGAGCACGAAGCACCTGACAATCAGTCAAACCATAAAAAAACATCCTTTACAATAAGTTTCCTTGCACCAAGAGAGCGCTGTAAAACAAGATCCAGAGGTACAAAGCTTGGTAAAAAAAAACAGCGTATTATTACAAGGTAATGTATGTAGTATATTTCCATATAAAGAAAGTGAGAGACATGAAATGGCATGAACATAGCATATGCTACGTTCTGTTATCTGAAAAAGTGACAAGCATGACTGAAGATTAGTAATAGGATTGAAATACTTTTGCTGAATGGATGGAATTTGAGAACACCATAATCGATGACGAGCAGAAGGAAACAAGGGATAATAGAAGAAACGAGAAAAGATAGAGAAATAGCACCATGAAAGAGCAGCAAAGGAAAGTCTAGAGGGTATACGAAAACTAATGGAAGTTTTACCCAGGCCTCGTAAAAAGAGTAGCTGGGCCTTCGTAAATGTTGCGAGACGTAAACCATGCCATAACTAGGAATATATGAGCAAATAAAGGATGGTAGCACATCCACGGATGGAAACATTGTGCTGTGGATGAAGACAAGTAGCCCGCCTGGTGAAGTCATAGAGCTTAAGAAAGGCAACATTATGCTGAGTAATGCTGGAGCATATGGGATAACCTAAATGAGCCGAGAGGGGGGCGGCCCGATCATGCCAGGCAGTGATGCCATAGTAATGGGGTAAGACTTGCCATGTTTCAGAAAATTTACCGCAAAGACAGGTAGCTATGGTTTTGTAATGCGTTAGAAACGCTCATGAACATAGTGATTGCATCCTGCAAAAGTTGACAATCCCGTGTATCGCTAAGGTACATTAAGGCGTCATTAACGTAGGCAAGGATTTCGACCACCAGCGGCACAGAAGGAGCACAAGATGGAGGAGCAGTATCATCAGAAGGCAAGTTGAGAGGATGAGGCGGAGCTTCAGTGTATAAATTGAAATCAGTGAATTGAGGGTGTTGATGAATGGAGCAAAGAAAAGGATCAAAACCTATATTGAAATAGGATCTCCTTGACGGATACCACGATGATGTTGTTGCGTGATTAGATTGATGGAGGATGTGGCCATTGATGTTGACGTGGATTTGTATGAAAAAAGAAGCGTTAGTTATGAATGTATGATGCTAGTAAGAAGATTAAATCAGTGCATACTGGCACGAAGATAATTAGGATGGATTCTGTCACAAGTCTTCCATGGATGGCGCTATAGATTTATACTTGTATTCTAACATTGGCTACGGATGTTTACCATATCTGAATAAGCACCAAGATTAATGCAATATGAGCTTGTTGCTTCAGATGTGCACTTTATGATCCACGCTATAAGACACATGCTTATATCCGTGATACTAGCTACAGATACTTTATGTACTACAGACTTGCACTATATATGAGATATGCTATAGGCATGCCATGTATTATCCAGATACATGCTAAAGATGTATACTCAGCGATATACACTCAGATATGTACTATTGATATAGACTAAGTAGACTGTACCTATCGGATACATGCTACTACTAGATCGATATTAATTATCCCTATAGAAAGGATAGATCAGGGTACTTTGGATGAGAGTCTAATTATTCATCCAGGCAAAGCTAAACCATGATTAGCTTGCTGGAGTTGTCTTTTAACATGATTAGACATTAATTGATCTGAGTTGACTTATTTGTCAATTTAATTATTAGTAGAACGTTTATCCATTGTTATAGTATATAAGAAGGACCATCTACCTGGCCAGTAGAGAGACTTCAATTTACTTTACACCTGTCAGTTTGATAATAAACCTATCTTTATCAAGTTGACTTTATTCTTTTTTCGGTGAATTTAGACTTCTGAAAGCCTCAAATTCCACAGATACCATTGTATTCTATTCTGAACTCTCTGTAAACTTCATATAAGTTTGAAAGGGTTTTCACTGTCAAGAAACGCATAATTTTAAGGTCGATAGATTTCGGAATCTCATGGATCATCATTCAGAATATTAGAGATTGAAGTTCCGTTGACCTTTCGCATGTGTACAACACAAGTATGCATTTGGCCAAGCATTTTAAAAATCGAAGCATACGAAAATGACCATATTAACTTGCTGGTTTCAAGTTATCATTAGATACTTGACATGATGAAGAGTCTTGCTTTTAAGATTAGACAGTTGTAGCTTGCTTTGTTCGATTAGAGTGAGTCTTCCAATTTAAAGTATGTACATTCCTCCGCTTAAAAATTTGTATCTCTGATGTCGATTATCTCATGTAGTCAGCATTTCCAATACAATGTTCCCACTTAAAAGTTGCTCCAATATCATTATTCTACAACATATTTTATACGTGATTCTACAATCTTTTACCTATTATGAGGACCTGGATGTACAAAATGTTTTTTTTTTGATTTTGAGGTTTTCAACTTTTGGACGTGATTTATCAGAAATAAATTATTTATAAAAAGAGTGTTAAGCACAAAGAATAAAAGGATTATAATTTGTAGCTTATAAAAAATGTCCGATATTACAAAAACAAGAAAAGACTTATTTGAATAAGATCAGACACAAAAACTAAACATTCATTTATCTGTTTATTTCACTTCTATTGAACGTAATATCCTATCATGTGCCTTAATCAAAGATCAAGAGATCGCCTCACAATCGAGCAAAAGTATCGCATTATTATGCAGAACATGCACTTTCCTAATCTGACGCAAATGCAGCTCGGTCAATGGGCTCAAAAGGAATTCAACTTTCATCCCTCAGTCAAGCAAAAAACTGTATCGAACGTCTTGAATTCACAGGACAAGGTGATCAAAGCTTACGAAAAAGGAAATTTGAAGGGAAAAAGCAGCAGAGCCTTGACGATGCCTCTGGAGTGAAATCGGGTTTAATGGATTTCACAAAAAAAATAAAGCAATAGTAAAATACAATAGAAATCAATTGTATTTTATTTTGTGTATAAAATGAACTGAAGATCCTGGAATTGAGTAAAAAAAAGAAGAGTATTTATACATTTGCATCTAGCTTGTAGGATTAGTGATGATAGAGAGCAATAAGTGCTGCTATTGCGATATCTGGCAAATGTTGTTGATGTTTGATTTAAAGTGGTAATCAATGCAGGAGCACTGGCCATAAGGGTCGATTTGAGTAACCTTGATGGGCTTGGGTGAGCTATCGTCATAGCATGATTTAATGCAACCTTGATGGTTTAAAGTGTGATGTTTGTTATTGAAGCATGGAATCCTTTATCTGGGATATTGTGCAACTATGGCAGCAGGGCATAGTTGTCATATTTGAATATGCTTGTTATTGATTTAATTCTATTTGGATAAAGATACCATCACTTATTACGACCATCATGGGTGTGAGTGAATACACTGTGATCAGGAGTGCTGATTCATTCACATGATGTGCGATATAAGCATGCATCTTTACTTTAGTATTTTTAAATGGGTTTTTGATGTACATTTGAGCGCTTTCATTAATAGATCCAAATAGCATGAATTTGAATGAGTGCTATTTGATGAACTTTGGTTTTCAATTAAGTTGCGTTTGGGTGGCTATTTCATTACAGTTGGATGAGCTATCGTCATAGCATGATATAATGTAATCTTGATGGTTTAAAGTGTGATGTTTGTTATTGAAGTATGGAATCCTTTATCTGGGACTGTGCAACTATAGCAGCAGGGCATAGTTGTCATATTTGAATATGCTTGTTATTGATTTGATTTTATTTGGATATCACTACGGCCCAACTGATGTTCTCATGAGAACATCGATGTGCTCATTTGAGAACATCCGAAATGTTCCCATGTGAGCACATCGATTTTCAAAAATTTGAAAAAAGAATGATCCAAACGGGGTCGAACCCACAACCTATCGGTTGTGGATCTGACGTTCTTTCCACTAAACTACTCGAATATCTTATTGAAATATATTTTTTACTTTAGTAAGTAGTTATTAGGTAATTTTAAATTGCCATTTTCTCGTGCAATTTATAATACGTTTAGTAATTTTATGAATCTTACAGATAATAAAAGTCTCTCTGTTGCCTGAAATATTATAGTTTAGCTATTAAAACATTTTATTCATGTGGAAAACTATACCTTCTCAAATGAGAACATCAATGTGCTCATGAGAACATCGATGTTCCCAAAAGAGCACATCCATGTTCTGTGAGAACATCAGTTGTGCCGTAGTGATAAAGATAACATCTCTTATTACGACCATCATGGGTGTGAGTGAATACACTGTGATCAGGAGTGATTCATTCACACGATGTGCGATATAAGCGTGCATCTTTACTTTAGTATGTTTAAATGGTTGTTGATGTACATTTGAGCGCTGTTATTAGTAGGCCTAGATAGCATGAATTTGAATGAGTGCTATTTGATGAATTTTGGTTTTCAATCAAGTTGCGTTTGGGTGGCTATTTCATTACAGCCTCAATTGGACAGTGATATTTTGGAGTACTTTCAAGCTATGAATGCAAAATCTCTTCCTGTCAATCGTGGAACTGTTGCAGCTTTTGCAAAAGTAGTCGCACGCAGAAAGTACCGCATGCATGAATTGCCAAAGAGTAAGCAAATCCATTTCTCAGATGGATGGCTAACCGATGTTTTCAAGAGAATTGGTGTCAAGTCAAGACAGTTATATGGTGAAAAAAGCTCAATCGACTTAACATCATCTAATATTGTCGAAGAACTCAGAAAGATTGAAGAATTGTTGGAGCCATATGATCCCAAAGACGTTCTCAACTTTGATGAAACTGGCTTATACTACGAGCAACAAACAACTCGCACCATTTGTCAGGAACCTTTAGGCGGATCAAAGAAAAGCAAGAACAGATTCACAGTTGGACTAATCACCAACTATGATGGATCCTATAAAGGGCGCCCCATCGTAATTGGGAAACGAAAGACACCAAAGGCAGCAAACAAAAAAACTTGCTTTGTACAGAAGAACCACCAATATCTGGCAATCTCATTATGTGGAGTATCATTCATCACCCAATGCATGGATGAACACCGACATTTTTCGGAAGTACATCAAACATTTGAATGCGTCTTTCGTTTACACCGGAAGAAAAGTTGCTCTCTTGGTGGACAATGCATCAGTGCATAAATTGAAAGAAGAACTCAGCAACATTAAATTGATTTTCCTTCCGGCAAACACAACAAGCAAGTTGAAGCCTTTGGATGCCGGTAAATCAACACATTTCATTGATATCCGTACTCATCTCTAATCACACACTCAATAGGAATCATTGCGAACTTCAAGGCTCAGTTTCGCTGGCAGCAATACTACAGGGCAGTGAACAAGTATCTCGCCGGGGTAAACCTTGATCTCACCGAGGAATACAGAATGGATGAGGTGGATACTCTGTATTTTCTTGCTGATTCTTGAATCAAAGTTAAGCCTCAAACAATCCAAAATTGCTGGGATCATACGAAAATCCTTGATTTCAAGTTTGCTCAGAGACAGACAGTCGACTCGGAGGATGATGTACTTCCATCTTTCGAGCTACCTTTAGACGATGATCTAGTCAGTCAGTTGAACGAAATCATCCCTGAACTTCCTGGAAACAGTAGTAATGATGGGGTTCAAATGGTAGCTGAAGTAAACGACTTGGATCTAAATGCAGATGAGTCTGATGCAATCGTTTTTAATCCCGTGGTTGTTAAATTTGAGGATGGCGATGATGTTTCCCAGGGATCACAAGAGCTCGAGGTAGAGGAAGAACCAGTAGAGATTTACGATGTTGATACGAAGGAGATAAGGGAGAAGTTGAAGCATGCGTATGAAACTATCTTGTACCATACCATCCCAATGGATGAAAAAGAAAAGTTCATGCTGAAAACTATCCATAGGAATCTGAACGATATCAGATCGGAGGAAGTAGCAGAGAAAAACCGAACAGATTTACGTGATTATTTTGTTTAAATGTGTGGAATTTGAGGCTTGATAGACTAAAATTCACGGAAAAAAAAAGAATAAAAAAAAACAGTAATGTCAACTTGATAAAGGTATGTTTTATTATCAAACTGACAGGTGTAAAGTAAACTGAAGTCTCTCTACTGGCCAGGTAGATGATCCTTCTTATATACTATAACAATGGATAAAAGTTCTATTAATTAGATTGACAAATAAGTCAACTCATATCAACTAATGTTTAATCATGCTAAAAGACAACTCCAGCAAGCTAATTATGATTTAGCTTTGCCTGGATAAATAATTAGACTCCCATCCGAAGTACCCTGATCTATCCTTTCTATAAAGATAATTAATATCGATCTAGTAGCATGTATCCGATAGGTAGAGTCTACTTAGTCTATACCAATAGTACATATCTGATTGTATATCGCTGAGCATACATCTCTTTAGCATGTATCTGGATATATGGCATGTCTATAGCATATCGTATGCATGTCTACAGCATGTCTCATATATAGTACAAGTCTGTAGTATATAAAGTATCTGTAGTACATAAAGTATCTGTAGCTAGTATCACGGATATAAGCATGTGTCTTATAGCGTGGATCATAAAGTGCACATCTGAAGCAACAAGCTCATATTGCATTAATCTTGGTGCCTATCCAGATATGGTAAACATCCGTAGTCAATGTCGGAATACAAGTATAAGTCTATAGTAACGCCATCCATGTCCGTGGTGCCATCTATAGCCTATATCTTATATAGTATGAATCTTATAGTACTAGCGTATCTGAAGTTCATATCTTCTTATAGTATAAATCCGTATCGTACATCTAATCCAGTGTACAAATAGTTTATATCTAAATCTGGTAACTGGATGAACTATCGGAATGCAGATAATAGTGGATGTATTCCACAATTTCGGTGAGACTAACTCATGTAAATTTTGATGCGTTATTATGTTGTCGGTAAGCCTGCTAATGATAATAGAAACGAGAAAGCGAATATGCTATTTAAACACTAAGGCTTTACATTTTGGCTTCGCTACGGTAAAACCACCTTTAAAATCGCTGTTATCAAGTATTGGGCTAGATGCTTGAATACTATTTTGGTATTGCACCTTCGCCTCCCTATGATAAAATCCTTATATAAATTAATGCTAACAAAAGTTGGATTAAATGCTTGATTGTCATGGCCATTCACCTTCGTTTGACTACGGTATAACCCCCTCAAGGTCAATGATACCAACAAGTGTTGCCTTGAAACAACATATCACGCAATCCATAGCCAAATAGCAAACAAGGAATCACTTGATCAGATACGCCATGTTCTGGGAAGAAGAGCCTTTAATCTCTGATTAACTACGATGGCGCTTTTGTGTTCATATTTTCCAGTATCCGATATATGAAACCTCCGTGGTGCTATACCATACCATGGCCTAGAGCTTACCTTGATAGTAGTTGAATGCACGTTTATACAGTACAACTCCAAAAGAATTCACTCTGAATTTGCTAGTCAGCAACTAGCAATACTTATATTACCGGAATATTTTAAAGAACCTTCTGCCATTACATTTTAACTAAATTATTTTCCGTTATTGGGAATAGTCAAGTCGATCAAATCAATTTCAAACTTTTCAATTCATTACATTCTTACCCATGAAAATGTGATATATTTAAAAAAAACCACAATTTGACAATATTAAAATTTTCTCACCCTATATAAGGGTTCAATGTTAGTTAGATGTCAGACGTGAGACCATCAGCGTCTTTATATAAAGAAGTGTGGCCCAGACGTGAGCTTTCGGCGTCAGTATAAAAGAAGCAAGCTCCCCTCCTTTTTTTTTTTCATTGTCAGGTGTCAGGTACACACAGACTTTGTGTGTAACTTTTTTTAATTTAATATAAATATCAACTTAGTTTGTAAAACAATAAAGATCATCTTATATCTCAATTCTATTCTTTTATATACATTTATCTAAGTCTACTCTAAAACTATACCTATACACACGACACAGGTGCACACAGACTTTGTTAGTAACTTTTATAGTTAATATGAATATCAAAAATAATAAAGGTTATTTTTTTTCTCACTTATACTGCTGAGACATATACATTTATCTAAATCTGTTACTTATACTCACAACACCATTAAATAACGAACACTTTGTAACATTCCATGCGGAAACTTTTTGATAATTTTACATTTATCTGCCAGTAACTTTTAAACGAATCAGCTCTAGTACACATTCAAAATAACATTCATATATTACGAACTGTTCAACAACGCGATGGCATAGTAAAAGCGAATATAGTACCACAAAATTTCGAGAACCTAATTCCACTACAGTAGCAGTTTATGAAGATTATTATCTACAGTCTGATTGGATTATTTTGTATATTCCACACGGTCATCAAGCGATTGAGAAACAGTATCTAATGAATATTGTGGCAAACATTGTATCGTATAGTATTAAAAGACAATTTTTCATGTATGTTATCTTTTTACTATCTCATGCCGTGCAATAGATAGCATCCTATTAATAAAATTAAACAGTATGGGCCCGCTTCTGCAACAAAGGCAACATAATAAAGCGTGCTACTCTTTGGGGTATTCAATGCATGCATCTTTAATAAACTCAGTAAATCTGTAAGCCATGTCTTTCTACGTGTTGTATTCACATATAATCCAGCCCAGCCTTTCATAGTATTGATCTATACGAGGGCTTGATTGTTGCGAAGCGAATATGCAACATTGTAGTATCTAAGTAGTAAATTCGATTTCTCTCTTTCTTTATTAATAATGGATTGTTTAATATCTACATATATAGCAGAGTTTATTATTGTTAATGATTTGGAATGTCTACGGCGACAGCCCGCAGGGTGACACCGTCGTCAAGTGTAGTGATATTGCATCTAATTCAACATTTGGTAATATTAGTCCTAATCGATTTTACCGTAGTCAAGCAAAGGTGTAAAACCGTAGTGTTCAAGCAGCAAATTCGGGTTTTCATTTCCACTGTTAATAAGCTTACCAGCAACATATCACATCAAAATTTGCATGAATCAGCTTTACCGAAATCAATATGTCTCCTGTTGAAATTACAAGCTGCACAGGTGGCAGAACTGCCCTTCCAGACGACTTTAGCTACTAAAGATGTGGTTCGTGTCGGGTAAATAAAAGCCATAAAGCAAAACATAACCAAATTGGACAGTTTTCAAGCCTTCATATCTTGACATGTAGGCCTTTCTGAGCCACCGGAATAACGCCAAACAATTGCACTTGAGCAGTAGTAACTTTCTGACACCTTTGCTCAACTTTTTGAAGACCTAAAAAATATGGCCAAAAATCGACCAAAAAGCATGAGGTACCCCTCATGGTTTTTTTTACGAAAATCAAAGGATCGCGTTTTTCGCCTTGAAAATAAAGACTTTTACTATGGCATATATTAAATTAAAATGTTTCTCTCGATCCAGAGCAACCTCTGAAACCACTGTTATGAGGCTTTCATATACAAAATATGACTATTTTCGCTAAAAACCTCATTTCAGATTTTATTGAATTGCTCAATAGTTTCAATCAAAACACTTATTACAGTTAGCACCGTCGGAAGCGCCTTGAAAAGTACTTCAAGAATGTATTAGGAAACGTAGGGTGATCATCACAGTTCATATAGTCGAATACCAAAAAATAGATTAAAGAAGTCGAAAAAAGACGAGATCTGTCCAATTTTGAGCAGAAAAAAAAATAAGCTGAGGTTGAATTAATTTTGGCGGCGGCGTTGCTGCTGGCTGACCTAAATGCCTTTCTGTTGATGATAGTGATGATTGCGATGTTGATTAAATGGGGATCATGGAATTGAAAGGGTAATTGCTTAACCCAAATACTTTTTTGGGTGCTTTTGTTACAAGCAAGCGAGCCTTTTGCAATGTCAACATCTCAAAAAAGTCGCTGTAGATCTTATACAAGTCCTTTATTTACTTATGACCAGCTTTTTGTCGCCATTTTATTAAGAGCATCAGCAGCAGTGAATGATATGACAATTCTATTATCAAAAAATGGCGATTGTGATGTACAAATACTGCATAAAATTTGAATTTCTTTCACATTGTCCCAATAATAGGCTTTGTTTAATATCAACGTAAGCAAAAAGGATACTAAGGGAGATACCTCCTCTCCTCCTCCTCCTGGCTCTGATACAACCTTTCTGTTACTAACTAATAATAAATTGTTTAAAATTTACTTGATATACCAAAATGTTATAATGTCTGATTTAAAACGGCTTCGATGAGAGCCCGCAGGGCGACGCCGACATCGAGCGTAGCGAGATAAATGGGCAAGTAATAAATACTGGAAGCCTTGAACATAAAAGCGTCGTAGTAGCAAATTAGATACTGCAAGCCCTTGTCCCAAGAACACACTGCATCTAATTTTAATAATGTTATACCTGCTATACTTAGCTGTGGATTAAGTGATTTGTGTTGTCAAGGCAACATTTGCTAACCTTGACCTTAAACAGGTAAAATAACCCTAAGGAAGCAAACGTGAAAAGCCATAATAAAGCAGTAAATTTTGTTTCTTATTTTCATTTGATGCATTTCACACCATAATCCATTATATTACACCTAATACAACACATCAACATCTCATCGTTTTTACATACACTACTAAACGCACATCAAGACCCATCAAATAGTCAACTAGTAGGATGACTATTACTGAAACAATACCATTTACTTCAATGACATACAAGAACGGTCACAATTACACTTAACTGTAGATTATCTACACATATCATTTACAACAATCTACTGGATCATCACACTTGACTTTACACCTCAGGATTTGACGTTATTCATAAAGATATAAATGGGACCACACAATTCATTCAATAAAGGATCGTCTTAATTTTGCACAGAATGATAAACTGATAATTTACTGATACATTTATTTGTATGCCTTTAGTTATTTAGCACCTTGTTGAATATATCAGCTTGTAGCTCATAAAATATATATTTTTCAGCAAATTTATAAAGAAAACGTACATCTGATACTTGAAACCCTTACATTATGGTGGATCTAACGTAGAGCTATTGAATGGTCTTTGTTTTGTGCAAATCCGGTTAGTATTTGTCGAGGTATGTTCAAAAAAAAGGGTAGCATGCAAAATCATTGATTTTGCTTCAAAATCTGCCTGTGATAGCAAGCAAAAAAATCTGGTGACCTTTTTTTGGTCAGTACAATATTGTCGATATTTCATGATAGAGTTATGCCAGAGCTTCAAGCAATAGCTCATTCGGTAGGAAATTTTTTGGTCTACAATGATCAGTAATGCTTAACAATATGTATTGATAACAGATAGTAATTAATCTTTAGAAAACAGTCAAAAAATCCCAAAAAAAATTGTACCAAATATTTGGTGAACAATGTACACCAGAGACTTGATATAAATACCATTGTATTCTGCTTTGAATTCTCTACAAGTTTCATATAAGTTTGAAGGGGTGTTTACTATCAAGAATCAAATAATTTTAGGTCGATAATAGATTTAGAAAACTCATGGACCATCATCCAGAACAATAAAGATTCAATCTCCGTTTAGCCTTCGCATGTGTACTGATGTATCATTTTCTAAACCGGATCTCCAAATGCGTAGAAACAAGCAGTTCAAGCACCGATCACATCAGATCATAAACTTTGACATGAAACAGGATTCAGTTACGATCCATATCATGGCATGTTCAGGATAATAGATTGGATCTATTATCTTATCACCCATATCAGCCCATCTAACACCTTATCCTCATATCAAATCCCTCAATTCGAATAGTATATAAACCCTCTTATTTCCAATGTAATAAACGATATTCTTTACCTGATTAATTTCATACTCTTTTTATAAATAATTTATCTTTGATAAATCAATTACAATAAATCCGCCACTTGATCCTAATACTACTTGTCCAATAACATTTACATATATTTTATAGTACGTATTGCTCAGGGTTGTTAAGGTCCTACAAATAGTAACACCAACCTGCCCATTACTAGTACATCTGTCTTCCCACTACAAGACTATTGTATTCCCATTACACTGAAAGAATATATGTATCTGTGTAATCGTCATTATGCAAGCGAAAGCAGAAAATACACTTGATATCGACTGAACGTTACCAAGCTTATTGTCGATTCAACAAATGATCTGTACATGTTACTCAGGGTTCGTTTAAATAACCTTAGTAGGTTAAAAAGGCTTTCGTGTGAGCATGGTGGTGATGTACGTACGGTAGGCTAGATAGTTCAATGTAAAGTGTTTGTCATTGGAGGATGTGGATACGACATTCTAACCTGAACACAATTTGTGTTTAGGATATAAATCAAAGCTGCGTGGTAATGCATTATACAGACTGTATAATACGCTCGAGTAGTGATAGATGAGGGTGGTTATGAGAGGGCTAATTTATATCCTGGTGGAATTGGGTGCCGAAAGTGAGGTGAACCTATGGCATCTCGACCCTGAAGTGGTTCCTGAATCTGTTGAATGTTCTTTCACCAAGAGCTGCTATGAAGAACATTATATTCAATGTTTATACAAAGGTGGTTTCTTTACTGGTAATCACTAAAAGCTCTTACTTATCAATCTTCTCTTTACTGATGCAATGCGCTTGTATGCAATTCTTCCGGTCCTCAGATCAAAGTCATGATTCCGCTTGTCAAATAACTCATAAATACGCTCGGGCTTAACCAACTACTTGAATCTTCATTCAATCTTGGAGTAGTGAATAAATATATACAGTTTTATTTTCATTCTTCAGGTTCTATATTTACTATTCCAAACAATTTATATAATAGTCATGAAGAGTGAACAGCATGCAATGCGCATTTTGATCTAGTACAAAGCTACTATTGATTGGGAATTACGATTAATACGTAAAGACGTTCGAAAAGCGAAGGTGTAAGGCGACACTACCATGTGTACCAATGTCATGGCCTGGCAGTGCCTAGGAAGAGATGGATAAAGTTCATTTTTCTAGCTATAATACTCCCTGCTTTTTTTTATGCACATCCATCTTTGTCTACGCCTTTCCCTCATTAAACACACCAGGTATAAGCCCGTTGGTACATCACATTGTAAAGATAAAACAAACAGAGACTGTGCGCACAAACACAGTAGCACATGTTGTTAGCACCTTACTAGTCATAAAGATTATTCTGGTAGCGTTGATAACACTATATACTACAGGATTACAAAGACGCTTTGCAAGTTGAAAAGGACGAGAAAAAGACATTATAATTTTATTTGTTTTTGTTCAGAGAGAGAGAGAGAGCGAGAGTTAAGGCACAACAAAAAGTATTTACAAGAGTATATGTATAAATAGATAAAGGAATGGGGGAAGTAGAAGCATGTTATCGTAGTAATAAAGGTGATAAAGGGGAGGGAGTGTTGATTAGAGCAAGCTGTTCAGTTTTGTTGTTGTTGGTATTGCTAGACTCATCATAACAAATAGAATCATTGAAAGGTGTACTTGGCATAGACTCATCATCCGAGTCTTCCTCTTCTTCAGCGATGATCAGGGAATTCAATCTTGTAGGGGGTGTTGATGTATTTAAAGACTCCTGGCGGCTACGCATGACATGATGTGTGGTCGGTAGTGAAGGTGGCACAGGAAAATCCAAATACTCGGTGGTGTTTATACAGAATACAGAATCTTCATCATTCTCTTGTGGAGATAGTAATATGGGTTGCTGCTGCTGTGGTAGTGGTGATAATTGTAATTGTGGCGATTGTAAATGGGCTTGCCGCTGTAGTTGTGATTGTTGAGATAGTAATTTTAACTTTTCTTGCAATATGTTTGGCATTTGCTGCTGTGATGCTGCTGTAACTGTTGGATGGTGTGGTGAAATGCCCAAGTTGCCATCTGTCCATTCAATAGTGGGTAATTGCATTGTTTGAAAGATGTCGGCGAATTCAGGCTGAGGTTCCTTTCTAGGTGTTGATCCTCTGGTAGATCGTTTGACAGTGACAACAATTCTTTGAAAGAGACGAGACATGTTACTCATGTGAGCCTTCATGCTGGGTGCTGCTGCCGCTGCTGCTGCCGCTGCTGTCTTTTTACGCTTAATTTGTTCTTGTTGTTGATTCGAATGTCCTTCTTCTTCTGCATCGTCTTGATGCTTACGCTTTAAATTAATAATAGGTGGATGAGAAAAGAAATTGGTGATACTTGTACGCTTCTTTTTTTTTCTTCACTGTGAATGGTGTTGTAACGGACGGGCGGTGGGAAATTGTGAGTGGGTTTCTTTGAATTGAATAATGGCATATTTGGTTTATTTTGTTTGTTTGTAAAGATGAAAGCTCTAAATTCTGGGCAAAAATGTACCTCTTTATATATACTTTGATATTCGATCACACTCCCCACACCATCATCCCCTATCTCTTTACTCTACCCCCTTTCTTCCCCCCCCAAGATCAGTTAAATGGTAGAAAGGTTCCTCCCCACCCCCTCCCCAATGTCATGTAGCTTCTCCACACAAACCAAACAAACAAAGCATAATTTATCCAATAGAAAAATGGGACCCCTTAATATTACAATTATAGTGAATTTGAGCGTCTATCTGGATAATGATCAGGGTATTTTATTAGTGTTATTCATTTGATCAAGTCATCAAGTGTTGCCAACACCGAATCCCATTCCATGTACACATATAGAGACAGCTATGATAGATTCATTGTTCGCAACATGTTTTCATGAAGGTAAATGTAAAGTTTGGTGAGGCAGTAGGCTGCATAGTTAAATATAGGGTTCTCCTTGAATTCAACTGTCATTATCGAAATTTTTCTCTCTGGAAGTCGATCTTGACCTATTCAGGGGTACAGAACCTGCTGCTGCCGCTATAGTGGTGGTGGTGGTGGTGGTGGTCTCGCTTTGACTTTTGGTATTGTGATGATTGCGCTTTGTCATGCGGGACGACACATGCTGGGTATCCGAATCACTTTTTGAGGGTTTCAAACTAGGTCTTTTTCTTCTTTTGGTATCGTCCATCTGGCTGACAACAGTAGATCTTCTCGCATTTTTAGTCAAGTTGCTTACGCCAGGTAACAACACGCCAGGCACATTTTTCTTTTTGGCTAATGCTTCAATACGCTTCCTTTCTGCTTCAAATTGTTCATTGTTCACTGTCGTGTTGTTGACACCTGCTGCTGGTGTGAGCTTGATCTTTTCATCTGATGAGTTGGTGTTTCGCTTCCATCTTCGCCAGCCTTCAAAATCAATCAATGCCTGCATACAACCCCATTCGATAATCTTCTTTTCAAGCCATTCCAGACTGACGGGTTTTGTAAGAAAATCATTGCATCCTGCTGCGAGTGCTGCATGTCGATCAGATTCAAGTGAGGAGGCTGTCAATGCCACGATGATCACCGGGGATCGGAAAATAGAGGGCTTCTCTTCGTTTTTGGGAGAGTTGTTGTTGGAGGAGGAGGTGGATTCTTGTAACTTGATCTCGTTGACTGCTGCAGAAGCAATAACAGCTGCTGCTGCAACTACTTCCAGAGGCTCTTGTTGCAATTGTTGCTCCTGTTGTTGCTGCTGTCTCAAGAAGGAAGAAGACATGGGCAAAACACCAATCTGCTGTTCTTTTTCAATGCTACGAATCATCTTGGTAGCTTCGATACCATTCATGACAGGTAGTTGAATATCCATCTAGCAATGCGAGAGTTGGTATTACAAAAAGAAGGTGGGGTCCTGCCTAGAGAGAACACTTACCAAAATCAAATGGAATCCACCTGACTTCCATTTATCCACTGCTTCTTTACCATTGCTAGCCACTGAAAACTTGATCTTGTGCTTCTTCATCCAAGCAGATAAAATAGCCTGATTGATAATGTTGTCTAAAATTGGAATTGGGAGTGATTAATTGGCACACACACACACACACACACATCAAGTCTATAAGGGTTGATTCTTACCTTCCACAATAAGCACATTGATGGGGGGACTCACGACATCAGTAAATGGTGTTCCCTTGGCCTTCTTTTTCTTTTTATTCAGCTTAAAGTTGGTCATTGTCTTGGAGAGTATCTTTTTCGGTTTTGCAGTCTCTGCAGTGATGGTGTTGCTATTGCCAAGATCTGTGTTCTCTGCTGTTGCTGTCATGTTTGATGCTTGATCTTCTGGATTCGCACTATCCGTCATCATGTTATCGACAGCAACAGGTAAGCCGACTGCAGGTGATTCAGTGCTGATGGTATCCAATGTATTTGACGACAGTCCGCTGCTATGGCTATCCATGGCCACATGTTCATTCTCTACTTCTGCAGCAGCAGCAGCAGCAGCAGCAGCCGCAATACTAGCAGCAGCAATGGCAGCAGCAGGGGAAGTAGTGGATGTGGATACAACACCCAATGCGTTCATCAGAGGCGCTGTTGATTTTGCAGTCAGATAATCCTGTTCTTGTTGTGCATTGGCTGATTTGCGTCTTGAATTACTAGCACTGGTGGTTGCATGAAGCGGAGGCGTGGTCAATTGCTGATCTTGTTGTTGCTGAGATGTAAAGTAAGTATCACTATTTGCTGGGGGAGGCATTGATGGCGATGATGAAGGTGCAGCAGTAGCCGATGATGATGATGGCGGTAAGTTAGCAGGAGGGCTGAACAAACCGCTGAGAGGTCTTCTAGTGTTGGATCGATGACCATTACTGCCAGGAGAAATGTCGTTGGGAGACATTCTACTACTAGCTTCATTTGGCGAAGTGACACTGGCATAACCCTTTTGAGCTGCGGCGGCCATTTCTCGTTGGACCAACATGGAAATCACAGGAGGCATAGGACTTGAAGGAGAGGTGGCAATGGCCGAGAAATGAGGCTCCACAACTGAATTATGCCAGGCTGTATGCAACGCTGTCAAGAATCGCCTGGGACCTGCAGGTTTGGGTACGACTACCACGCGAGGCATACTGAATGGGTCTCTGGAAGGTAAAAAGGCATAATATTGGATGGTATCTCGCACTGCCTTGTATTTGGTGAGACTGGTGAAATGGATGATGGCCGTAGTGCCTTGGTGGAAAAAGTTTTGAGGGCTGGAAGTGGATGATTTCTTGCTGTGATGAGGGTGGTGATGAGGGTGGTGATGGCCGGCCGCGGCCGCTGCCGCTGCTGCTGCTCGACGACCTCCATGATGTGCTTGCAAGACGTTGGCTGAAGCAGCAGGTTGGGACCTGAATTCGGCTAATTTGTTTTCCAATGTAGCAATATCATCGTCAATCAAAATGAAGGCCGGTGGAATAGAATGAATATGCTCTTCTTCAATGGCAGGTGAAGGTACAGGTGGTGTGCTGGGTTGACGAGAATGCACAGGCTGCTGTTGTGGTGGTGGTGCATTGGCAGCTGGATCAACCAGTGGTGTTGTAGCAGTTGATGAGACACAAGAGGAAGAAGCAGACGAGCTTGAATCCACAACAGAACCATCCATACCCATATTCGCGGTTGTACGCTGAGCGACAGGGACGTGGCTGATGTCCGTATTCCAGCTTGCAAGGCAACTGGTGAGGTGCTTTGCAAAGATACTCTGTTCAGGTGCATGCAACACCATTTTCAACTCCTTTAAATGCTCAATGAATTTCGCTAAATCTTTCAAGCTGGGTTCATTGGCAAACTTGATGTTGGCATAGTGGTTTTTAAGCAAATAGCTGTCCTTGGTAATGAACATTTTGTTGTTGTCTTTTTTGCTGCTGTTGTTATTACTGCCTCGTGCAAGATCAAATGAGAAATCAAACTTGGTCTGATTACTAGTGTCTTGTGTAGTGCTGTCATCCGCAGAGTCGTCAGATACGGTACGCTGAGCATGGATGTATTGCAACAGTTGCGCAGTAAGATTGGCGTTGGGTAATAAGGCTGCACTGGCGTTGCGAATAGCAGGCGAGCTGGTGTGTGTAATGTAAAATGTAATAGTGCATTCGTCGTCTTTGGCAGTGTCTGTGACATTGAGTCCAACTTCGATACAGGCACCAGGAGTGCAACATTCAAGGACATTTCGAAGATGCTATAAACAAAGTCAGTGGGTTTGATCTACATACGAGTACTGTGGAATGACTCACATTCAGCAAAGCATGTCGAATAGCACCTTCATCACCAATCACCAACGTATGGTGCAAACTATTATCACAATGATAAATGACAAAGTTGACATCCAGCTTGGAAGCCACACCAGCTAGAGCGTCACCAATGTTTTGCAGTAGCTCCCCAATATCAAATTCAACCTTGTTTAATTCAGGCAACTGCAATGAAGCTGTTCTTCCCGCTGCAGCAGTGGTAGTAGAAGTCCACGCTTGCACCGTCAATTTCGACAACAATTGCAAGTGAGAGCTGACATGACACACTTGCCGAATGGTGGTGTTGATAGCGGATATACTAGCAATGGGTACAGCTAGAGAACAAGCGCTCAACAGTTCATGCGTAGTGGATAAAATCGAAGCTGGCGAGAACTGCTCCAAGGTTGTAATCACCATCAAGGCTACATCTTGAATTTCTTGGGATACCGTGTTTAAAAAAGCCAAGCGGTGATGGCTGAACTCCAGGGTGCGTTGATCGAGGTAGTCTTGCAACTTGGCATGCTCTCTTGTCACTCTTGATTTCAGTCTTTCCTGTTTGAGTTCATTGGCCATCAGGATACGTTTCGCAAAGGCAAAGATGAAGGAAGCGAGAATAGCGAGGGCTACAAACAAGGTGTGAAATTGCTGCTGAAACAGTGGGTAGAAGCGTTGTGTGGGTAACATGAAGTTGGTGGAGGCCATGACAATGGCACTGGCTTGTGTCCAATTCAGATATTGACGGAGGTGCTCGGTGCGATTCTTGAGGACGAGTATCATGAACAACCACCACAAGGTATACAACGGTAAAATAGCGTAAGGCATCCAATCCTGATAGTGCTGTATCACTTCATTCAACGAAGCAGGCATACCGCGCATCACGAATCCGCATTCGACAATGGAGCCTGATAAACACAGTACGTTGGCTACAGTGATCATTCGAAATATCTCTTGTATAATTTCGTCCTTTTCTTGTTCTTGTGCTGTTTCGTCTTCGTAATCGTGTAATTGGATCGATGGTAATTTGATATTGTAAAAGTCCTCTTCCTCCTCCTCCTCTTCTTCTTCTTCTGCTTCTTGGTCTTGGTCTTGATCTTCGTCTTGGTCTTCTACTATGGATGATGCTTTTGATAATGTCGAATTGAAACTGCTAGCATAGTACAAATCAGTAGTTGTCCAGGCAGACCGTAGGTAGCCCAGTCGAGGTCGCTTTTGAGTAGTGATGGGTCTGGATGTGGTCGCCGTCGTCGACGCGCTCCCTTTGCCACTACTACTGTGTGGATCTGTCATTTATAGATTATGTATGAGAGAAAAAAAAAAAAAAAAAAAAAAAAGTTTAAATTGAAAGATAAAATGGGTGAAAAAGAAAATTTTCTTGTCGATTGGAAAATATATACACAGAGGAAAAAAAAAGGGAGTCCGGATCCACTCTATAGTGGTAACATAAGCCAATGAAACTCTAATTGAAAAAAAAAGGATGGGGGTGGCACTTTTATAAGTTACACTAGCAAGGTTCTATTCCTTCTTGTGTGTTCCATCTGCCCTATTCATTTTCTGATGATTGGTTCTCTGGAGAGATCTCAATTCATGCTATAAGCTAGATTATAGTGCTATAATGGAGTGCGGGGTTCCTTGACCACATTTAGGCCGATAGATCAATTTAGAAGCTCGATTTGTTCTTGAGTAATACATGATCAGAACCTTAATTTTGTCAGGAAGGAATAATAGTCGATGGGTTATAGTGTATAGAGGCTGTCAGTGACGGACCAGAATGTGTATTGCCGCATTTGGAGTGGCCGTGCCATATCGTCAATCTAAAGTCTGATTTTGGCTCTTTTGTCATCGGCCCCCACCTGTTTCTCCTTGATCTCTCTCTCTCTCTCTCTCTCTCTCTCTCTCTCTCTCTCTCTCTCGCTTACCAAAAATAGACTTTCTTTTGATATGGCCCTGATGCTGTATGGAGAAACAGCATTGCACACAATCACAGTAAAGGAGATTGCCCAATCGACAGTAATTTCTACCAAGGGATAGTATAAAAATACCTGTCAAGGAGGGAGACACTGACACTGATGACAATTGATAAATATAAATACCAGAACCGAGGAAATTAGAGCATGAAATGTAGGAGAGCTGCTTATAATAGGAGCAGCATTTGTAGCAAACAAAAGGTTTCAGAGAGGAGATCAAGAAGTCTGTTTGCATTTTTTTTTTTTTTTTCAGTCAAGGTATCGATGTACCAACCAAGTTATTAGCCAAGTGTAGTCTGGTATATATTTGTATACGTGTTGTAGATATGCTGTCAAGTGGGTTCCATCATGAGTAGCAACGATTTACATAGGAAACAACCGATAATTCAATTTACAGCTGTCAATCTGGAAAGGATTTTAAAGTTATTGATGTAACAATACAGCCAACAGGAATAAGATTTTACTTTACTTAATATGTACAAGTATGTGCATTGTGTGTATGCTCATGTTTATATATGGACAAGGGCAGAAAATACAAATAAAGAACAGAATCTCTGTATGTTTATCAACATGAAGTATTACTATATTCATGAATGTGTTTTGTTCAATAACCTGTTTAGAGTTTGTTACTAAACATTGATCAAAATAGCACTCTTTGAGGCCCTCCTTGTATGTAAACCCCTTCAGCAATGTATGAACAATGATGATGTTGGTGGCAGTGGCAGTAACAGTTTATCTACTACACTGATGCTGCCAGTCTGTTTTTCAACATGCAATAAAAAAAAAGAGGAGGAGGAGGAGGAGGAGGAGGAGGGGTGGGTGAGTGCGGGAGAAAAGCAGAATAAGAGAAGGGGAGAATATCCTGTGTATAAATACATATCTACATGTACATATAATCATAAATCCCCTTTTTTTTTCTCTCTTTTTTTTTAAACTTTTTTTTTTTTTTTTTTTTTTTTTTACTTACTACACAATGTGGCTATCGCGCAAAATATCCTCCATCATCAAACACAAAGCCTCAATTGCTTCATTTAATCATAGGAAGAAGGAAGAACATGTAAGCATAGTCTTCAAGACAAATAACGCTAAGAGCTTATGGTAATCTGATAGATATCTTTTGTGTTGGGAATAACATCCGGTGCAAAAAAAACCGGCAAATCAACACTGATAAAAACATTGGCATTGGATGAAATAACCGATCAATCTCACATCATGCCAAGCAACCACAGCCGAGATGGTACAAATGTGTCTGTAATTTGACAGAGAAATACACAATACCAACTGTTTTGTGTGTAGGAAAATTATACCGTCTTAAAAACAACGACCAGTTCATCATACAGATCATTGAATACAGTGGCATACCACCCATGGTAAATAAAGCGATCCAAGTCGGCACAGCCAACAACCATAGACTCATTCTCTGTCTTTATAGAATTTAAGCTCTTTGGATGGCATGTTTATATGTTATGATGTGACCAACAGAGACTCCATGGATGCATTACCTGATATAACAAGTAAGCTGTTATTTGATGAGAGAGAAATGCATGACAAATAAAAATGAATGCATGATTTCTTAGATACTTTTATAGAGAATCAAGTGCCGTGCCTTTTAATCGGTCTCAAATCAGATTTGACAACATTGAGAACCGTGGATCCGCAATTGGGACATTTGATTGGCAATCTGTTTGGTGTACAAGCAATAGAAGTGGACAACTTTACGTTAGCAGGCACACAGCTATTACAGCAGTATTTCATACAGTTTATCTATTCGGATCGAAAAGTATTACTGAGCAATCAACAGCAAGAAAGCACCGCCGCCAAGAAAAAAGATGCCGCACACGAACCTCCAAAATGCGACATAACTGCTACACCAGCGATACCTATTGTAACCATATCTCCACCGCCGCCAACAACATCTTGTGTCGCAAAATTAAACAACGCAACAGCAGACGAAGAATCCATTGAGTCCATCATTGATCAACTCCTCAACAACCACCAGCAGGATGAAAATGGCATCATCATCTTCCTCACCGTATTTCGAAAGTTCATGAAACCATCACATCTGGCAAAGATATTGATACAACGATTTGAATTTGATTTAATCAACCAAGAGTATCATTTCAAATCCACCACCACAGCCGAAAAGTTCATTTTACCCACCACACGGCAAGAGAGAATCCGATCTTTTCTCTGCATTTGGTTATCACATTATTGGGGTGATTTTAAAAGCTCGGTTACTCGTCGGATGATGCTGAATTTCTTGAATGGTGTGTCTCATTATCCAGAACTAAAGCCTATCTGTGATGTCTTGATGCCGCTGGCCATGAGAGATCCTGCAATCAAGGATAAAGACGCTTCATGGGGCATGGTGGATCAAGAATCCAGCAAAAGTGGGAGTGGCAACAAGAAGGACAGTGGCTATTGCGATTCGTTTCAATGGTTGGACGCACAATTAGCAGCAGCAGCAGCAGCAGAAGAAGAAGAAAAAAAACATGACCATCCTCAAAGCATAAGCTTGACACGAGCAGCATCGACCAATTCTCATGTTCCTGTGGCTCTCAAGTCTATTGTATCCACACTCAACAAACGAAATTCGACGCCTGTGTCTGTGCTCATTCAACAACAACAACAACAACAACAACAACAACAACAACAACAACAACAACAGCAACAGCTTGAACGAAATCCCAAAGCAATACCAAGAAAATCAAGCGTGGATAGATCCGCTATTTTTGGCGGTGGCATCATTCCTATCCAGTATGACCAACCCATCATGATGTACAAACATACAACACACCAATATGATGTTCTCAAAGCATTGACTCCCATCAAACTAGCAGAACAATTGACTTGGATTGATCAAGAGCTTTTTCGAAAGATACAGCCCAGAGATTTTCTTCGCCATGCAGCAGCATCTTCCGATCAGCATCTCCATCAGCAGAGCAGTAGCAGCAGCAGCAAGAGACTTGGAGGATCTGTGACAATAAACAAAGAAAATCCCGTGCTGGCTTCCATTGAACATTTCAACTTTGTGTCAGGTTGGATCGCTTCTCTGATTGTCGGTCAAGCCTGCAAGGAGAAACGGGTGTCCGTGTTTGAGTTTTGTTTGCAAGTGGCTGTTCATCTGAGGCAGCTCAACAATTTCAATACATTGATGGCTGTGCTGGCGGGTATCAACAGTGCTGCCGTGTTACGATTGAAACAGACACGACTAGCAGTGCAATGCAAGAACAAGACCTTGTATGATCAGTATCTAGCATTGGAAATACTCATGAGCTCTGAAAGGTAAAAAAAAAAAAAATATAAAATGGAGATTGCACATCCAGCTCTCACTCTCTCTCTCGAGAGAGAGAGAAACTGACACATACACACTCCATGACAGATCCTTTTGCCATTACCGTGCCGCATTGAAGGAAATCATGCATGTGCCTGGCATACCCTATTTGTAAGTTGTACATGTGTGCATGTGTCTCCTACCTTACTGAAATCTAACAACCAAGAAACTCACAGAGGCATCCATATCCAGGATTTGGTGTCGTTAGGAGAAGCAAATAAAGATTACAAGGCCAACGGTAAAGTGCATTGGAAAAAATTTCGATTGATAGGAGAGACGATACTTCAAGTCATGCGCTTCCAATATCCTACATTTACTGCATTGGTGCCAGACTCGTTTGTCATTTATTTTATTGGTCATGAAGGCACGGTCATAACAGAAGATGTAAGTCTACAGTGTGCATTGTGATGCGGATCTTGTCTCATGCATTACATGTGTAGGAACGTTATCAAAAATCAGTTGAAATTGAGCCAAGGTCGCTTAAGCCATCTCCCTCCACCAGCAGCTCCACTTCTCGTTGGTTGTTGACAAGGCATCAACATGTAATATACTAAATAGCTATGTATGTATAAAGAACCCCATCTTATACCCCCCCCCCTCTCTCTCTCTTATCCCCTCATTGTCATTAAATATCAATTTTATCAAATGCTGTATGCCATTGGGATCAAGTTGGGATTTGGGGGGGCTGCGTGTTTATAAAGGAGTGTTTTAATGTTTGATCTGTTTACTTTCTAAGTTTCTTGCATCTGCGAAATGAGTCTTGGCTCGAGAAAAAAAAAAAAAAAAGTTCATTCAATATGGATTCAGTCAGTCTGATATTAGCAGCAAATCACAACATCAAAACCAAGCATGGTGTTACTATTCTACAGCATGTGCCTTGATTCATGCAAGCTCACTCATCATATTTATATATTTATTTCATACAAATCAAAAGATTTAACTTTTCATGACGAATCAGGGGGGGATTCATTCTTGTAACAACTTGGGAGCAGTAGTTGTATGGGTAAGATGCACTTGTGCTCTCTACTGTCTAGTTTCTTGAACCTTGATTTAAGGATATATATATATATATATATATATATTCTCACACTAAAAACAGCTTTATGATTTCTTTCTCGCTGCTTTCTTGGCTGGCCTTGGCTTCATTGAGCTTGTTTTCTTTGCTGGTATTTTAGTGGTCTTCTCCTTTGCTGATTTTTGCTTGACTGGCTTGGTTGTGTCATGTAATACGTTGTACTGGAAGCTTGATTTGAACAGGGCCCGTATGAAGGGGAAATAATCAAACTTTTGTCGTATAGAATTGGCTTTTTCCTGCTCTCTTTTGACTGTGAGTTGGTCGACCTCTCGGTTGAAGGGTTCAATGTCCATTGCAAATGTGTCCAATTTTGCTTGTGCTGATGCAAAGTCCTGTCCTAGCAATGAGCTCCAAATGTCCTTCATGGTATCGTGGTATTGCGTATCTGCCTCATTGATCATGTCGAAAAATGCCTTTTTGCGTCGTGATACTGTTGATTTGGCTAATCTTTTTATGGTCACTTGGTTTGATAATTGTAGGTATGAACTATAGGCATTCTTTTGCTTTAATTTGGTTCTGTAGCCATCTTTTGTGATTGCCAATAGGCTAACGTCCATTCTGTAGTCATATTGAATTAGTTGATGTGGCATCGTGTGCCAGCTATGATTGCCAACTTACCGGTCTTGCATGCGCTGTTGGATGATTGGTTTCACTGCAGTAATCCACTCCTCATGTGTACACTCTTGAAGTCTCACAGGCTGCGATTTGAGCCCATCAAGCTCCCAAACGAAACCATTATTGTAGATATAGCTAATATAATGGTAGTTTTCCGTCTCGACAACCTCGTAGTTTGCATCGCCATATTCAGTCGTTGCGTCCATGGCGGCTTCAGCTGTATGGTATGCATTGCTGGCATACGCATTGTGAATTGAGCGGATTTCATTCTCATAGCTTAAACACCATCCACGATTCTATCAAGACAATCAGTACCATCGTGCTGATTTCAAGCAATACAACTTACCGTAGCTGAGAAGCCTTGAGTGAATTGTAAAAAGTTGTTGAGAATGTCTCCTTTGTTGATATCAGCATTGAATAAGACGGCTAAAAGTGCCAAAGTAGCGCAGGAATTCGTTACAAGCTATCAGATAGTAATTAAAATGGGCAGAATACCTCTTGGTATCAAACCTACTTGTGATGTAAAGATAATGTTGCTTGCCAGAGGGTCTTGCTGTTCAAAGTTGTCTGGGAGTGCTTCTTCTTCATAGGGAAAAATATATATCAAGCCATGAACGCTGCTATTCTCAAAAGTTTAGCCCAAATACATCCAACATATCATATATCATACGTACGTATTGTCCTTCATTTCATCAAGTAGGTCGAGCCCAAATATGTCCACTGCTCGGGCGTCGTCCACCCCATACTGCTGAATCATGTCGTTGAAGACGGCTGTGAATTTTTATGGCTAGTTTAGAGGCAGTGAACACCTGTCAATAGTCAACATACCTGGGTCTGATGGAATCAAAGCCCAATTTGCTACATGTCCGTTCATTGTGGTTTTCTTATAGAGCTTTCCTTGACTGTATATATAATTAATGCAGTATGGGATCGAATTTCTTGTCAAGAATAAAATAAAGAAAGAAAACGTTGACTCTGTGTGTAAAATAAGGTTTTTACAGCCAGCCTTTCTTCCAGAAAAAAAAGAAGTAACGCATTTTTTGGGTGTGCAGAAAAAAAAAACAGGACAAAGTCCAGGAGCGTATTGCAAACAAAGCAACTTGATATAGGCACTGGTTATACGTTTTCAATAGCTTTGGGGCAGTTTGATTGACTTTTCGTGATTAATGGACAGTGCCAGCAGTACTCATGATTAGCCAGCGGGACTCAATTTGCGCGGCATTTTCGTCCTGAAATGCAAAATATAATTGTATGTTGCTAGTACACCTTCACCATGAAGAAGAGACAACAGTCTAGACAAAACGCCATCTTGTGAATAGCTGGCAGCAGTGCCAATTATCTCTCGTTCTGCCATTTCGTGGTGCTTAGTGGTTAAAATCTTTTGAAATTTCTTAATGTTACCCTTCTGCAATGGCGCTTTTTCAGGAACATGGAGAGAAATGCATTAAAATCATGGCAACATGTGTTTCTCAGTCTTGTTTCATGTCTTTATAAACGGTCCAGATCTTATGGCTTCACTGGGTCATTAGCTTCTATAAGTCAGTGCTGTCTAAAATCCTCTGATCTGACAAAATAGGCAATCCTATATAATAACAACGTGCGCTTAGGATCAGAAGCGGTATTACATGCCTATGACATTGTCTAATAAGTGGATCAAGACATTTGGAATCGAAATAGCGCTCGTGATAGACCCCGTCTGTCTTCGCTATACCATAATGCTTTGCAAAAAGCTACAATAACAGTTGCTTCAAAGCAACAAATCACAAATTTTGCCAAAATAGTATTTGACAGCTATCACGTGCTGCCCTGCTGAGGCCTCACACAATGCAGATTTGATCTGCAATTCCAATAAACTGGATTATCGGCATGTGAACCATTCAAGGACCAGGTTTCCTTTTCGGGTGGAAAATATTTTTCTCTGACCACCAGTGTTGATTTGAGTTTCGAAAATGGCCTTTGATTAAAGGTTAGCGCACCTTTGAAGGACATAACAAGTGTTGAGGGCTGCCGGGAGAAGGCACCTCTTTCAAAAGTGAGTTTTGATGATATCGGCGAAACTGGCTTAGATAAGCATTTGAAGGGTTAAGTGCTTTGAAGTCATGTGTAGCCCTGCGCAATCAAAGTTCTAATAGTTGAAACAGTGCCATATTTGACATACATGTAATCTGCGGCAGTAAGCTTTCGGATTAAACTAATGGGCTTAGGTTTGAATGTGCCACATAAGCAACAGTATCTTATCTGGTTTGGTAATATGGACCATCAGATAAGGAGAATAACTAAATTTCATAGTAGCAGAGCAAGAAAAAAACACACACTTTCATCTTATCATGTGTACGGCAATACAAGATGTAGCAACAAATAAAGCGCAATCACTATGATGATTGCTAAGAGTTGATAAGCAAAGCCTTAAGGAGCTTATAATAAATCCTATCAGCAAGTCGAGCATGAAGGCTAAGCTATTTCCTTTTTTGGAAAGTATCGTTTTCAGCGCGTTGCCCACTTTAAACATAAAGTTTACTCTCTTCTTCTTCAAATACAACTACTTGGTTACTAGTAACGGACCAATAGATAAAGCGTTATTATAAAGCATTACAGTCAAAACTGCTTGTTGGTACCATCATGCTTCGTTGTTGTTTAAAAAAGTCGCAAAGTTCTGCTGCGTATTTTCCCAGAAAATCCTAGTAAATGGGCACAGTTTTTTCACACGTTGTATGAATGCTAAAAGCTTGAGTTTAAGATCATATATGATTAATTTTTTTTGGGGGGGGGGGGTCAAAACATATATAATAATAAACGGACTTTCGGTTGCTACGTTTGTTATAAAATAATCAAGCGAGGAAAGTGCAGCGAACTCAATATATGAAGAACAGCGTTTGGACACTATTATTTGGATCCACTGTCAACTCAACCTGCTGTCTTTATTAATTGACTTTTGCTCCCCTGTGTTTGATCTACAAAACGAGACCGCGTTTGAGCACCTGCGATGCTTCCTTTCAAAAGTCTCTTTTTCGACCCCCCCCCCCCCAAAGCTGGAATTTACAGTGGCAATAAAACGTTTTTCTTCATAGCAACACAGAAACATCCATGTGGCACTCAAGTGTAGTAAAATAATTAGGGGCGTGTAATGGCTAATAGAAACGCACAAAAAGAATTTTACATGTGCCACTATAATAGCACCAGTTGAGACATCATTTTTGGATAGATAATTTGGCTGGGGCGACTGACCTTTTCATCAGCAGCGTAGCTGCTCTACAAGAGTGGGTGCTACAGCTTCTAGTAAGGCTTTAAATGGCAGGTAACTCTTGGTTTCACGCAATGATAATTGTAAGGAGAGGGTGGTGCAGATCCAGTGCATGCTTCTTGCTTTGAAAATCCTCAAAAAAAAAAAACTGAACCATTCGTTGGGCATTTCGATTCTGTACAAAATTATTATATCTAAAACTATGAACAGTAGTACGTTTGAACGCGAGGTAGAAGAGGTAATTCTAGTGTGTTGTAGCTCATTCTGAGCAGAAAACTCAATCTGTCAAATAGAATCTATTGATAATCCCAATAACGAGTAATAACGCGTGTGGTGTGTCAGTAAGCATGTACCTCAAAAACGGGTATCGCCAACATCTCCAGGGAGTACATCAATTGATTCTGTATCTTCAGAGAGGTCCTTGTGTGAATCTTCCTGGTCATACCGACCCTGCTTATTACTGTGGTGGTGTATGCGATAAACCCCAGCAGTAAATATTATTAAGGGCAATAATAAAGAGTAGCCTAATCATAATAAACACAGAGATCAGAATTCCTTACGATTTGTGCACTCTCTTCTTGTTGAATTCCTAAAATAGCCTCTTTCAAACGAATCAATGAAACACATAATATTACCTACATGCCACGTTGAAACGCTGCAAACCATGATTAGGAAATTGCGACTACATATAGCTGGGCGGTCAGCCAGGCTGACTGGCGTTGTCAGATTGAAAATGCTCAAAAAAAAAAGTAAAATTAAAATTTCAAGCTAAACGATATTCCCTTTCAAGTTCATGATCCCCGCTTGAACAGCATCTCATCATCATAGTAGCCATCACTAGAAGAAAGGCATTTTGGCCAGCCACCAGCGCAAAATCTATTCAAATTCAGACCACTTTGTTCCGTTCAAGATTGGACAGATCTTGTCTTTTTTCGACTTCTTCAATATAATTTGTAAGATTCGACTATATAAACTGTGATGATCAGCCCGTACGTCCTAATGCATTCTTGTAGTATTTTTTCAAGACGCTTCCAATGATGTCAAATAAAGTAAATGTTTTGACTAAAGTTATCGAGCAAATTTAGAAAATATGAAATGAGGTTTCTGGCCAAAAATATCAAGATTTTGCATACCAAGGTCTTAGAAACAAAGTTTCAAGGGCTGCTTTGGATCGAGAGAAACATTTTTTTATTTAATAGATACTATAATGATAGTCTTCATTTTCAAGGTGAAAAAAAAAAAAGAAACGATCTTTTTAATTTTTTGATGAAAACCATGATGAGTACCTCATGGTTTTGAGGTGATTTCTGGTGATCTCCAAAAAACTGAGCAAACGTGCTAGGCAGTTTGTGCTAGTAGAAAGCAATTGTATGATGTTATTCTGGCAGTCTAAAAAGGCTTCTAAGGCGAGAAATCACAGTTCAACCGCACCCAGGTTTCGCTGTGATTTGCATTAATTTGAGTGTCCTGAGGCAATACACGAATACTGTGCGCCCATATATGCGTTTACCTGTTTGAAATAATCCAAATCTTTATTGTAAAAAAATGCAATCGTACATACAGCTCAAAACTACACTGCCATTATCGTTGTAAAAAGATTTCATAGAATGACGGCGTCCGCAAGATATACAGGAGTGGCAGATGTCAATGATCCCAACAACCGTAATAATGAGCAGTTTAATACATTTAAGGGGCAGGCTTGAGAGAGAGAGAGAGAGAGAGAGAGAGGAGACTCAAAAGGGTGGAAGCATGTATGATCTCTCGGCAGTAACGCTTCATTTACGCCACTTTTTATACATACTTACCATTGCAAACACGAAGCCAAACTAGACGAAAAGATGTAAAAACTGATCCAATTATCCAAAAAGCAATATAGCTGTCCTCTTCATAATCTAAAAATCGAGCCGTTGCTAGCTGCTCTTAATGAAAAAGACATCAAACAATATACCCACAGATGTTGGTCTCAAACAACACATTGCAAACAAAGATGTTCCTGATTTACGGAATAGCAAGGCTGTTTCTCGATTCAACAAAACGCGCATAATATACTCAACCCATGGCAACAGATACATTTTATTATAGCTGCCGTTCATGCAACCAAACAAGAACTAGGTTAGAAGCCATGCTCGACCACCGCAAAAAAGCACTTTTTTTTGTACGGCAAAACTACAAACAACATCTGAACTTTACGCATCACATGGTTATCATGGAAAGCAAGCAGCCCGAGCAAAAGCATTCTCGCCCACGTCATGATGAGCTCAATGATGCAAAACCCAATGTCAATGATCCTAACCAGTATTGCTCTGTGTGTCAACAAAAGTTCGATTCAAAGAGCATGTGTCGTGAGCATCTTCCACATGTGCACGCTATGGCATTGCAAGGTTTGGTACTCAAAGACCTTAATATCCTTCCCAATCCTCATAATCGGTGCAATTACTGTCGAGCATGCAAAAAAAAAAAAAAAAAAAAAAAAGACCATGGTATCAAGCGCTGTGTATCGACTACATTGTAGATACAGTCATTTTATGGTACTGAAGCCTCTAGGTAAATCGAGATTTAAAACTAGATTTGCTAGATGAGCCCATGTGTATATCTACAAACACACTGCTCGTTGTATATCAAGTATATTTAGCTTTTAATGCAGTAATATAAAAGCGACTATTCAAAAAAAAAAAAACAATCAACAGGGACACTTATTTAATGAAAAAGCTACTAACAACACTCATCAATATTTCCAGCAATTGTCGTCAGTTCCCTTGAGCTCATGGTATTCATTGTATATACACTGCATGATGGAGTTCTAAAAAGAAGGACGACAACAGCAGATATCAAGCAAGATGCGCAAGAAATATTCACATCTCTAGAGCACTGCCCTGAACATCGCTCATAGGCTGCATCCACTAGATCATCATCAACAATGAGATGCGCGTTTATTAATTTATTTGCTTTGTTTGCTTGTTTGTTTACGTTACTACAAAAGGAGACGAGAAGTGTGCGGTATCTGTAAGCTACTGACTGAAACTCTATGCTTATCCATTACATCAAGAAACAATTACCCCGCCCATGTTTTCATAGACTTGATTCAAGGCAAACATCAACATGGGAAAAAGCTTCAATGATAGGGTACACATACACCTATACACTCAAAATCGTTGAGATAAAAGGTGGTGTGACAATAAATAAAACCATATAAAATAGAGTTTTCTCTGTTGGAAATGGTTTAGTCCTTTCTTCTTCTCTTTTATATATATATATATATATATATATATATATAAAATCATGGCTACAACCACAACCACACACTGTATACTGTATCCTATAGATGCACTCAACAAGCAACAGCAGCAACCAGAGCAACAACCAGATATTAACATCATGCAATGCTTATCACCCTCCTCATCACCGCTACTACCAGAACAAGAATCATCCAACATCAATGTTGTACAATTACCGCCTACACCTACAGCGAGCGATGATGAAATTGAGGCAGAAGAGGAACAAAAGCTACTAAAAGAAAAGAGCATCAAACTTCAAAGAAGAGGCACTGTGTCTCTTGCTGATCTGATCCCTGTGGCATCTGCTGCCTTGAGAGCCAAGCATCGACAAAGTATGATGGCTGCACAACCTACACAAGATTCAGCTTTAGCGCGGGCTTTAACCAAGGTTAAGATTGGAGTACAGACACATCGCCTTAAAGAGAGATATCTGTTGAACGAGTGGATTCGACTAGCCTTGGCAGCGCCTGTCGATGAATCTACCATCAACAGTTCCAAGCGAGTGTTGAGAACAAATCGAACCCTGGAGATTGTGAAATGGTATGAACACAAGTTTAAGAGAGCAACACTATCGTTAGATGAACTTGAAAAACGAGTGGATGGTCTGAGGCAACAAAAGCTGCTGGTACAACAACAACAACAACAACAGCAACAGCAGCACCAGCACCAGCTACTAGAACAACAGCAGAGTATGACAAGTATTAGCAGCATCTCTTCTTTACCTTCACCTCCTGTAACTCATTTAAATTTTTCTAAAGTAGCTTCAATCTAAAGTTGGAGTATATATGTATACACACTCTCATCATACCCCCCCCCCTCCCCTCACTCTTTTCCCCCTCCTTTCTTTTCGCTCCTTCTTTACTTGTTTGATTCCAGCCTTTTGTAATTTATTTTTATACATACAATAAACTTAATATTGATACTTTGTCGAATAATCTTTGAGTGATACAACTAAACCTCTTCCTTTTCTCGCACCACGGTACACTGTCTGTTGTTTAAAAATAGCCATGTTACCTCTATTGTCGTTCCAAGACCTTGTGTGTTTATATCTTTACCTCTACGAGATCAATCATCTCTTGTTTATCGTCTAATGCCCAGTTGATCTTGTTGTTGTTACCAGTACCCAAATCAACCATGATGTGTTTGTTACGGAAAAAAAACATGGTGGTGCATGGATCGTATAATTCATACATCTAAGTGAATCAAGGTCAATACACGCACACACACACGCTCTCTCTCTCTCTCTCTCTCTCTCTCTCTCTTTTAGTCTTGTCTTTTTTACCTTGTTGAAATCTGGAACCTCTGTGATGTCAACCTGTATAATAAAGAAACAGGAAAAAAAAAAAAAAAAAAAGGGTAAGATTCAGCCATACTATGCCATTGAACAGGATGCTGGACACTCCACATTGTATTTCAAAGAATCTGTTGGTAATTTTGAATATCACTTGTTGCTCCAATCGACACTAGAATCAGCCATTGAGTTGATTGTATAAATTGACATTGACAGCTATTCGGTAAGGAACGATGTGTATTGATTTTGGATACGACTGATATTTTGCAGATGGCCGCTACCGTTGACTGTCGTCGTTTGTTCATGTCTATCCACCAACCTTCTTTGAAATACAATGCATAATCCAGATGCCTTTCCCGCTTCGTATGAGAGGACTTACCAGATATATACACGCAAAGTTCTTGACCTTTTCAGCAATGCTATACAGCACTTCATCCATTTGCATACATGTGGGATCCCAATCATGACCAAATCTAATGATAACAACACGATCTTCTTCAGATAGGATGGCTTGATCGACTTGCCAGCCGTTTGTTAAATGTGGTAAAAAATACTAGCAATGCGTCAGTTGATTACTTCATGCTTAGTTGTCGTTCCTATGGGTACTTACAGACTATAAATCACATGTATTAGTAAGGCTGCTATATATCAGATTGCCATCTCATACATCACTTACCATATTGCTTTAATTCTTTGACGGTGGATGCAAAGAAGAGAAGAAGAGGGGGAAAAAAAAAAGCACAAGAAGTCTATGCCAAACTGGGTGTACATCATTGGAAAGCTCCAGAAATGTGACTCCATGTCAGTACGCATTCTGGATCAAACATTGCCTCAAGCAGCGCGTCAATGCTTTTCGTTATAGCGTCTGCTTTTTTTTCTGTTGAGCACATGAGATGAAGACGATGTCAGAGCAATGATTGTCAGTTTGGATTTCTTGGCTAATTGACTGCATCTCATGCTTGATGTGATTGCCAATGTGTGGGTTGATTCGGCTCACATGTCTCATCATGGCGAGGCAACCTACTGTAGATCAAATTCTGACACATTTAAACATCGCACGGATCAACCTATACAACAGTTACCTTGACAAAAAAAAAAGTGCTTTCAAACAGTGAAAGTAACTCTGAGCTTCCTCCCATCTCAATCGGCATCATACTGGCGAGAGATGTTTCAGTTCTTCTCGATCTTGCTTTTTTTTTTTTTTTTTTTTTTTTTCCTCATATTTTGTCATGTCAACAATCTTGGATGCAAAGATGTAGGGGTTAATGCCGAAAAAGATAACCCTCCTTGCCTGTCAAACACCCCCCCCCCCTGAATAGCCAATAAACTATTCCCCACCAGCAATAAAACGTTTATGTTGATGAAGATGGGCTGTTTATTGATACAGAAATCAGTGGCCGCCAAGAAGAAGAAAAGTATAAGAGATGGAGATGGAGAGTGTGTAGAGATGTGAATGTAAACAGTGTATAATTATATGCAGGGTAAAAATAGGCGAAAAAAAAAAGAACAATGAATATCAGAAATAATGACCTGAATTAATCCAGGCACAATCTTCGAATCTCTTGTAAATCCTGTTTATCAAGCGCAACAGTTCTTTTAATGCCTTCTATGTAGGTTGTTGTTGTTGTTGTGATAGGCGTCACTATTGGTGCCGTTGTAGTAGGCATAGTGGATGATACCTTGACAATGTTGGATGCTTTATGGCGTATCTGTTCCAGTACAATGCTCGGCACATCATGTAAAGGCCAGCTTACCATTTCCAAATGTTGTAAAGATCGGCAATCCTGCAACACATTCATCACACTACGATAACCACCTGTGTAGTTACTGCACCGTATAACCAGTTGTCTCAATTGCTTTGTGTGCTGAGAGATGGCCCATAATGTATCGTTTCCTTCACAGCGTATGGACAAATGTTGCAATTGTGATCCATACTTTTCAATGACCTGACACAATGAAGTTTCCTTGACTTGCTGTAATGAGATGGATAAATCCTTGACCTGTTTGCAGTGTTCTGTCATATACTGTAGAGCAGCATCGTTTGCCATGGCCTTTCGGTTATGATTTGCGCCGAGAATGACACAGTTCAAATTCGGTGTGAAGCTGAATAGCTGCCGTATGGCATCCGCCGAAAAGTCCGTCCATAATAAATTAAGGGTTTTCAGAGTGGGTAAATGGCACATTGACACTGATTTGGTTGTTAAAGCAGCAACAGTAGTAGTAGTAGTAGTAGTAGTAGTAGTAGTAGTGAGTTCACAGTATTGGAAATCAAGATGCGTCAATCGAGGCAGTGTCAACAAGACTTGGCGGACTTTTTGCACAGACAATGCTAGGAAATCACGAAAGCACAAGTGTCTTACATTAGGCAACTGTTCAAACAGCGATATAATCAACCAGTGGCTGTTACCACCTTGACGGCATTTAAGTGTCAACATTTGTGTATGTGCTTTGACAGTTTCCTTGAGATAAGTATTGGTTTGTAGACCTTGTTCCAGCTGCTTGATGTGCGTGCGATGTCCCAGTTCTACATGTCGATACAATCGAGGCAAGAACAGTTGATATGCCGCTAATGATGTGGAGCACAATCTGGCAATGCTTTGTCTTGGTAAATAAGCAGAGATCATTTGCAGCAGTTCGTTTGGAAGCTGAAGCAACTTCATCTTGTTTGTAAATATATATATATATATATGTATATATATATATATTTATCAAAAGAAAAAAGACAAAAGGAAAAAAAAAAAAATAGAGCTAAAAAATATATTCATTTCTTATTCTGATATAGAGGAAGATTTTGGCTTAATAGACCGGACCATGCCATGACTTCACGTGCTACAGGGCTTTAAACTTGATGTGAATCCATACACTCAGTTTTCGTTATCTGATCTTTTTCAAATCTATTGTGAATACATCGAGACAGAATCCCTCTCTCTCTTTCTGTATTTATTGCCTTGCAATGGTTGACAAAGAATTATTCCTAAAGATGTAGGCAATATTGGAAGCAAACATCCAAAAGCGAGTCCTCTACTCCTAAATTGGATAAATGTAGATATATAATCCAAGTTTGTAGCCATTTGTATATAGAAAGATAGCCCCCAAATGATGGATTATATCATCTTGATTGGACATCTACTACCAATTAAACAAGAACCCCATTGGTCTCACCGGGGAGATCTCTCTCTCTCTCTCTTTTTTTTTTATTCTCTATTCAAGATGAAGAGCTTTATGCATTAATCTCGATATCCAACGTGTATCCCTATCACCCTCATCATCACACATGCAATGCACATTCAATCCACTCTGTATAATTAAAATATTTGTTGTTACTCATCATATCAATCTGAATTGTAGTCAGGCATTAGGCATGCCTACTTTGATGTACACACAGTAATTATACATCCACATGGTCATGGGTCAATATACCTTCCAATGTGCCTGCCCTGTCCTCTCTCTCCCTCTTGTGGTGCCTGTATGATGGTCGATTCATCTTACACACACACACACACACACACACACACAGCACACACACACAGCACACATTCCGGTATTAATCATCTCTTAAATGCTTCCACATCCCAGATATCCATATGCATATACAATACATCCACTCCAAGCTTTGTTAGTCCCCAGAAAATGTAACAGGTTAATTTTGATTTAATTAAATAAACATCATATCAAAACATGATATAAGGAGATAGAGAGAAGAGGTTGAAAAAGAGATAGAGTTGCAATTTTTGTCGAGTTTAATATATAAATATGATTATCTAATGGCGAGCAGCGACCTTGATGTTATCAAATGCGTCACGTTCAGCTTGCTCGGCAGCAACTTCATCAATATAGGGTTGAAGATATCTGTTATCCTATGAAAAAAAAAAAAAAAAAAAAAAAAACCAAAATGTCAATATCTCATCGACCATTTTCCATGTTCAATCTTACTTGGCTTTGAGTAACCCACTTCTCCTTGGGTAAAAGTTGATGGCTCAAAGAGCATTGTTGAGCAACACGGATACGATAAGCACGATCGTAAGCAGTACGAGGTTCAGCAATTTCAAGACGACGAAGAGCTTCTTGTACGAGTTCACTCTCTTCAGAAATCAAATCGTCATATTTAAGACCTAATGTTTGTAGAATTGAGTGAGTATGGGAAGCACAACATTTCAAATCTTTGAAATATTACCAATTTGTCTGTAACCAGCAGCACCGGCATATGCTTTGGAAACAGGCTTCAAGAATCCAGAGAGAAGCTTGGAGTTTTGGACAAGTGATTTGAGTGACAAAGACATTGTGTGTTGTATAAATCTATATGTAGATAGATGTAGAGTGGGGAGAGAGAGAGAGAGAAGAAATTGCAAAGAGGAAAAAAAAAGAAAAAATGTCAACCAAACAACCCCTCCCCCATAGTTCTTTTCGGCCTAGGTAAGCATCCCCTATAGAATTGGAGGGTACAATACCCCGCTGTTCATTGTTGTATATTTCCAGGTTGGTGACATCATGAATCCACCATACACTAAGGAGGGCTGCTGTTGCTCGTAGCCCGCTATTCCAAATGTTGAACTGTGATTCAAGACATCTCGAGCGCTTTTCGTCATTTTTTTGTGCATCTTGAAGCAAAAAAGGGGCCCCTGAAGACGTTAATAATGCTCCCAAAAGTTTTTTTCGTATATGATGTGGCCTTTATTATGAGACAAATCGCATAAAAAGAGTGCAAAATCAACACAAATCCAAATAGCGGAGCTTGAAATTGTGGAGCCATCCGATTCTTCAGCCATGGAGAATTTGGATCCAATTTCAACAAAATCAACGTAAACAAGACAATGGCTTCATTTTTTTTTTCTCCAAATGGGTCTAATAAGATAACATGCCATTCAAATTGCCTACCGAATGGTACCAATTTAAAATCAAATGGCTCGAAATTCAGTCTGCAATTTTCCGATAACCAATATCACGTTTTTTTTTTTTTTTTTTTTTGGAGCTAAAGTCGAATTTCTACTAATTGCAAGCTGCAACAAATGCAATCATGTTGTGCAGCACACTTGAACAATTTGTTTGATATTAAGAGAGTGCCATACTCCAAAACGTCAACTTTGGGGGGGGCCAAAATCCGATCAAAGAATTTGAACAGATTTGGATGCATGACTGTAAGGATTCTTTGTGTATAATCCATCGATGTTGAAGCGAAAAAAAAAAAAAAAAAAAAAAAAAGTGCTGAAAATTGGCTGTATGGAGAACGGTGGTAGTTGGCGATGAGTGATGGTGGTTTCGCTGGTTTTCGAGCAAGATAAAGCCTCTAATCCATCAGTTTTAGGGTCGCTTTTTTGCTGATATACCATTAAATGTCGAATGTCTGCCCATAGGGTTGGTGTCCAAGTGAGCTAGATAAACACTTGACTTGGCTCAATGTGTAGCTAGATGCACAAAAGGTATCTGCATACCAAAATCGCTATTTAGGTATGCATCAGATCGAGTTTCTAGTACTACTACTACTACTACTGATTTTCTAATTTGAGAGAGTGGTTCCTGTTTGATTGACTACAAATCGACGATGAAATCATTGTTCATTAACCTTGCCTCTTCAAGACGAATAGACTGACCCAACAAAGGATTATCAGATTGTGTCTTACATTTAAGCTCTCTCTCTCTCTCTCTCTCTCTCTCTCTCTCTCTACACATCTAAAATAAAAAGTACTAAAACTTAGAGCCAACTTGAGCGACCGGAGAAAGCCATGCTTTTCAATGACGATCCCATATGAACCCCAATGGCAGAGCCTTGCGGACCAAACCCCTTGATCCAAACAACAATGAATGGTTTTATCATTTGACATCCATATGGTCTATAGGAACACCATGCATCAATCATGACATGTGTGTTCTATCGGCCCGGTGGGTTCAACAATCACCTAAATAGGGAGTTTGGAGGGTTACAGCTAATGTCTGTGTGTGTGTGTGTGTGTGTGTGTGTGTTTGTGTGTATTCCAGTCTTTTTTTTTTTTCTCTCTCTCTCTCGCAAAAACTTGTTGCTTTTTCTTTTTTTTTTCAAATTGCATAAATACATTAAACATTTTTACACATACAACTAGATGAAATCCAATACAGTGGAGGCATCTACTAAAAGTGCATTCAAACATGCTTCTATTCAGCAGCAACATTTCAAGCATATCACATCTTTGAATTGGCAGCACCACATCAGCGGCAAGGACCAAGAGGATACCCACATTGATGGCAAAACTCACATCACAACGTACAAAGCAACTCGGTATTTTGTTCCAAAGCATCATAGCAAGACAATGCTCGAGCATTACCGAGCTTGTCTATCTACCATTGAACTGCGCAGTCAGTGTATGTATCACCTATTACCCAGAGATGTGTGTGTGTGTGTGTGTGTATGTATTGACCTTTTTGCATAATTTTTTTTTAGGGTGTTCTTGGTTAACAAATACACATGTCATTGAAAGCAAAAAGGAGCGCCATGAGACCATAACGTCATTGCAGGGGAAAATCATTGACAAGGAGAATGTTGAGCAGTAAGTATAGCTTGAATGGAGAGTGTGCAATAGGCTGATGCGTCCTTGTTTCATAGTGAGTTGACATGGCTTGAACAAACAACTCTCACCAAACAATCAGTGCGATTCATGGCTGCCACTGCCGCGCTGGACTTTTTTTGGGCGATAGAGATTGAACATCGATATGATTCTGATACAACAACAGCAGCACGTGCGACGATGTATCTCCAATGGATCAAACCTACCTTGGTCACGCCGCTAGTAACATTAAATCGATTGATCCAGCTGGATTCTTTTCCTTGGATTAGTCAATGCGATCAAGCCATCACTGTGAAAAAACTGGATTACGACAAAACCAACAACAGCAACTGTTGTATAGAGTACATCTATCAACAACAACAAGCTGATTTGACCTCATTGCCTCAAGCTGTTACAGCTGTTGATATTCATCAGAAAATGAACCATCCTACTAGTAAATGGAGACACAGTGGATCATGGGACCCTCAGCAGCAACAACAACAACAACAACAACAACAAACAGTGCGAAAGAATAAATTTCTCGGCTCTTCATCCCTCATCTTTACCTCTTCTTCGTCAGTTACTTCATCACCTCAATTACATCCAATGACTGGCAATTTCTCATATCCAGATAAACAGCACCATTATATGATGCCTTGGCTGACAGCAGACGGTGATGATGAGATGGATAGTGATGAAAATCAGCAAAAACTGTATACATTGGATAGAGATGAGTTGAGGGTGCAAGTAGCTTACATACCTCAGATTACGCTTGCGTTGCCTGAGAAACTAGAATGGTCAGACAAATTTGCTCAACTCTGCGTGCGTTGCTATCGCCGTCCAGCATCCCGCTTGCATCAACAACAAGAACAGCAAAACGACAGTTACGTGATACAAATCTTACACCCACAACATATGATGCAGTATTTTGTAGAAAAGGAGGAGGAATCCATGCGATTAGACGATGAGGAGGAGGATGATCCTTTACTTGTCAGTGTTACCATCAGTAGATCAGATAGTCAGAAATTTTGTGTCAATCAAAACGAATGGCCGATTCGGTCATGGGCATTGTCAAGCGAGGAGGAAGATATAGATGATGAAGAAGAAGAAGAAGAAGATGATGATGATGATGATGATGATGACATATTCGTGGATGGCATGGAGGAACTAGCTCATGAATCCAATGTGACAAGCAGCATGCAACCACTACCATCTTGTTCGCCATTGATTCAAACGGCTGTGCCGCCCCAGGATGTGAAGCCAGAAAAGACTGTAAATAACGATACAAGCGCAACACCAGCGATGCAGCCTATGGCTAGTCTTGAAGAGAAAAACAACAAGCCGACACTCACTGATTCAAACAAAGTGTAAGTTTCAAAAAAAAAAAAAAAGCAAGAGTCATCCTTGCAAACACACTCACGAATGTTCTTTAAAGTGAAGCACAACAAGAGGAGCAGCAGGACATTGATCTGGATGAGTACCGATCACTCGAAAACAAGATACCCCTGAGCGATCCAGTAGCACTCCAAAAAGTAGCTCCACAATTCAACGCCTATCTGCAACCATCCACCACCACCACCACAGCAACCATTGTCCAATCACCTTCCAAAGAGAATGGCCATGTCATGATCAAAAAGATCGATATACCCAACCATCCCTTGGGCGGTTTCCTCAGCGAATCCACGTGGAAAGATTGCAGTATTTGGGACATCAAATCCGTGTTGGAGAGCACAGGAGCACGCAGAATCTGGGACAACACGTTTGACAACAGCGTCTACTTGCATGCACTCACACCTACCAGCTCACTATGGCACACCAAGATGAAGGGCACATGGCCTGTCAGTGCCAGAGATTATGTCTGTTTTCAAGGGCAGTACACCTCACCTTATCGCATTGATCTACTATCGACATCTTGTTTTGGAGACACGTTTCAATACAAACCGTTACCACAGCCTGTCACTGGATACACACGAGCTACTATGGATGTCATGGGATGGCGTTTGGAGCGTATGGATGAGAAAACAGCCTCTGTGAAGCAAGTGATGGTAACTCAATTTCCCACCTGGGTGATTCATTATATCACCAGTCGCTTTATTGTGCAAACGTGTGCTGCTGTGCAGAGTGCGAGACAGTATTTCGAGACATTTGGTGCACCTCCAAGCTTGGAGCATCTGACATGTGCTCAGTTGGTCAATGTCAAGCACGATCATGAGCGTAAGAATTGGCGATGTGAATATACACGTAGATCGGGCGCTTCTTCGTCTGATAAAGATGCGCAACAAGAGAACGTAGCAGCAATGACAGACGGTCCACAACAGAGCACGGTATCGGTAGTGCGCTTGGATAAACGAAGATGGGCAGCCAACAACCAGTATGCTGTCGCCATTGATCCGCCACCTTCTCGCGTATCTGCACTACAAAAAGTAAGTGATCCCTACGGTGTTTGGCTCACAGTCGAGCATGATGAAGCCTTTATCATACCTCTGCGTGGAAAGATACTCGTACTGATCAAGCCAGCAGACGAGCCCCCTACGAAACATCCACAGCAACCCAGCGAATGCACACTCAATGTCAATGGCAACACAATCACAATTGTTCGAGAGCAGAGAACGCTATCTATACCTGATGGAAACAAGCAAGTCTCATTTTCGCGAAACTTTTTGAAAGAAGAAGAACAAGGGATTCTATCCAAGATTCTCCCTCCTGATGATAATACCACAGCATCCTATGTACAGCCTGCGTCTTTACCCTCTTCTACCACTGCAACAGCAATCGCGCTGACTGAAGAAGCAAAAATTGAGGAAGCATTGAACCAGCTGCCCGTCTCACCAAAGGAGCATGCTCAAGCAGCCTTGTCTTTTCTGAAACTCACAGATGAACAATTCGGATGGACAGTGCTATCTGATAATAACAAATCTGGAATTCGTATCAGCAAAAAGCCTGGTGTCAAGAATATTGCCAGCAGCAATAGCGAGGACAAATCCTCAGAAACTGCCACTCACCCTACATTGCAAGTGGTTGATCCTTACATGGTTTACAAAGGATCCAAAGTCATTGAGAACTTTTCCATGGATGAAATACGATCTGTTATCACTGACATTGGACACATTCGAGCACTGTATGACGACACGATAGAATCCAAGACAGATCTCATACGACAAGACGACGCATCTGGCTGCAGAGTCATCCGACAAGCCATTAAAGCGTTGTTTCCTTTCAAGAACCGAGAAATATATGCCGTGTCGTGTGTAGCGCAAGAAGAGCTGCTGACATCCATGTCGAACACGAAGCGAACGCTGTATGTCGAGAGCTCGTTGCCTGATTTCCCGCTGATTAACCCCAAAAAGACCAGAGGTCATCTGTTCATGTCGGGCTGGATCTTGGAGCCTATTGATCCGTACAATACAACCGCAGCGACAAACCATCCTATTCCATCCACGCGCGTTACCCATGTCGCTGCCTTGGATTTAGGTGTTTCTGTGCCTTCGTATATTAGCAACTTGGTTGTCAATAACTGGTTTCCTAAAAAGCTGCAAGCGCTGGAGTCGTATCTCAAATCCAAAGGGCCGCCTCCAGTAATAACCTTGCCTTTTCCATTGCTCGTCTTTTCTAACAATACCTTGTCCAAGTCATCTGCGTCGTCAGTGCAGCAGGATAACAATGTGGACTGGATCTGTATTAAATCAAGCTATGATGAAAAGCATCAGTTCAAGGTAACCAATCGATTCAAGATACTGACAGAGCAAAAGAAACCTCGACTAGAAGAAGCGCTACAGCCCACAGCGTCATCGAGTGCTTCATTGATACCACCGTTTCGAAGACCCAGTCATCATACATTGACGCCAGAAACGAGACGAGGCTCTTTGCCAACAGCTGCATTGCCCAAGAAACGTACTGCGGCTTCATCCACCGCCGGCACCACCAGCACCACCAGCACCACCAGCACCACCACACCAGCAGCAGCAGCAGCAGCAGCAGCAGGCACTGTACCATCTACTTCCACTACTAGCGCATTATCAATGAAGGCAACAAACACCACAAACACTGTCACTTATCGAGCATTGACATGTTTACAAGCTACGTTCGATTTACGTCCCTACACCAAAGGCTACGAAATCCAAGCACAGCTCTACCAAACAGGTCAAGACAAACGAAAAAACATATCCAACAAGCTGGAATTGAGCATCTCTGAGCCTCCGCTGTCCAACCTGTTGGATGGTAACAAGAAGAACATGAAGCATACTGTTACTATCCAAATCGCGCAAGGATTACCCGCTGCTAGTATATACGAGTTGGAGTTCAGCTTGATTCCTGTGCGAGAAGAGACCCTAAACAAGAGGCCCACTCAATTGACGGTATCTCATGTTTTAGGAGAGGATCACACGGAGGATGGAAGCTGGCGTGGTATCATCATGGTCAATGATGTAGAAGCCAGTGTGAATTCGGATATTAAGCTCAAGGCTTTGCACCATGATGATGAGAATTTGGAAAGCAGTGGCCATAGTTGTCTGAGCAGCCCAGGAGACAAGAGCAGCCATGGCGATGATGGCAGTGCGGATTCAAACTCGGTTATAAAAGATATCAATTCAATAGATGGGCCAGAAACTGTGTCTGGTATAGGAGAGCAGGAGCAGCCATTCTTTGAAAAGACGAGCGGTACTCCACATCAAGACAATCATTCTAAACAGTACGTGGGTGGTGGCGGGGTCGTGGCCACTGCTTTGGGTAATGTGTCTGCAGGCGTCAATGTAAGTGGTATATATGTATATATTCCAGCAAGAGAGAGATTATCTGTGCAATGACTTATATACTTTTTTTTTTTTGTGTAGAATTTTGGCGCCCGTATGATGAACCCATTCAGGTCAGCATCCAATTCGTTTCTTTTACCAAGCAACAATAACTCGATGGAATCAACCACGCGAGATGTATCCTCTTCGGATGATGATAATACTAGCGGGTCTGGCCGTCCTAGCAGTAAAAGACGGTTCACCAGAGAAGAGAGGCGCAAAATCAACTCGACGACAATGACCATGTATGAAATTCGACTACTTAGAAAATCCTCGGATACCATGCGTAAAGGCATGCTACTGCTGATGATTTGCCTCGGATTAGCAGTTGTGTTTGCATTACTGATGTTACAGCCCATGCTGGAGAGATATTATGCCTCATTTACTGTCTCTTCCACCATGGGATCTTTGAATCAGTCCATCCAAGAAGGTGTGGTGCGTAGGCTGATACAAATTCCTTGGTTTGGCGGCTGGGATATCCAAGTGATTGCAGTGCGTAGAACATAGTATACAATAAAGTGTATATTCTTGCATCGTATATGAGGGTTGAATTGAAAAAAGTGCCTGTTCAAAACCTGGTAGAGTTGGTGTGTATATATCTTACAATAATTGTCGCATGAAAAACAGCTTTTGTTTGAGGTAATACAGTATATTAGACACAAAATGTTACAGCACTCTATCACAGAAAACCTAGTTTGATGGCAATCAGCACAGACTCTAAAATTTGTCACGTACGGATAGTTTCGTCAGATACTGCGATGGATATCAAAGGACGTATCCTTCCAAATGCATATATCGAGCTGTTGCTCATTTTTTCAAGACAACTGCTATCTATGCAAATTTCGTTTGTACCATCGTTATCTTAGCAAAAAAAAAAAAAAAAAAAAAAAAAAAAAAAAAAAAAAAAAAAAAAACTGGTATAGAAAACATGCTAGTCTCAAGGCTCTAGCATCAATATTTGGAAAATCAATTTCTGATGAGGTCAAATTGAACTAATACTGTATAATAGCTATCGCCTATATTTCTCAGCACAGGAAATGTTGGTATGCCAAATCCAATCCATCACTACAGAAGGATATAAAACATGGCATAATACAAGTTCTGATCAAATAGACCGGCGCAAGTTACTGAAAGATGAAGCAAAAAAGCTGTTGAATACATATATGGACTTTATCACTACCTGATACTACCCTAGCTGCTTATCGGTCAGAAAAGTCATGCTTGCCATTGATAAGATCAAATGTTCACATACCAGGTAGCGCGCGAGTCAGGAGCCTAGCAAAATGGTAATTGTTAGTACACTAGCAGCCTATATTTGATGCCATCTACAGTTTATTCGTTAAACTTTTTGTCAAAATAAAAAGGTGGATAGCATTGCTGTAAATACCCTTTGTTGTCATTTGGTGGAGAGTTTTAAAAGGTAACATTGATTTGTACAAGACCATTTCTGGCTCATTTTATATCATTGTGGCCGTGTCATTGTTTTTTTTCAAGCTGCTGTCTAAACGTTTCTATGCAGTGTAAGCAAGCGCACACGATCTTAAACTTATAGCGACTGATTGAATAAACCCCATGATTCGATGTCTTTCATGGAATATCTCTACACGAGCAATCAATTGAGAAAAATCTAGTTGTCAAGCCGTCAACCAAATTTACAATGAAGCCCTACTATTATTACAGCGACAATTGCCACAGATGAATCTGGCAAGAGAGTAACATTGGACAGTTTTGAACATTACCAATAATGAATATCAATGCCTTGAATGAGATGCAGTACATATAAATATCTTCGTAGCTCATATGCAGTCTAGACATATTCTTTTAAATCCACCTACTACTACTACTACTTTTTCAATGACCCACATCACATCGCTACCTGCAGAGCTGTTATCCGCCATCTTTGACACCATCGATTCCAACCATCAGCTCGCAGAATGCAGACTTGTTTGTAAACACTGGAACGATCCCGCAGCAAGATCGATGTTTGGCAATACAATAGTAATAACTTCTGACAAAACCGCATCAAGACTCTTTAGACACTTGTTTCTGGATCCCTGCAAGATACCTCTCATCAGACATTTGAGCTTTGAATTGGACGACAACCACTTGCCTATGAACACTTATAAGCTGCTACTTTTGGCTGTACATCCCAATATTGTAAATCTGACAGGCTTTGCCAATTCAGAAAGGTTCTTCAAGGCGCTCTTTGATATCATTGACAAGTCATCTCAAGAGTTCACCCAACTGGAGACTATGCCATCGTACACTGGACTCGATGTTGATTTCAACACGACTGTAGCTCTCAAGCTCAAGAAATCTCTCATGTATCCCATCGTGGTTCTAGGCGGACAGACAACACCAGCTGCAAAAGACTTTCTCAGGAACTTGGATCAGTTTCCAAAGTTCGATATGGTGATACTTCGAGGGCATCTTGATGGACTGGAATGGCTGGAAGATCTACTTAGATGTAACCCTCATCTCGATGGATTAGGTATAGGCAACCTTGTCATCAAGGACTTTCTTGCAGACATGAGAGGACTGCAAGGCGTAGTTTCGTGGTTGACTTCAAATGTACAGCAAGAGGGAGCATTGGAATTTATCCTGATCGACTCCCCCATGTTCCGCCCTGAGGCACTCATGTACTTTTGTTACAAGTATCCAAATATGAAATACATTCAATTGAAGGGTAAGATCTGGTTGCCTGAGGGAAGAGCTGCCACCGATGACGATGTCTTTACTACATTAACTCTAATTCTGGATGCTGTCAAGAAGATTGAGTGCAAAGTGATTCGTCTTGTGCTCCCTAGAAATACCTCATTGTTAGCAGTTATGAAGTTCTTGCCTAAGCGAGAAGAGGACTTAGAGGTTAGTATTGAAGACATTGGCGGCCAAAACGAAGTAGTCTTGAGCTTGACAGACGTAATGGTCGATTGATTTTGAATCCCTTTTTGCCTACTTGGTCTAAATCGCACTTTGGTTGTAAATAAATAATATAAAATCAAGCTTGCCTACATGATACATGCTGTGGGCCCTCTCAAAAATAAAAGACATTCAGATAACACGTATCATACTTTCAGATTATTCCCATGTCAAATGCTAATCGTGATTAAAGTAAACAAGATACAAGATGGTAATCTACTGGATTAACTGCGATGGAGTGGCAAGAATGATGCAACTGACTTGAAACCGTTATATCCACCTTTATACAGCTTGATGGCAATGCATTGTTTTTTTTTATTTTCTGTGCCTTCGTTCGCTTATCATAACATTTTGTATTGAATGACTGACTACGATGACCTCTTTACCTAAAGAGTTGTTATTCTGCATCTTTCGTCATATTGACTCCATCATCCCAACTAGCAGCTTGCAGATTGGTCTTCCGAGGATGGATAGCAAACAGATAAAATTCAGTTGTCAAAGACAAGCAGTTCAGCTTTATATTCACCTTTGCAGAAATCCATCTGACAGAAACTGATCAAATATATGGACTTGTATATGCCCGAGACAGAATTGCCTTTTACATGCCAGTACCTTATAATGAAGGATCTGCCAAATGTGATGTTGGACCTGAAATTGTGTTTATAAACGCATTCAGCATGTGAGCCAATCAGTCCCTTGGCCATCTCTTTTTCCAATATACAAATTAAATTCATGCTGTTCCCTTTTTCACTTGCTTCTTCTTCTTCTTCTTCTTCTGTTTATCGTCGAATTCTATTCAGGTCTGCTGCTTTTATCAGATACACATCGACTATGCCAGCAGCTCCAACTACGCGTAAGCATGTTTATACATATCCATCACCTTTGAGAATTCATTCATTTTATTTACTGCAAACTAGTAATCCTTGAACAAACCAACGTGCTCGAACAGGATCCTGCAAAATTTCAATACAAAACTACCCTAGGGAACTGTTCATTCAATGAGTTTATCCTATCTTATCCCAGTGGTATGTGTCCATACTATGAGCAACTAGTAGTTGCAACAAGCCACAACAACCTCTCTCTCACCTCTTGATTGCTTTTATTAGGTGCCTATACAGGCATGCGCACTGTCAACAGGGATGCTATTGTCGAGCTCGAGACACACATGACGCGCATGACAAACTCCTTGTCATCCATTCAATTCAAGGGCAAGACAGCATCTCAAACACAAGCAGCCAATGAAGCACTGGCATCGTTGCGAGATCCTGTGGGCTTTGAAGCCAAAGTGATCCCATTGCTAAGAAAAGGGCTGACTGAATACTATAGCCAAGTCGATGCGACCACACATACAGAACACCCTTCTGAGGCAAAAGTATCACTGATGGCAACGTACTCGTTTGAGGTAAGTAGATTAGCTATTTTTTTTTCTTTTAGCAAGAGGGGGCGGGTGTGGTTTTGATATTTTATTATAGACACAACAACCGCTTTTCGCTGCGCATGTCGCTGCTTTACCCAGCATCCCACCCAATAAACGTGTCAAGGTCGAGATTGAGAGAAAAGAGAGAACGGCGCCTGAAGTCAAGGATTCACAATGGGTCAGAGATCGACAACAACTCGAAAAAAACAAGCCTGTGGATGTAAATGAAGTCTTGTTGATGGATGACCAAGACCGACTGTATGAAGGCATGGCGTCTAATTTTTTGGTGGTCAAAGATGGTGCTGTTGTATGTGCCTCGTTGGATCATATCCTGCTGGGATCCATCTTGAAGATTGTTATCAAGGTATGCAAAGAGCATGACATTCCATTGAAATGGGAGTTTCCCACATTACAAGATGGCAAGCAAGGGAAGTGGGAGGGTTGTTTCTTGACCAGCACATCGAGACTTTTGTTGCCGATTGAAACCATCCTTGTAGACAATGAAAGGTAAGTAGAACATGTGGGGCTTGCGTTGGATGATGTGAGTGTCTCATTTGTGTATGTCCACAGAATTGAATTCAAGGAAGCATCGACTCTGGTGGAGTTTTTGAGAAACCAAGTTGCTAATAAAATATACAAGGCTGCGTATAAAGTGCTGCCATGATCTAATCTATCTACATGTGAATTTAAAACAATATATCATTTCAGGGGGAGGAGGGAGGAAGTACATTGTGTGTATGTGTGGCTGAAGATGGCTTACACACACACACACACACAGCTCCTGAAATTGCTGTAAAAGCTCCAAATGGATCATAGCACTAACACAAGGTAGTGCACCCTGCTTTACCTCATATAGCGGCATCCACATATTCATTTCATTCAAGTTTTCAGCTTCCTCCTCTACATCAAAATTTCTAAATTCTATAAATAAGCAAAACTTTCATGTGGCTTGGATTGAACCTTTTAATTTACATAAACGTTCGCGCGTTGGTGCAGGATCCCTCATTATGCAAGCTAGATACATGCTATGGTATACTAAGCACAACCACCATCATCCATGATATAATGCGATTCGAAACGTATCTAGTAGAGGTTACAGTTTTTGTTGGAAATGGTGTTCACTTCATCATCGATGGTTACACTTGAATTTATACTACTTTTTCATCTTCCTATCTAAATTAAGCAATGTTCTTGACTAAAAATACAATTGAATCCATTGTGCGCCACCTTTTTCTCTTCTCTTCTTCTTCTTCTCCTTCTTCATACCTTCAAACTAGCAGACAGCAACATGAGTGTGTATGTGCCGTTCGAGGACCAAAGAAAGCAAGATGCATCATTCACAATCAAAGCAATGGGTATACAATTAGGCATCAATGTAGGCACAGCCATTGTTGTCATGATTGGCTTTAGTTTGCTGAGGCCAGTAAGTATTACTTTGTGTGAGCAAAAGAGAATGACTTGACATACAATCTATACCTAGAGACACACATTGGTGTATGCGCCAAAGTCAAAATTTGCCACCAAAGAGTAACGTATAATATGCAACCTATGGGACAGATCAGACAGCATACCAACACCTCCCCTCCCCCATCTAGACATCAACCTCCAGCAATAGAGTCCAATGGCTGGCTATCTTGGGTAAAACCAATTCTACGGATCAAAGACGAACAACTACTCCCCTTGATTGGCTGTGATGCCCTACTGTACATTCGATTTGTGCGCCTATTGCGGAAACTCTTGTTCTACATGAGCATCCTCGGTATTGGTGCCTTGATCCCCATCTACATTGTAGCCACCAAAGCAACAGGGTAAGTGGATTGACTATCACTCAAGTATGCGTTAACAAACTGTACTCGATAGCGACTGGCCTCCAGCACCTGGCAGTATTGAGATCTTATCACTCGCCGGCATCAACCTTCAAAATGGCAAAACCAGAACAGACGGTGCAGACACAACATGGTACTGGGCTCCCTTCTCTGCTACATACCTATTCAGCATCCTGATCGCCTATTTCATGTACCGTGCTTCCTGCGATTACATTGAAATGCGACAATATTACTTTCGACTCCCTCAAAACGAAGCCTCCATGAAATCCTTGATGGTCAGCCGTGTGCCTGTAGATATGCAATCGGATGACAAACTCAAGCAATGGGTGTCTCGTGAACGCATCCCGTACCCCATTTCGGAAGCTATGATTGGCCACCACAGCAAAAAACTGACAGATTTGTTTGAAGAGCATCAACTGGCCGTGCACAACTTGGAGACCACATTAGCCGCTTATTTGAGCGACGGAAAGCACCAGAAGAAATCAAGGCCCACTGTCCGCTTGGGCGGTTTCTTGTGCTGTGGAGGCAGAAAAGTAGACGCTATCGAGCACTACACACAGAAGGTGGCTGATTTAGACAAGGAGATCAAGCAGCTACGCAAAAGCAAGACGACTAAAACGGCCCATTACGGCTGGATCTCCTTTGACAGTGTTCATGTTGCTCATGCAACGGAACGAGCACTCGCTAAAAAGTTTGATATTCGACTATCGCCGACACCCACAGATTTGGTGTGGCCCAATTTACCACTGGACCACAAAACCCGTCAAGCGAAGCGATGGATGGGACGCATTGTCTACTGGGTGTTTGTGTTTGCCTGGATGATCCCTATGACTGCACTCTCGGCCACCTCCAACATAATCAACCTGATACGTCTGATACCCAACAGTGCAGCCTTTATTGACTCGCACCAAGTCTTGATGGGTGTCATTCAGGCCTATTTTACTCCCATTGTCATGGCCGTCTTCTTTTACTTGCTGCCGCTGTTTTTCCGTTTCCTGTCGCAACAACAAGGTTACTGGACACAAACCACGCTGGACCGCAAAGTACTGACAAAGCTCTACGTATTTTTCATCATCAACAATCTGCTGGTTTTTACATTGACGTCCATGTTTATCGGTATCTATGGCCAGATCCGAGCACTGGTCGCATCCGGCTCTTTACCCGCTTCGGATGAAAGCATCACAGAGTACGTCATGCAAATTGCAAAGAACATTGCTGAGGTGTCTACATTTTGGATCAACTTTGTGTGTCTCAAGTCATTGACATTGACCATGGACTTGGCCATGTTGGTGCCGTTATTGACCATCACCATTCGCAAGTTTATCACACGTCCTAGTCCTCGTGAACTGCGTGAACTGGCAAAGCCTCCCGAGTTTAACTACCCTCAAAACTACAACCTGCTGCTGTTCTTTTTTACCATTGCCCTGGTCTACTCGGCTATGAGTCCCTTGATATTGCCGTTTGCGTTAGTCTACTTTGCGGTGGCTAGCATGGTATACAAGTACATGCTCATGTACGTCTACGTAACCAAGATGGAGAGTGGCGGTAAGATTTGGCCTGTCTTGTTTCAGACGGTCATGACATCGGTTATCTTTTTTCAGGTGACCATGATCATCATGATGGTTCTCAAGGGCGGTTTGTTGCAGGCGTATTGCCTGATCCCTCTGCCTGTGCTGACATTGATGTACCAGTACTTTTATTACCGTCGAATGCATGTGCTAGGCACTTATCTCTCTGGCTCGGAGCCCAGCTATGTCTTGCAAGACGATGAAAGCGCCCTTAGCACCGGTAAGAAACATAAGCAGCAGACCTTGCATAGCCAGTTTCAAGATCCTGCCTACCGCAACAAACTAGCCACTCCCACAGTGCACGACGATGTCAAGCACTTGTTGCAAAAAGTGTACAAGGCGCCTGAAAAACCTATCAATAACACCATGGAGATGGCTCAGCTGTTTGGCAAGACAGTGATGCAAGACATTGACTTGGACGCCAACAAGGGCTTCAATCATCATCACAAGCGCATGACCATCTATGACCAAGGATGCCCTGTGGAATTTGAAACAGTCCAGGAGGATGGCATCTTGGATCAAGATAGTAGTAGCAGCGATGAAGATCAAGACGAAGAGCAAGAGGAGCGACAACAACACCAACACCAACAACCCCAAGATCCCCATACGGACGACAAGCTCTCTCGCTATACGACGTATACATCCTCGTTTGGTGGAAATCAGTCTGAAGATGCACCCTTACTATCAAATCCACCACCACCACCTGTGCCTTCATTCCATATGCTGATGCCTCGACAATTGCAAAATGAACGCAATGTCACTTCTGAATACATTGAAATGTACTCTTCATTCACTCCCAACGCAAGCCAAGCGCAACTGGCTTACCCACAGGATGAAAAGACTGAGGTGGAGGAGGAAAAAGATAACATTCGATTCATGTCATTAGACGAATTTGGTGTGCCACATCAAGAAGAGCAACATGCCTCTGACGCAGCAACCACACACACGACACAGCACATCATACGACGGCACACGGCTCCATTGCTAGCGGATGTAGACGACAAGGACGCACTGACAAACGAACCCATGGCGCGTCATCATTCACTTCCTGTAGCGTTTTATCAAGCGCATTTGTCTCAACGCTTTGATGTAGACACTTCAGATGAAGAAGATCAAGTGCCACAAATAGCGATTGAAGTTCGACGTCAATTGAGCGTGCCTGTAGCAAGAACAAGACAAGAAACAGCAATGCAACGTAGTCGTACAATGCCATCGAGAAGACAACAGCAGCAAGTAGCTTTACCTAACAATAACCCTTTTGAAGATGCTTATACCACAGCAAGTCCTGAAAATGAGGAGCAGACATTCTTTTGAATATAGTTATTGATCTAAGGCGTATATTATTAAACCCGCGTAATTCGTACGCATACTTTTAAACCTTTTCGGCTACACTCAAATGGACTGCAAATGTTGATCTGGAAAGACATCAAGTTCTGATCCAACGGACTTGTAATGAAACGCCAGCAGTGGCACTCCATATTTCACCACTAAAATATAAAGGAGGTGGGGGGGGGGAGGTGACCAAAAAAATTACACGTCCTTGAACATAAGCTTTTCTTTTCATCTACTTTTAGACACATCAAACATGCAATCACAATCACAATCTGAGGAACCAGAAAGTTTCATGGACTCTTCCTTACCAACCTTTATCAGGAACGCCATCAACCACAACGAGGATGACTATTCCAATTTCGAAGATACACAGGCACCTTCAGATTTTGAGGCTTCGTCTTATGGTATCGGCAACGATGGCATTATCAGTCGTCCTATGGGAGGTACCATTGATTCATTGACCAAGATTTGGATGGATGAGCGTAATGCACCTGAAATATTGCCATATGAACACGCACTTGTAGAGCCCTTGATTTTAGCCATTGAGACACAGGTAAGTTCTTTTTATGGTGGTGGGTGGGTGTGTGTCAGAGTACTCACCATCAATGACATACACGCTTAGGCAGAAAACATCATGGAGTCCATGGAATCACAAAAAGAAAACAAGTTTGAGAGTATGCTGTATCAGACAGAAATCGAGCGAGTCAAGTATTTATTAAAAAGTTATTTGAGATGTCGATTATGGAAGGCAAGTAGGAGTGATGGCGTGGGATTTGACAGTTTGTAGGGTGAGAGTCTAATATCAAAGATTCGTTTAGATTGAGAAATATACATTGCATCTACTTCGCCAACCTGATCTAAAGGAACTATTGTCATCTCAGGAGATTGGATATGCTAGACGATACCAAGAACTGATTGAAAGCCACAACCACGATTCATTTTTGCATCAATTGCCCAGATCACAACATAAACAAGACGAAATCTCGGTCGACATGAATATGGTGGTGGAACCCAATCTGGATGCCCCTGTGTTTTGTCGTGTCCTAAGCGATATTGGCCATGTAGAGATCAATAATGATAGTGTCTTGTTTGAGCCCAATGATATCTACATATTACGCTATAGTGACGTACGAGACTATTTGAAGGAGAAAAAAGTAAAGTTAATTTAACTCTTATTTAAGCCAACAAAACCTATCAAATCGTTGTCATCGCATCATTGTATAAAACCTTGAACTTTTTCTCATTTGCATTTTTCTTTTTCTTCATTCTATCCATCTAATAAACAAAATGAACTCTCAACAACAACAACAACAAGCTTCTACTGGTCATGGTACTGTCGACGTCCCTTGGACTGAAGACTCCAAATCATCCTTGCAAGACAATCAAGGCATCTCCTCATCTTCTGCCGCCTCTCAAAGTCAAAAATCCCATCAACAGCATCAAAATAGTGCACCCGAAAAAGAACATATTGGTTTCGGTCATGCTACTCAGCATCAGCATTCTCCAAGAAGCATCAAGCGAGACTTGAATGATATTTAATTCAATGTAGATAAAGATATAGTAATGTACAACTGTAAATAAAGTTGCTTGAATCAACAGCATCCTCCTCCTTCTTTTGCTGCTGCTGTTGTTCTCGAGCTTTGTCCATGTATACCACCATGCCCACCTCTAACACTTGAGGGTCTCAATTGAATCTTCTCGCCTAGTGAAGGTCGGCTCAGTTGTTCTTGAGCATTGTTTTGTTTCTTTGGCAAGCTGCTGTGAATGGTATCGAATATAGTGGAGAAAGCCTTGTCCACATTGGTAGCATTCAATGCAGATGTCTCTACAAATAAAAAGCCCTCATGCTCTGCCAATGCGCCACCGTGTTCTGTACTCACTAGGCGACTCGATTCACTCAAATTCACCTTTATTGCCAACCGACATGATGACAATATTGGGATTAGCATGATCTCGCAATTCTTTCAGCTAATGTTCCACATTCTGAAAAGAACTCGAACGTGTAATGTCTTTTATTCACACATGAGTATTACATTTGATCAAGTGTGTGTGTGTGTGTGTGTGTGTGTGTGTGTATGTGTGTGTGCCGACTTACCATATACTAACAAAGCACTCACGGCACCGCGGTAATAGCTAAGAATGATGTTTGTATAAATATAGTGTGCTATATTGACTCATAAATGGCACATTCAATACTTACGATCCAGTTATTGCCCTATATCTTCCTTGCCCACTTGTATCCCAAATCTGTGCTTTGACGGTATGGGCATCTTTCAAAAAACCATTGTCATTTGTGTAACTATATAGGCTGACTACTGACATGCTTCCCAATTACCTATTTCAAGATTCTTTGTTGCAAATTCGACGCCTATCGTACTCTTAGATTCTATATTGAATTCATTCGACTAATAATAAGCTTAGCCATCTGCTGTTTGACAGGTGATTATTACACATACTATGAATCTGGAGAGCAGATTTGATTTACCAACATTGGAATCACCAATGAGCACAATTTTGAATAGACAATCATACTCGTCATCGTAGAGCATATTGATGATAGAAAGGGTTTGAAACAAAAAGAGTTCAACAAAGCCGTAAAAATATCTTTTTCTCTCGCCTCCTTTGAACAAATGTACAGAATGATCAGTCAGATAAATGTTTTACTAGAAAGGCAGTAGGCCGAGTTGAATGAATGTTTAACGATTTATTCAAGATGATGGTTGGAAGCACAGACAGCAGAGCCATGTGGAATCGATAGTATATTACACTCCACGTGTATCAAGTCTTTGTTCAACACAAAGTGTCATATTTACAGAATTGATCAACAATCATGTATCACTGCAATATTTGGCCCACGTTTTTCAATATATAAAATGATGGCTATTGTACCACTCGCTAGCGACGTGTATCCGAGTTGTGTGGTGATATTATGATTATAACTAGAACACTGTCATTATAGTATGCCAAGGTCAATCCTTAGAACAGTGTTAACTGAGAAGAACTATGCATGGAACAAAAGAAACATCACAAGGCAGCAAAAGATTCATCCATGACTGATGATCATACATGGTTTTTGCCGTCAATTAGCATGCCAAGTAGAGAAATGCCACTGGACTCCCAAGTACGTGCATTCATGTGTGTCATGATCACTGCTTTTTTCTTTACTATCCGCATCAAATGTCTATTCCAGCTTATTGACAGCATTAACCTTTTTTCCCTCCATCGCCAGTTGCAATGAAAACACTTGCAGGACATGTCCAATGTCAATGACTATCCCACTGTTACTATATAAAAACATACAGGTATAACAAGTTTACTTTTAAGGCATCAAACACAATGATACAATCAATAAAACGTGGAATCCTTTTTCGGGTCATCAACACCGTGCTTTCAAATGCTGTCCATGATACACTTACCACCATTGCACTCGGGCTTTTGACATTGAATCCAACCGAGAAGATGAGCTACAATTAAAATATCACTGAGTTAAATTAATTGAGTGCACGAATAACGGCGCAAACAATTCCATCAGAGCGCGGCGATGCAGATGGATTTGTTTTGGTCAAGGAAATCTCACACACAATAAAAGATATCATACAACATTAAAATTATAAAAGCAAACACTAAAAACAAATCAAATCAATGAATTCAATGCCATTTTTATTGGTCAAGGCACAGGGTACTAGTGATTTCATTGGATCAATGCCCTTCACAAGGCATGATCTCAAACTCAGAAGGTGCAAAACGACATGTGTACTCTTTGCTTGTACACAAGAAAATTATAAAATAGGGTTATTTAAAAGAGGGGGTCTCTTTTTACATTTTTTTTTTCTCTTTCTTTCTTTCTTTCTTTCTTTCTTTCTCACAACAAAAAAAAATAGAGGATCAACTCATTTTTTCACATCCCAATTGCATGATTCAATAATCAGGAACACACTCTCATATTCAAATCACAGATACAAACACAACTTATAGACTTTTTTTTTTTTCTCTCTCATACTTAATCCTCAATCACCAACATGATTCATATCACTCATAATACAAACAATAATACTTTGACATCCTCCAATCACCAAAAGTTTGGTAAACATATTCTTGCTGCTGCAAAAGACCAAGAAAGAAATGCCAATGTAAGATTTAGAGAAATTTTTTTTCTCACACACGTTATATACACAATGGTATTAACAAACATATACGCTACTAGGTTTTTGATAAACGAAGCTCGCTTCCAACAAACCAAAAGCAACTACGTAAATCAAGGTCGCTCACAACCGACAAACCCAATTTAATGGTTGATATGACATTGAAACGTAGATCGACTGGTTGTATTCGTCAACCATCTTATTACAGTTCAACATCGAATAATAATACTGCCGTAACCAAGGTACTTTCTACTATATCGTATATAGAGCTGCACCGGATAGAAAAAAAAAAAAAAAAAACTAACTTGTTTCATTTTTTGCAGGAAATCTGGCGTCCTCCTGGTTTCTACGAAATCCCAAATGTATTTGGTCCTGATTGTTTCTTAAAATCAGAGCCCTACAAAGAAAATACATTCAGTTTACGTGAATACCCATCCAGCAATAAATTCGCAGAAAAGAGACGTTGGTATCCTGTAGGTCCCACCACAGAAATTCCTCAATTACCTCCTCTTGTACGCTCTGAAAATGAATTCGAACGAAGAATTCGTAAAGCTCTATCACATCAAAAGAAGATTTCCGTATCTACGTTGGATCCTCGTAACAAGTATGCTGGATTTAAAGAAGTCGGCACAGGGTATGTATTCTAAAAGGTTTTTTTTTTTTTTTTTTTGGTAGTTGTGTACTGACTCATCTTTTTTTTTTTTTTTTTTTTTTTTTTATTATTAGTGTAAACGGCTCCGTCGTACGTGCTACTCACAAGTACAAAAAGAACCTTCATTTAGCTATTAAAAGATGTCGACTAGACCCCGATCGTGAATATAAAGCAGCCATCGTAAGAGAACTCCGTATCATGTCTTCTGGTCACGCAAATTTGATTCGACTTCGTGAGGTGACTTTGTGGCGTGATGATGTTTGGATGGCTATGGACTTGATGCGTTGTTCTGTCTTTGCTGTACTCTGTCAACGTGGTATTCCTGAAGAACATACTATCCATATTGCTTGTGAAACCCTCAAGGCTTTGCATTACTTGCATTCAAAGGGATTCATTCATCGCGACATTAAATGTGAGAATCTGTTACTAGGCTGGAATGGTGAAGTCAAGCTGGGTAAGTTTTTTTTTTTTTTTTTTTTTTTTTTTTTCTTGTGTGAACAATACACTTTTTGTTCCGTGTATACTGCAGCAGATTACTAACTTTAAAACCACTAATAGCTGACTTTGGGCTGGCTACTCGTACAACCAAACGTAATCGTGACCGACTGGGTACAAGCAAATGGATGGCACCCGAAGTTATTCGGGAACAATATTATAATGAAAAGATTGACATGTGGTCACTTGGTATCACCGTCATTGAAATGATGGATCGTGTTCCTCCCCATTATCTTATTAAGGATGAAATGGAATTATTCTCCACTGTCTTGACTGAACCCAGTCCAACATTCACTTATAGTTATCCTACCATGTACATGCGTGGTTTGGTTGCCTGGTTATTAGACGAAGTACCACAAACAAGACCCACAGCAAAGGATGTTCTTTCCGTAAGTTTTGTCTCACCCAATGCATTGAATCTCAACTAACATCCGTTTGTCAATAGGAAATCGATGCTCATGTTCAAAGCAAATTATTGAAGTGTTCAACCTCTGTTGAGCTTGCAAGATTCGTCAATCATGTTTTACCTACATGTTAAGAAGAAGCAAAAAGAAACAATATGTGTATGATCCTCAACCTTTTATATTCTCAAGCCGTTCTACGACCTCCTCCCACTATACCCATTTTTTTCACACAAAAAAAAAACCTTTATATCTCTCTTCATTATGCCCACATCTCATACCAAAAAAAAAAAAAAAAAAAAAAAAAAAAGATCCACGAAAAATCTCCCAAAGTTCTTTTTCCCCCCTCTACAAAAATTATGTAACTTTTTATCTATGTTCACTTCTCTATTCTTGATATACATACATATTTATTCTTTCAATTCTTCAACAACACACACACACATTTTGCTTTAGTTTTTCTTTTTTTTTTTTCTTTCATTTTCCTTTTTCTTTGCAAACTACAATAAATCACTTATATAACAAACAAAAAGTAGCTACCATTGTGCTTTGTATTGATGCTATGCAACTGCTGTAGATGGTGACAATCGTCGAAATACATCAAGCCTTGAAGGCTTTACACAAAATTTCCAGTAGATCAAAAAAAAAAAAAAGACCGAGTTTTATCGGGATATGAACATTAAAACAAGATTCAGGGGTACAGATTACCTTTTTTGGAGACGTGCATGATTCGCCGCTCTGATCTAATTCACCCTAACCATGGAAATGGAATGTTATCATATCAAGGATTTCATTTAAAAACATTGCATCAAATAGAGAGCTCGACTCGAAAAAGAAGTCTGATGTTTTGGAATACATCATGCAAAGAAAATTTTAAGTTTTAATCTTATTTGCGATACTTTCGAAAGAGAAAGAAATCACTTGAAATTGCTTCAAGACCAAGCAGTCAAGTAAATGTACACCTAAAATTTATTCATGCTACATATACATAATTTACACCAACAAAAATCTAAAATTCTTGAACATAATTGCCTACATGTACAGCAAATTGCATTAGCAACAGCTCTCCCACATATGCATCTTTCTTACCTGGGAATACACCAGTAATACCATTTAATCTACCTGTCCACCAATCATTTGTATCGTTAGTCTTTTCAATAATTTCGATTCGATCATCCTTCTTGAAGCTCAAGTCGCCATCAGCCTGAGCAGTATAATCATACAATGCCACCACAAATTTAGCTGGTTGATTGTGTTGTTGCACTGGAGCTACAGGATGCTGATAAGCAGGTTGTTTTTCATATCCCATGGGTGTTGAATCCAATGTCACACCTGTTTGACCATATGCAGGAGGAGCAGCAGGAGCACTTTGATTGTAGTAAGGATCATAGCTATTGGTATTGCCCATGTTGGGACTGGTGCCTCCACCGTTAGCTTCTGCTGCTTTGAGAGCAGCTCTTTCTTGTAGCGATAATTTGCTGTTGTTAGCACCACCAGAAACAGCTAACCAAGCCTTTCCGCCAGATTTCAGCAAATCCATATTCTCAAACTCGGCACGTACATCACGCTGCGATTTGCGGTAGTTGTAGCCTTCTTCGATGCCCATTGTATTGGTCACAAATGCATCCATGTTTTGATTCAGCAGCTCAAAACAACGAGCGTAAATCATGCCATAGATGCGAGATTGCATGTTGAACAAGTTTTCGAAAACGGGCTGAATGAAGCTTGCCTTGAGTTGAAAGAAACGAGGTAATTCAGACTTCAACATGTCGTTGAGATAGTTGTAATCTTGTGTTGCTGTATCCAATTGCGATTGAGTCTATTTGACAACATGCCTCAGCAAATAATCGTTTCAGCACATTCTGCACAACACACTCACCTTGAAAATTTGCTTTTCTTCACTAAAGCTTCGCTCTGTTTTGGCATTCAGTTTTTGGAGAGCAATGCGATGTCTGTCGAAATCAATCAATTTATGGTTGCGTTTCACCATAGTCTTGTTAATTGTCTTTATGATTTCAGTCAACTCCAAAAGAGGTCGCACAATATCTCGATCCACCACATCTAATTCTGGTAACACTTCATCTCTGCAATAAGCCATTGCTGCCTCTGCGTCATTGACAGCCTGTAATTGATGAGCCGGTGTCTGCTGGAATCGTTTCTGAACCATTCCCTCTGGCACTTCCGTTCCCAAAGCAGCATCATAAATGACGGCCAAGTATTCTGCCATGTTGGCCTGATTAGACAAGAGTGCTATCAAGCAAACATGTTGAGTTTCCAAAAAAAAAAAAAAAAATAGCATTTCAACACCTTGTTTTACCTGCAATGCTATCACGAAAGATTCGAGCGTCCTTGGCAAGTACTTCAACAAGCTTGGTAAACTCGTTGAATACTTTCTCTAATTGCATGTATTCGGCATCCTTGGTGCCTATGATGATTTCCGCATGAGAGCCGTGGTAGTTTTATCTATTGAGCGAGTGTTACCTTCGTTTTTCTTTGATAATAATTGATACGGCAAGCGATTGACAGCTTTTTGAAAACCCTGATAAAACACTTGTATTAGCCATTGCTCATGCTGCCTCGATAAAGACTTACTTTCCAACTCATTTTGTAATATGTAGATTTGTTAAATAGAAACGGAAAAGAAGAAAAAGCAGAAGAAAAAAAAATGAGAAACCCCAAAGATAATATCATCATCACCATTTTCCTTTCATCATCGCCCAGAGATTAAACTCATTGACAACTCCGTCATTGTTGTTTGAAAATCGGAAAAACCACATGTCCGAGCTCGTTGTTCATTATACATGCATTTTATCAGCTCGAACAGTTGCTTTTTTTTTTTTTTTACAAGTGTAACCAATCGATGATGTATGAAGCTTTGGTCAAATGATCTGTTGCTGAGAGCTCAGCAGAACCGAACAGCAACAAAGGTTTCTGGTTTGTTCATGCATCAGGTTGCTTGCTTTACAGTGACTTGTTTTACCTGGATAAAAGATTTTCTTGCAGTATTCAATCATACATCAACTCTTTCTTCACCTTTGCAATGAGTACAATTCCTGACGATCTTGCTGTAGCCTCTGAATTTGCTGCCCAAGATCTGCCTCCAGCTACCATCGTCAAGGCAGATCAAGCCGAGTCTTCCAAGGCTGTTGATCCAGCTGCACCATCCAACGTTGAGGCAGCACCCAATTCTTCATCTGTCAAAGCTGAATCTGTAAGCAAATATGATCCATTTGTGATCAACATAACGACTAATATGTATGGTGACTAGATGGAATTAGACGATACCCTTGATAAAGCCATTGCCGGAAAGACCGAGAAAGGATACGAAAGCAGCGACATTGACATTTCAAGTGATGAGGAAGGCAATGCCAGCAGCGATAGCAGTAGTGATAGCAGCAGCAGTGACGATGATGACAATGATGATGATGAGGAGATGGGAACCGCCACCAGCAAAAAGGCTATGGGCGATGAAGATGAAGAACAATACCCTGATGGCATAGTGAAGACTGCACATGAAATTGTAGATATTGTTGTGGAGAAGCCTCAATTCGAAATGACTGCTCAAACCGAAATCATCTTTGCTGGCACCATCTTTCAAATCATTGATAATGTGATTGTGATCCACTGCAAACCACACAGCGAGTATAGCACGCTGGATCAAGGTTCATTGTTGGTGTACGAGAATAGAGAAGTCATGGGTGAAGTATTCGAGACATTTGGGCCTGTTGCTCGCCCCTATTATTCTGTGCGATTCAACGATGCCAAGGAAATCAATCAGGAATTCGCAAAAGTGGGCCAAGATGTCTATTTTGTTCCAAGCTATCAAAAGACTCAAATTGTGGAAACCGAGAAATTGAGAAAAATCAAGGGCACAGATGCTAGTAACGTATATGACGAAGAAGTCGGTGAAGACGTAAGTTGTGTGTTGTGGTCTGCTATGGAGGAGAGCTTTTTTGTGCTAATGCCAGAAAATGTTTGTAGGAATTGGAGTTTTCTGATGATGAAAAGGAAATGGAATATAAGCAGAGAAAAAACAGAGAAAAGAAGATGTAAGATTTTGCAAATATCGTACAACATGTGTGGATACTAATATGCCTCCTTGGCCATGTAGGAAAAGGAGAGGATTACCAGTGGATGATAAGAATAGACAGCAACAACAACAACAACAACAACAACAACAACAACAACAGCATCCACCCCGTCAAAGAGGACAACAGAGATATCAACAGCGCAAAGCAGCAAGAGATCTTCCTGATGATTTTGATTCAGCATTGGCTGCTTATGAGCAGCATGCACCTCCTCCTCCTCGTCAACAGCAAAGCTACGCTGATTTGATGGACGATTATATGGGCGCTCCATCCTCCACGCCTGCTGCTGCTCCCTCTTCTCAATACTACCCTCCTCAGCAACAACAGCAGTATCAACCTGTAGCCTCTCAACAACAAACGTATCAAAGTCCAGCAGATTTGGTATCTGCATTGTATAAATCGTATGGCGGTACATTGCCCACTCAATTACCTAGCACTCTACCACAACAACAACAACCACAACCACAACCACAACCACAACAGCAGCAACCGTCTGCGCGTTCCTTATTTTCGCAACCTCCACCACCAATTTCAGATTTGGAGAAATCCAATTAGACTGACATGCATAGTTTTGACGGAATTTAATATATAAAAGAGCCCCCCCCCCCTCTCTCCCAAATATGCTATGTTTGCAATTTAAACCTACTGAAGAGAAGGTTGTATTTATTACACATTAGTAAAAAAAAAAAAAAAAAAAAAAAAAAAAAGCGCAGATTCTAGTAAAGAGTGCTAGTAAAGGATGCATCATTTGCCAGTTTCTTCTCGCAAGATTGGCAGCCAAAGCTGAAATCAATATCTGGCTCCAAGTCTTTCGGGTTTTATGGCCTTGGCTTTAGACTCACTTTATGCCTAGTAAAAATGTGTCTGAGATAAGCGTCCTTGTTTGCTAAGCGTTCGTTGCAACAAGTGAAAGTATGTAGCCACATATCGAGGCATCAAATGGTAGTCCATTTTATTCTTATAGCATTACATACAGATATTTCAACTGGACTCCACGTGTACATTTGTAAATACATGGATGCCAATTAAACGGATCAAGTACCAAGCTCATTTATGATATGATGGATGTTTGTCAAATGGTCTACCAAGCTTGCCTTTGAAGAGAGGTGCCCATCGCATTGTGCGCACTGAAACTTTGCATTACCGCTGCTGGCAAGATTTGGATCATCAAAGTGCTTCTTGGGCATTTGAATGGCATGCATGATTCGCAAGTGGCAAATGAACGAGCTTCGGCATTTGAGATGTTTGTTGCATCTTGCGCAATGGAACTTGGGATGGTTCAAGTCAATGTCAGCATCTGGATATGCAAAAGGATGATCCAAAAGATCCCCAGACATCCTGTGCACATGTTGACAGTGTCTCCTGTAACTAAGCAGCGCTTTGAACGAGTGTTTACATGCACGGCAGTAAAAGTTGGGGTCCAAGGGGTCAGGAAGCAAGTTTTGGTCTTTTTTCTGTCGTAGCTTGACACCATGCTGATGGCGAGCATGACATCGATAGCTAGATTTACTTGCGTATGTCTTTTTGCAGACTCGACAGTAGTGATTGGGATCGTCTATATCAGGCTTGTTTGCGTGACTTGCTGCTTTTTTACCTGCCTGACTGATTGAATGAACCAAGGACAAATGCTTTTTGAAATGGTGCTTGGACCGCATAGTTTTATCACATGGACGGCAATGAAAGTTTGGATCATTGATATCTGGTTCCATATTTGCATTGCTGGATTGGAGCGACATCTGATGAATATGGATCAGATGCTTTTGGTAGGATGGTTTACTGCTGTAGAACCTGTCGCATGTTTGACAGTAATGATCCGGGTTTGACAGGTCAGGGGTAAGGTCTGGGTAGGCAAACGACTTTCTGAGCTTCACACCGTGCGCATAACGACAATGATGTCTATACACCTTTTTTGACTTGAGAGTGATATTGCAAACTTTGCAGTGATGTGTGGGATCGTTGATATCGGGCAACCCTTTGTTTGGAAATTTGCCTGGACTCTTCATACAGTGTATGTTTCGACAGTGAAATTTAAAGGCTCGTTGGGTGTGGAATGTAGCATTGCAAGAAGGGCAATATAAATTCGGGTCATTCCAGTCAGGGAGAACATTCATGTTACTTGCCATGCTCAGCCTAGACAAACTTACGTTGTGGTCTTGCGTGAGATGCTGATCGTATACGTGTTTGCTTTGACAAGAAGTCTTGCACAAGGGACAGCGCAAAAGCTGGTCATTGCTGATGTCAATTACATTGTCGCTGCGCAATGCTTGTTGTTTTGGCTTAAACATGATGTGATGAGCGAATATCAAATGCTGGCGATATTTAAGATGCGAGGAGAAAGTTTTCTCGCAAGTTTGGCAATAGTGATTAGGATCATGCACATTGGGTTCCAGTTCTACGTGTTTGAAAGCACTGCGTCTGAACTGATCCATGTGGTGCGTTGCTTCGAAATGGTCTAGTACTGATTTTAGATCGGGCATCTTGCTATTACATAGATTACAATAATGATGATACTCTTCGTTGATACATTCTGGAAGCCATAGTTAGCCTTTTGTGTGTAGCTGACAACCATGAGTGCATAGTACATACCAACATATGCTAGTTTTTTATACTTCTCGGGCGTCTCTATCTTGATAAAAACATCATCCAATCCATCGCTTTCGTTATCATGGCCCTGAACTATACTGGAGGCACTTGTAGCTGGGTTATTGCCATCTACCTTTACTGCTAGCTCTAGTTCCTCCTTGCCTCGAGCATCGCTATACTCATTAAATGCTGGCGACAATCGAAATTTGATAAAAAGTGGCTGACTGGATGCCTCGGTAGTGGCCTTGACGCGTTTATCCTCGTCTTCAAATTTCATTTGTACAGCATGTTAAACAAGAAACATGAAATAATTTCAAATGGACAAAGCTTTAAACTCACGACTGGGGCGTGCCCGAGTTGTGTAACAAAAAGATTTCATGCATCTTTGACCCTAACAGTATACCTGGATTGCCTCCTACCTTCATTTTGGCCCTCCAGCTACACATAGCACCCCTTCATATTATCTGTGGATCTGGTTCTTATGTAATGCTCTACATCAATATCAATATACCTACTTCATGTACGGGCAAGCAGCATACAGATAGTGTCCCTTTTCAGTCCTTAGTGTCCCTGATACAGCAACATCTGAGTGAATTTGTGCTACGGTTTCTTGAGTTAAAAGCCGTTTTAGCTCGTCAGAATAGCATCAAACAATTGCTCTTATCTGGCAGTTACTTTCTGACACCTTTGCTCAACTTTTTGGGGGATCAAAAAAAAAAACATTGACAAAAATTAACCCGCATGGTTTTCCATCGAAAATCAAACAATCGCATTTTTTTGCCTTGAAAAATGAAGACTTTTACTATGGTATATCTTAAATCAAAATGCTTCTCCAGACCCAAAGCAACCCCTAAACCTACTTTTATCAGGTCTTCATATGCAAAATTTCGACATTTTGGCCAACAACCTTATTTCATATTTTTTTTTAATTGCTCAATAAGTTCATTCAAAACATATACCTTACTTGTTACCATTGTATGCGCCTTGAAAAGCACCCTTAGGATGTATTAGGAAGCATTAGATGATAATCACAGTTTATATAGGCGAATATCATAAAATAGACTAAAGAAGTCGAAATGAGGCTAAATATTTCTATTTCGAGCAAGAAATTGAGCGAAACTTTAAATCGTTTTGGCTGATGGCCAAATGCGATCCTCATGAAAGCAATCGATAGTTTTGAAGCCAATTCAAAAGGCAATTGCAGGTTGAAAAAAACATTATGGCCTAGTCTAACTAGTCTAGTTTGTTTTTTGCTGCGTGAATCTATATTTGATAGAGCCTAATATGGCTGCCGGATAGTGTATGTTTAATATATGCGACGGAGGATCTCAAGCCGAGCATAATCTGATGAATAGCTTGATGAAGGAGGTGCCCTGATTTGATACATGGATGCAGTCATCCAAGAGATTACTATACTCATCAAGCCAGATTCAAAGGGTTAATCCTATCATCAAAGACAAGAAGCAATACGGCTCTGCACTTTTATCGCATTCAGTAATGTTCATCACTCGGAGACATTTTATCAGCAATAATCATAGCATTTGCATAAAAAAAAAAGCGGGCAAGGACTGTACAAATAGTGACGATCCACAACAAAAAAGTTAGTTTGAAACGAGTATACAATGCTGTTGCATTCTTTCTTTTCAACCTCTTTCTCTTTCCTTTTTCATTTTTATGATGAAATCAACATGTATACAAAACACAGCAGCACGTCTTAGCATATGTCGCATGTTGATGATGGCATTCCTTGGGTCTGCATTCTCATTTCCAACGAGTCCTCCTTCCTCTCGGATGGCAATTCATGCTATCGGTAATACGGATACAACCACCACCACCACAGAACAATATGTTGTGCGTATGACGATGGTGGTCATTCTTGTCTTGATGGGTGGTTTTTTTGCTGGTAAGAAAGACACAATTAGAAAGAAATAGATCAATGCAGTAACACCTTGTTGTTGCAGGATTGACATTGGGGCTGATGGGCCTTGATGAAACTAACCTTCAAGTCATGGTGCACTCTGGCTCAGCGTCTGAAAAGAAGAATGCTACACGTGTGCTTGACCTGTTGAACAGAGGCAAATACTGGGTGTTGGTGACGCTACTGCTATCGAACGTTATTGTCAATGAAACACTTCCCATTGTGCTTGATTCCATATTAGGAGGTGGATGGTTGGCAGTCTTGCTGTCTACTGCTTTAATTGTCATCTTTGGAGAGTAAGACTGTATGAAATAAGGTTAAATTAAATCGTGTTTAACGTTCTTTCTTTTTTTAGAGTGATTCCTCAATGTAAGAGTTTTTTTTTTTGACAAAAAAAAAAAAAAAACTGTTTCCTGTTTCATGTTTGACATTGAATTATATGTAGCTATCTGTGTTCGATATGGTCTAGCCATTGGAGCCAAATGTTCGCCGTAAGTTGTTGCTGTATTCCGAAAAAAAAAAAAAAAAAGAACCAGGTACTCATGCACAACCAATGCCATAGCATTGTTCTGGTCATCATGTACATGATGTGTCCAATCGCATATCCAGCATCCTACTTGTTACAATACTTTTTGGGCGAATCGCATGGGACAATCTACAAAAAAGCAGGTCAGTGCAGTTTTACAGCTCCTCTTGCACTTTGAAATTAGCCGTTTAACATGAACGTGCTCAACAGGTTTGAAAACATTGGTATCGCTTCACCAATCGGATGATGATATAGAGGGATTGACAGAGGATGAGGTGCACATCATCAAATCAGTACTTGATCTCAGGGAAAAAACAGTTGCCAGTGCCATGACACCCATCCAAGATGTATTTACATTATCGTTTCATTCCATTCTGGACAAAAATTTGGTGCAAAAGGTGGGGATATGTACAAGTGCATTGCTTTGAATCAGCAGCACTCATCATGCTTACATGGATTAGATTCTCAGAAACGGCTATTCAAGAATACCCGTCAAAGAATGTGAAGATAGCTGCAATTACATTGGAATGCTTCTTGTGAAAAGCTTGATCAGTTATGATGTGGATGATAAACTTCCCGTGAGTCATTTTCAGTTGAGCGCTTTACCAGAAACGTCTCCGGAAACAAGCTGTCTGGACATTTTGAACTTTTTTCAAGAGGGCAAAAGTAAGTGAAGGGGGGGGAGAGGGAGTTGAATACAGGAGATTTATTATCGCACATGACTCACAGTAGCGTATCATACAACATAGGTCATATGGCTATCGTGTCAAGTTGTCCTGGTGGATACGGGGGTGCTTTGGGTGTCATTACATTGGAAGATGTGATTGAAGGGCTAATCGGAGAGGTAAGTTCCAACTGTTAATAGGCATGATACATGGGCGGAAAAACTTATCCATGTGCAAATGATATAGGAAATTGTGGATGAAACGGATGTATTTGTGGATGGTAAAATACAAATTCTTTGTATGTATACAAAGACTAATATATCTGCTATAGTTCACAAAAAGATCAAGGTCGATCGAGTGCCAAACAAACATCTTCAATCCATTATACCGTCTATTCGAGTCAGCACACCTCCCATTGATACATTGAATTGCACACTCTCTTCCGAATCCACAGGCATCAAAATAAGAATGAAAGGATATGGCGCCATTGTGGACAATACAGGTGGTGGCAGCAGTAGTGTACTTTCCAGTTCTTATACACAGCAACAGCAGCAACAGCAGCAACAACAACAGCAACAACAAAACATGATGCAAAACACAAATGGCAGCAGTGAACTAAAAGTATAAATATCATCTCTGCTTTATCCATTCGCAATTGGCACGCCATGTGTATACATATACCCCCCCCTCTACACAACAAATAACCCTCCTAGAATCCAATAAACCATTTGCTTTTTATTAGTACTTTTTTTTAGTTGGCCTTGTTGAAATAATCTTGAGAACCCTTGGGATCAGGCTTGATAGTGGCATCGCCCTGTTGCCAGTTGGCGGGACAAACTTCACCATGTTCATCAGTGAATTTGATAGCATCAATCACTCTCAAAGTCTCATCAACAGAACGGCCAATAGGTAAATCGTGGATGGTACTAATACGAAGAACACCCTTGGGATCAATGACAAACAAACCACGAAGAGACAAACCCTCTTCAGGGATCAATACTGCAATGTTCACTCTTTGTCAATCATCCAAATTCATACATCCAAAAATCATGCTTGCTTCAACTTACCATTGTAGTTGGTGGAAATCTCCTTCTTAATATCAGAGACTACAGCACAAATGAGTTACACTCTACATTTTTATCGATGCGTAAAGCCAACTTACCGAGGGGAATGTTAATGGATCCAAGACCACCTTGCTTTCTGGGGAGATTAGTCCAAGCTACACATATACATATATCAATGTCAAAGTGCTTCCTTCATTCATTCGCAACTATTATAATTTACCTAAATGAGAATGGACGTTGCTGTAATAGATACAATGTCAGTCAGCAAAACATCAAACCCCACACGCACACATATACAGTATATACACAACTTACTCAACACTGATACCAACAACTTCAGCACCCTTCTGTCTGAATTCTTCAATACGATCACTGAAAGCCAAGAGTTCAGTAGGGCAAACAAAAGTGAAATCTGCTGGATAAAAGACCATGACGACGAACTTTCCCTTATAGTCAGATAAAGCCAATTCTTTGAATTCGCCATCAACAAGAGCACTGGCAGACCATTGAGGAGCAGGATCTATATATTATTTACATGAATCCATAGGAGCGCTTGCGATAGTTTTCTAGCTTATCTTACGTTGGACAGTAGCGCGCTTTTGTTCAATAGCGCTGGTGTTCAAGAAGCGTGCAATGCTAGTAGCAGTCGATGCACGAACGGCAGGTCTCATCAGGGATGGGCGAACAGCAGCAGAAGTGCTGAGAGCAATGCGGGGAGCAATGGAGGTAGCAATACGACGAGCAGCAAACATGACGAATTGTGTTGTGAAGAAAAGATTTTTAAAAAAAAAAAAAGACACTTCAAAACAAGGGTGGTGCCAAACTATTTAATTTTTAGCAGCTTTTTCAACCCCACACTTTAAACATTTGGGTGCATTGAGATGCCGAGTGGCTAGATTTAAGCATGATTTTATTCGTTTTTACTATGCTATTGCGGTGATTTCAACTGATATGAAGGCTGTGCAAGCTAGTTACTTGATATGCATGATAAGCTCTTCTTGTCCGTCAATCTGTTTGATTTGGAATTTGATATTGTCATGACGCGATCTTGCAAATTTGACGGTTTCCTTGATATTTATATTACGTGGCAAGGTGAATACCAAGTTTTTGGAAGCAACTCCATCCACTGCATCCAGTATGTCGAATCAAGGGATCGAGATTAGTGTGATACAGTCTACTGTTCAACTTGATTATGCTGACATTTGGATATTTGTATACTAAATATTCCAGCATATTAGGGTGAGGGTATAAGTTTTGGATGGTGATAACTGCCAACGATGACTCTGATCAAACATTGTCTCTGACCCATGAGTCAACACTCGTTTTGCTTGCTATACTGTCATTGATGGCAACCTCCTCCAATGCCAATGTCTTCAAATTTGCACACTTTTTCAATGCATATTCGAGGTTTTTCCAATCATCAATATATCCCGTAAGTCTCAATGTTTCCAAGCATCTGAATTTGTCAAGCAAATTAACAGCATTCCCATTCAATCCATTTCTAAAAGTCCCAATGGTAAAGAACAAACTGTTGAAGCTGAAGCGTATCATTGCTTTTATAACGATTGTTTCTCCTTGCCCGTTTAAGCCATCAGGTAGCTTGCTTAGTTTGTTGAATTCTGTTGTGCTGCTGTGAGCAATTTGCATCAATGTGATGAAAACCCCTCTGGCGTGAACAGTGCCTGTAAGTAATTCCATCGATGGTGCGAATGCAAGAGGAAGGAGATGGGTATAGATGAGAGGTAGATTGTGGCCCTCAATTTTCAGATGCAGATGCTTGATGTATCTACCTTTAGTGATATCTGTACACAAATGACCATAGAGTTGAATAGCTTTGTCCAACGAGTTTAGTACGATTTTGCAGCCAATCATAATGACCTCTGCAGGGTTGCTCCATTTTCGACGGACTAATCTGCATTTTCCCGTCTGTGCAGCAGTACCTATTTGTCTAAAGATGTTGAGCAGAATCTCTTTTGGAAGCGGATTTATAGTTGCCATTTGGTGAAAGACAGCAGCGAAAAAAGAAAATATAAAGCGTGAATTTTGTAATCGTATTCAATTGACTGCACCAATGTCAATATATCACAAACAAGGCAAATGATTCTAAACTCATATATCATCTTTTAGCAACACTGATTGCAAATCGAATAGCCCGTGTACTAGTTGTAGCACCATTAAAAGGAGACTCAGTCAACCTTCATTGCCCATCTGTCTTTTCTTTCAAAAGCTTCCGTCTGAAATTGGAGCGTTTCATTTCGAGAGGCTGCAAATTGCCCCACATCATCCATTGCAACATTGGCAGGGAACCAAAACGTCAGATCCATTTGCTGTACATCTTTGATTGCATTCAATACACGACTCAGGCAGTTAATTTCATTGGAAGAAGGCCTGCTTCTTAACTGAATGACTTTCACATTTGGATATTTGTACATTAGGTAAAAAAAAAAAAAAAAATGATGAAGATGATGAAGATGAGTACATTATCACTAGCCGCTCTGCGGCTCTCGCTGAAGACATTTTAAATCAGAGACAATAAAAATCTGATATAAAGTAGGTTTTAAACAATTCAATTAATAGTAAAAAAAAAAAAAAGGTTATATCTTCAGAGCCAGGAAGGGGAGGCATCCAATCGCTAATGTTGCTCTTGAGATGGCGGCATAAAGCTGGCCATCTGTAAATATAGGGACTTGTGTAAGATCTACAGCGACATTTTTAAGATATTGTCATTGCAAAAGACACCTTTATGAGGTAAAACCTCCCAGAAGAAATATTTAAGCTAAGCAGATGTCCTTTCAATTCTATGATCAGCATCGCAAACATTATTGGCATCATCAGAAAGGTATTTGGGCCAGCCAGCAGTAGCGCCGCCTGCTAAAATATAGTGAACCTCAGTTTTTTGTTCAACATTGGCCAACTTTTGTCTTTTGTCGACTTCTTTAGTCTATTTTATGATATTCGCCTATATAAACTGTGATTATCATCTAATGCTTCCTAATACACTCTTGGGGTACTTTTTAAGGCGCTCCTAATGATGCCAAGTAAAAAAAAATAGATGTTTTGAGTGAACTTATTGAGCAATTAAAAAAAAAAATATGAAATAAGGTTGTTGGCCAAAATGTCGAAATTTTGCATATGAAGACCTGATAAAAGTAGGTTTAGGGGTTGCTTTGGGTCTGGAGAAACATTTTGATTTAATATATCATAATACAAAGCCTTCATTTTTTCAAGGCAAAAAATGCGATCGTTTGATATTCGATGGAAAACCATGAGGGGTATCTCATGCTTTTTGGTTAGTTTTTGCCAATGTTTTTTTTTTGATCCCTAAAAAGTTGAGCAAAGGTGTCAGAAAGTAACTACTACTCGAATACAATTGTTTGGCGTTATTCCGGTGGCTCAGGAAGGTCTATATGTTAAGATATGAATGCTTGAAAGCTGCTAAATTTGGTTGTGTTTTGCTTTATAATAGCTTTTAATTACACGGCCTGAATCACAGCTTTGGTAACCGTAATTTACTGGAAGGGTAGTTCCATAGCCTGTGCAATTTTTAGTTCGAATAGGAGGAAAACTGATTTTGGTAAAGCGAATTCATGCAAATTTTGATGCGTTTTGTTGTTGGTAAGTATATTAATAATGAAAATGAAAAATCGAATTTGCTGCTTGAATACTGTGGGTTTGCACCTTCGCCTCGCTACGGTAAAGCCCTCATTCAGATAAATATTACCAAATGCTGAATTAGATACTTATTTGACAAATATCTACGGTGTTTCCCAAGATACATCACACGCCATCACTTTCACTACTACATTCATAGTAGATGTTTATGTTACAGAAACATTGGATGAGACAGAGACAGAAACTACTACTTTGATAATTTTTATCAAGTTCTCCTTTTAAAAGACGTTTCAAAAGAATCTGCCGTTGTAGAAGCTGTTGAAGAGATCAATGATGCTGAAAAAGAGCAAGTTTTGTGCACTTGACCAAATAGGTGATTCAGCCTGTGTACAGTGTATCGTACATTGTAATCCAAAAATCTAGCTGTTTAGATTATCTGGAAATTTTGATGAGTATCACCATTGCTCCTTTTTATTTATGGCATGGGAGGTAAATAAATGATTGATTGCGAGCCTTGCGTAAGGCACTTTCTACATCACAAGAGTACTTGATTCAAAGACGCGAATTGAATATGCCATCCCTCACTTTGAATGCACTATCTACATTCAGTATTGACGCCCGCATTATTTGTTTTTTTCTTTATCAGTCTAAACATTTGCTGTGAAGTAGAGATCATGTCATTATAGATCCAAACAATTCATCAGTTCAACTGACATTCAAATAACTGTAAGAGATCTAAATAGATCCTGCCCAAATCTCACTCTATTACCACACAACAAGTTCGACATTTTTGGAATCTCACATATTTGCTTATGGTACTTGTGTGCAACAACAAGGCTCGGGAATGGCAACCATTTGGTAGACCTGAATCAAGACAAATTAAGGTAAATTGGATAGAAACGTCTTGTATAAGATGCATTGATTCTTTTTTTGATACAAATTATATAAATTCAGATGCGATACAGCACCATGACATGCTTTTTTTTATATCAAGGCAATATTGTCTAAACATTCAATAAAGCAAAGGATTGCGCAATAAAAAGTAACCATAACGAGAAAAATAGGGTTGAAAGTTCGTATTACAACGTCCTAAGCAGGCCAATGGAGTTTGCAATGCAGCAGATGATGCCACACACTCCGAAAATTATGCGTCAAAAGTGAATTATTGCACAATCCAAATTCTGGATGGTGTAAAGTTGTAGCTCTAGAGTATAAGCAGGGCATCATGAAGCGAAAAAGACGCCATATCACTAGATTATTCTCTGTGCATTGTCCAACATGTCTAAAAGAGCATGCATCTTGTCTCTGTCTTGTATATATATATATAAAGAGCTTGATTTCCCATTGTCTTTTGTTGTCTTTTGTTATCAATACTTATACACACACACACACACATATATATATATATATATATATATCTCCTTTGTATAATCAAATGACTGAAAAATCAACCAAAAACGATACAGAATCTGTGGTGAAAACAACCGAAGATGTGTTTGCTGTCAGTAACGGGGAGAAGGCTTACTACCAGAACAGTGATATGGAGAGTGTCTCTGCTGATAGCTACGACGAGGATTTGGAATGGACACCTGAAGAAGAGCAAAAAGTACGCAACAAACTGGACCTCAAGCTGATGACGTTTATGCTGGCCATGACATTTGTCTTGAACATGGATCGTACTAATATCTGTAAGTCATCTCAACCTTGTTGTCATCATCATCACATCGATATTCATTATGCATGTTAGCCAATGCCATTTCTGACAACTTGGCCGTTTCTCTCGGCTTTACAAACGACGGTGTCAACACAACTATCCTCATTTACTCTTTTATATTTACCGTGTTTACGCTTCCCTCAAATGCCATTGTTAAGCGTATTGGTGCTCATCTATGGATCCCCATCTTGATGAACTCATGGGCTATCGTTACCTGGGCACATGCCTTGGTTCATAATTTCAGCGGTTTTGTTGCAGTTCGCATCTTCATTGCTGTGACAGAAGCCGGCTTCATTCCTGCTTGCCTTACTTACTTGACTGGATGGTACAAGACCACTGAATTAGCAACTCGTCTTGCTTGGTTTTGGGGTATTCAAGCCTTTGCCTCTGCTTTCTCTGGTTTGATTTCATTTGGTGTATTCCGTATGGCCGGTATTGCTAATCTGGAAGGCTGGAAATGGCTCTTTTTGTTGGATGGTATTATGACTCATATTGTGGGTACGATCGCCTTCTTTTACTTGCCTGCAAATGCTCTCAAGACATCTGGAGGCCTTCGTGGTAAAGCGGGCTGGTTCACTGACAGAGAGAAACAAATCGCTGTTACTCGCATCATCCGTGATGATTTAACAAAGAAGGAGCAATTCAAAAGGATCACTTTGGCCGATGTCAAGATTGCTGTTGTGGATACCAAGCTGTGGACTCATTTGGTCATTACATTCGTTGGGATGATGACCTTGACGCCCATTCAAAACTACTTGCCTACCATGATTCGAACTGCCGGTTTCTCTGTCACTGATAGTAATCTCCTCACTGCTCCTTCTTATATCATTGGTCTCATATTTTCCATCATCATTGCCCGTAGCTCTGATCGCTATGGTAATGTAGCTCTTCATGCCCTCATTGGCACTATTTGGATGTTGATTGGCTTCGTTGTGCTGGAAGTGTTGCCTGATAACTCTGGAAAATGGAGTCTTTACGGTGCTGCTCTCTTTACTGCTTCTGCTCCTTCGTGGCATGGTATGCAAATTGCTTGGATGTCCTCCAATCTAGCCCCTATTGGTAAACGTACACTGGCCTTGGGTGCTGTCATTGGCGCTGCTAACATTTGTGGCGTACCTGGTTCTCAAATCTACAAAACTGCTGATGCTCCTCACTACCATCAAGGCAACTACATCAATATTGCTCTTCAAACTGCTACAGCGGTACTCTTTCTCGCCCAACGCACTCGCTACGCTCTCACAAACAAGTATCGTGCCAAAAAATGGAACAGCATGACTGAAGACGAAAAGAAAACCTACAATGAAACTACCAAAGACCTTGGTTCCAACCGTCTCGACTTTCAATTCAGATTGTAAATGAATCGTATAATACCCCCTAGATTCTTGTATTTGTTTCACCTATTCAAAATTCTGTACTATTTATAACATCAATTTTTTTTTTCAAGCAATAAATTATTCATCTCAATATGTATTCAAGCAGTTTCTTTTTCAATGTGCTTGCTATCTGGACGTTGAGTTACTTTGAGTTCAAATGTGTCAAAATCAAACGCTGTAACCGAGTCAAAAGCTACATCATAGATGATCAATGACCACTCAAAAAATGCATAGATAGTATACGCTAGTTTTGAGATGAATATGAGATGTCGGATCATTCATTTTTCTATCACAAATTTCATTTACCTCCAGGTATATGGTGCACTTTGTGTTGAAGGAAAAAATAGATCATGGGTGGCAATGTGCCAAAAAATGCCATGATAAGGTATCTACGCCTCTTGACCAAAGTCGTATTTGCACTGGGGCTGGTATACAACACACCCAATTGCCATGGTAAAGTACACAAGAGGTAAATCACCATGGCAACATCGTGTGTCATATGGTCATCCGTTGATGTGATATAAACCCAACCACCACACGACACTGTACGAACAACACCCACTGCCAGCAAGAACTTGCCAAATCCCAATGAACTGGAACGCACGGACTTTGTAGTGTAATAATACCATAACCCTACCAAAGCAAATCGAGGCCCTGAAGTCAATGCAATCAAGATTTGGAAAAGAGCGCGTGCAGGATATCTATCACCTGTTGTTGCACTGACACTAGGAAACCATTCCTTTTTTTTTTCCAACCCATTTCAGTTATCCGTCTTTAACCAATACGTACTTTTGTGTGTTTATGCAACGTACCTGAGGATACCCAAAGTATTCGTTTTGAACAATCTTGTAATAATGAGTATAGCACCCAACGATCAATGCAACAAAAAAAGCGCCTATGTTATTCTATATCATGAATGCTACGTGTAAATCTAGTAGTGACAGAATATGGCTTACTGTAGGCGCATACTGTATGAGAATAAGCAATGTACTTTGCGGGTATCTGGCGTCATTGACTTGTGAATTCGGTTGTGCTTACAAGGGATTCCCAAGGATTGTTCAATTTACCACTACTACCGTGTTTTTCTCCAAATTGTTTATCATGATCAAAAGGAGAGGAGGAAGAGAGTAGAAAAATAAAGAGACAAGACAAACGTAGGGGGGAATAATGCTCAATGTGTAACAGTGGAAAAACAGAATATCCATGCCACGATTGTTCTGAAAAGTGCACTCATCAACATAGTAACAAACAGTAAGCAGAATCAGTGCAGTGTTCCTCGAGTTTTCTTGTGTCCCAGCTACTAGCTGTAGTCAGTTTAGGGCAAAACATCTTTTGAGATAGAAAGTGCAATTAGATAACATCTATCAGTACTGTTCTGCTGCTCATAAAGAAATATGTCCATTGTAATTAATGGCAGTCGCCCAGAAACATGGCCAAATTATGTTGCGCATTGGCCTATTATCAAAATGCTGCAAGTGGTCGCTTGGGTATTTTGCATGAAAAAAACTCTCCGTATAACAGAATATGGTGCATACTATGCGACTCATGCTGTAAACTTCCGTAGCATGTACCATATCCAGTGCATTGGTTTATAATCATGAGCTGCTTGCATCAAACGACGGAGAACATTCTATCAGAGTATATACATTTTCATTTCTATCTTTTTACCATTATGTGATAACCCTCCATGAACGCTTTTTAGGCGTAGATCTGACTTTTCTACAATGCTCCACGTCTATCTGAATAAGAGCTGATCATATACAGGCAGGCAGCTTATCTGCGTTTCCTCTTGTCAAAAGAACGCAAAATACAGTTTAATTGAGTCGTGTGTTTTCGCGTTGAAAGCCGTTTTAAATCGTCAGAATAGTCCCAAACAATTGCTTTCATCTAGCACTAACTTTCTGACACTTTTTGCTCAACTTTTTGGGGACCCAAAAAAAAAACATGGCCAAAAATCGACCAAAAAGCATAAGGTACCCCTCATGGTTTTCATCGAAAATCAAACAATCGCATTTTTCACCTCGAAAATGAAGACTTTTATTACGGTATATATCTTGAATCAAAATGTTTCTATCAATCCAACGTAACCCCAGAAATCATCTTTGTAGGACTTTGATATGTCAAATTTCGACTTTTTGGCCAGAAACCTCTTTTCATATTTTCGTAAATTACTCAATAAGTTTATTCAAAGCAACTATCTTACTTTGTGCCGTAGGATGCGCCTTGAAAAGTACTCCAGGAAAACTTAAAGGAGCATAGGATGACCATCATGTTTTACTTAGTCGAATCTGCTAAAATAGTTCGATCGAGTCGAAAATTATCAAGATTTGGAAAATCTGGAACGGTGTAGGATAAAAAGGGTGGATAAAAAGTAAGGGTGGATCCGGATAATAGATAGACCGTGGGGGGTACGGGGCGTAGGTAGGGGTAGGGTGGATATGGTGTAGCTAGCAATGGGTGGATATGGTGTAAGGGGTACAAAATACGTGAAATGAGTGTCAAATTTTAGCTTTTATTCATGCAGATCTATTTTCTGATCTGGCAAATACGATAACATGCATACACCGTGTTAGAGATATCTTTCAAAAGACGCTCTGCCACGTCTATATCTGAGGTGAGCACCTTCATTTGCTGCTGTTTCCAATTGTCAATATCTACGAGGTATACAATTCCACCAATTGTCTTATAGCATCTTGTATAAAAATGCCTACCATCATAGCAAGTCGAGTAGACTCTACCGTGCAATTTGTATTTTAAATTCTGTGATATGTGGATATACGTAGACAGGTAAACATTGTCTCCTGCTGTTCGTCCAGGGACAAAGTTTGCACCCTCTTGTATGAACAGGAACTCGGGAAACTGATCATCTTGAGGTAGTACTTTGAGTGATGTCGAAACTCCATCACACCCTGGAAAGTTACACTTTCCTTTCTGATGTTCTTTGAGCACCTTCTCTCTGAACAAGTCATTGAATTTCACGTCCAGTGCCGCTTCATTGATAAATCCACGACAGTCTCTCAATTCCTCGACGATAGTGGTTGGAATCATGTAGATAAACTCAAAAAAGGCATCTCTAGCATACGCATGCGCTTTTTCTACAGAGCAAGACACTTTTCTTTCACACTGCAACGACGGAAATGTACAAATCTTGCTTGCAAAGGCACCCGACAAACGCTGTAGTATATTGCTCGCCAAATCGTGGGTATCACCTTCATGGCCTTTTGGGAATGTCTTGACCATTCGGGGAGCACCAGAGACAATCTTGTATTCTGTCATATTCCAGACAAACTGTCTTACTGTAAGGGTAGCTGCACGAATACCAAAATGAGACTGCTGGGAATAAGACTCATAAGCATTGACAAGAAGACTATCATAGACATTGCTTTGATCAGCGAAAGACATATCCACAAACGGAAGAACGGCATTGAGCAGGAGCTCAAAAGATGCATCGATAACACAAGAACTACTTTGGTTGGGGAAAATGTACGTAGGAACAGGTAAAGTCGAGTATTTGCCTGGATCGTTATTTTCGTAATCCTTTACGAGCCATTGATATTTTTGAAGAAGAGATGCCCTTTTTTTTGTGGTACCAAGAAGCCGGCAGTGGCAGGTAAATCATTTTTAAGTGGAGCCTCACTTGTCATCCTGGTCGCATCGCTTGTATCAGGTTCGATTGCTACTCATGTCGAAGTCTCATGGGGCATTGGGGGGAGAGCAAAGATCAATTACTGTATCAGATATGGATTTTTGAATGCCTTGAATTGTAAGATCAATACGTGTACCATCACTTGCAGGAAAGGGTGAGTTCGAAGGAGGCGAAGGCAACGAAAATCAGAATCGGATAGTGCTCTCATTTTGGATGAGGTAGGCTCAGACTTGTGTTGTAAAACTGATGTGGGCTTGCATTTGGTCTTCATTAATGATGATGAAGAAGAAGAAGAGAAAGAGGAAGATGATACAAGATCAATAACGGACACTTTCAATTCTTCATCTGAGCCGACAACATCTTCAACAGGAATTCCAAGGTCTAAAATATCAATGATACGTTACAGCCACAGCAATTAGAAACTATTGCAAGTATCCTTACCATCAAACATATTCTTAATGCCTTCATCTAGGTCCTCAGTTCTATCAAATACATTTTCTGCTTTATCGCTTTTGTATTCGTCGTCTGAGAGTAGTTCAAGGAACAGTTTCTCATCACTGATATCATCATCTGGGAAATCATCCATCTTGGGACAGTTCCTCTCCATTTCATCAGTTTCATCCAGATGCTCAATTATGGCAGCATCCAAACTAACATCACGGGGTTTTCGCTTTCTTGGCCTTGCGTTTGCCATCCTCCTCAGCATCGCTAATGAGCACCACTTCTTGTTTTCTCTTCTTGGTGCCAAAGAGTGCCGTGTTGTTATCTGGCGCACGGCCGTCATTAATTTCATACAGAGTTGCATACTTTTTTGTCGGCTTCTTGGGCTTGTTTCCGTAATGTGGTCGGATATTGTGGTCATAAAAATCCATCAACATCATTCCATCACGCTTGGCGACCTACAACAAAAGTCTTAAGCTTGTCGAAACGGGTTGTCTTTTTTCTGGCATCAACTTGTACAAGGCACTATGGAACGCCTCAATTGCATTGGATGTGCGGCTCTTGTGTTGCCTCAAGTCGTCCTTCATCAAAGACTTGCATCTGAATACCATACTTGAGACACCAGGTTGGAGCCACCACTGTAACCACTTTTTACAGTTGGGAAAGAAGGTCAAAAGCTCCTTACCAGTTCGAAAGAATTCGATACTGTTTCTTGTGGTACGGAACCGATGGACTAGCTTCAAGAAGGTATTATCAATCTCATCTGGCTTGACAACTTGGTGGTTGTTGGACATGCGCTTGACTGATTGCATCCAATGCATATAACACCCTTTTAAAAAAGGTAATGCATTGTGCTACTTGACACCAAAGTTATCCCTGAGGGCTAGTATGAAACCTTCGCGTTGGGCAGCTGAAAAGTCCATAATGACTCCCAAAAACTTCTCCAATTTGACAACAAATTTTCTAAACAAAGCAACACAGTATTCTTTGAAAACATGTGTAGTGTTGCTTTTGATTATCGCTTGATAAAAGACGACATGCTTCCGGAGTTGCTCGATACAGATGACACTTGAGCATAGATAATAGCCCTTTGGGACAGCCTTGAAAGTGACATCTGTTATGATCGGTTGATCTGCGAAAGGGAGATTACGCTGAAGCATTTCAGGTGAACAGAAGCTCACAAAAAACTTGCTAGGGACAATCTGTGCTGAATTCATGAAGCCTGGATACTTCTTATCATCAAGATCTTCAAAGGCAGCTACCACATCTTCCTTGGTAGAGTAAAGATCTTGTTGGAAATTCGACTTGCGGATCTCATACTTGGTGCGTCCATGATTTGCCATTACACTGTTGATTTCTCTGACGCTTTTCGTGATGGCGCCAGTAGATGGATCGATGCCAGCAATGGCAGCAGCAGCAGTGATGTTTGGCCTATCTTTCACCATATCATTTAACTCTTTTTTTTTCGTGTCTATCAAGATGAAGCGAGTTGTAGATAGAGTGTGTGTGTGTTTTTTTTCTCGGTTATCTCTTGATACATTGTAACTGTACTGCCTCTGTCTTCTCTGCGAATATCAGCTACACGGAAGGTGAAAGTTGCACCAACACCACAGTCGATCCATTTCAATGGCGCCTCACAGTATGGGCATTGAAACTTTTTGAGGCAGCCAAGCTCGTCTTTCCAGTCAACAGGAGGTCTTTGATCCTTGACCCATTCAGGTCTTTTGCATTGCAGACTGAGGCATCGCAAAGCACCAGCGCACTTTTTATGAATTTTTCTGTCGTAAAGGCTCTCACCTTCAGCGAGTTTTTCAACTGGTTTGTACTTGTTGTAAGCTTTGCTGTGGCTTTTTTTCAAGGCCCATCCAATATTTAATCTTTTGATTCTGAATGTATTGGTGGTGCGGTCAAATACAGCGGGAAGGACTTCTTCAACGGTTTCGTCAGGAAATTGATTGAAGAAATCTTACTCCATTTCATAACTTGAGTTGTCCATGTTGCTTAAAGTATTGAAGAAATATAATAAGGTAGATGAACAAAATGAAGTGCCTGATCCTACATGTCAAAAACTTTTACTGCGCTGCCCTGTCGGGGATGTACATATAATGCAATGTAATCTATCCACCCATTGCTAGCTACACCATATCCACCCTACCCCTACCTACGCCCCGTACCCTCCCCCCACACGGTCTATCTATTATCCGGATCCACCCTTACTTTTTATCCACCCTTTTTATCCTACACCGGTAATCACAATGTGCCAAGCATTGATTTCTTACTCCGGGCGTCGATTGCTTGGATGACATGCTTGAAGCAATAAAAAGCTATCATACCTACAGCTACTGCTGAACACTGTTTGTGAGTGTGATGCCAGCTATAACGAACAGCTACGAAAACGACATTCTTCTACCTTGTAGCAGCATGGATTACACACCAATGAAGATTAGATTAAGAGCAGAGTCAGATCACAAAAAAAGAGCATCAAAAAAAACAGTATATTATTCCCTTATATGGTGAATGTCATGTTCAAGTTTGAGAGAATCATTCAAGTGTCAAATGTCACGGCATTTGGGGAAAACATTGTGCCACCTTGGATAAACATAAAGCAACTTTTCACACATATAAAGTTCTACCATAGAATTGCAAAAACAACGACAGGCCTAAAATTCTGTCAAGCGAGCAACATGTGATGCCACATACAGTGTCATGTTCTTCGTGAGAAATATATACATCATTTGGAAAGCTCTCTGGTCATTCTGATTAGGTAACGTGCAAAAGATGTGGTATTACACAGCAAATACAAACACATACAATACGGTGATATGGAGATAAAGTGAAATAGCGACCAAGAAAAAAAAAAAAAAAAAAAAAAAAAAAAAAAAGGTGGTATGATAAAACCATGGGTAGATAGACTATCACATTGGTCTCTCACAGAGCAATCATGTAGCAGATTTACTATCAAAATGAAAAATCAAATGTAATCTAATTATAATGCATTAGTCATCTTCCTTACCCCTCTCTTCATTTGCGGGAATCGATCCATTTATTATCAGGGAGCACCAAATATGGAGAATATGAAACTGGTGAAATTACGGGAGAATCCAACTTCCGTATGCCTATTGTTCATCTACATCTGGTGTTTATACGTTGTCTCTCCACAGATATTTAAAAAAAAAAAAAAAATGACGTGTAAATCAGTCCAGATAGTATAATCAAGCAGTTCGATACTCTCTGATGCACTGGGTTCTACATGAATGGTGCCATCATTTTACCTCGGCCTCAAACATATGCTTGCTGGGACCTTGGCCATGTAGCCATATATCTCTTGGAACATGCGCAATTGAATCATTTCATTCAACTGATGAGATGTAGACTGACTTTTAAAATGACTCGAAGCATTATAAGCTGGAGATGAGAGGGTTGATCAATGGAATTCGACAGGACCATTTAAGATTATCGTATAAAAAAAAAGATGATTGCTGATTAAATCGCTCTCTTTACCCTTTTTTTTTTTTTTTTTTTTTTTTTTGTTAATTTTCTTCTCAACTCACTCAAGTCATAAAGATGCAAGAACAATCGCAACAACATTTCGGTAAAATGAGACCACTGGAAGAATATGACATTTCCGTCAAGACAGGCTTCTTGCCCTCAACACCTCCACTTCGCAGATTATTAGATCCTTACTTTGCTCCTTGGGAGGATATGATGGACGACTTTAATGGCTTGTTGTTAGCCGGCAAATTGAGAGAGAAAGTGCACAAGGTAGGGCTTGGTCTATCTCCCAAGACACCATTGGATATTAAACTTGTCGAAATAGATGCCATTGTTAGATTATACCAAGCTGAAATCGGTGCAAGAATACAGAAGAGCCTTTTTAATTCTTTGCATGGTGTCTCATAGTTATGTCTGGGGAAAGCACGAAACAACTTCAGAGGTACACACACATACACACACATTAAATAACAGCTTTTTAGTTGAGTTCCTACATTTGTTAATTCTTGTTTCCCACGATACTCATTAGACACTCCCATCCAACCTCGCTATTCCTTGGACCGGCATCGCTGATCACTTGGGTCTCTGTCCTGTGGTATGCCACGCCGCTGTTGTGCTTTGGAACTACAGATTGCTGGACAAGGAAGGACCAATCGATTTGAGCAATCTCGCTGCATTGGCTACTTATTCAGGCTCCTTGGATGAATCGTGGTTTTACCTAATCACCACTGCCATTGAAAGTTCAGGTGCTCCTTGTTTATCACAAATTACGTATGCCATTGATAACATCCACCAAGGCAAATACGACGACCTTAAGCTGAATTTGGAAACAATTCGCACGGCTCTGGCCAACATGAATGACGACTTGAAAAGAATGTATGAAAAGTGTGACCCATATGTCTTTTATTGGAAAATCCGCCCTTATTTAGCTGGTTGGGAAAATATGGCCGAAGCAGGTTTGCCTCTTGGTTTGATCTACGAAGGCGTAGATGCACTGTGGAATGCTCAAACTGACGAATATGCAGACATGTCACATTTGGATGAAGCTGAACGTCTTTTGAGCCAATACAGACGATATGCCGGTGGTAGTGCTGCACAAAGCAGTTTGATTGCTGCACTAGATGTTGCATTTGGTGTGGAACATCATCGTACAGGAGAGAAGCCTTCTTTCATCAAGGCTGCTGATTTACCCAATGACAGATACACAAAGCTGCCTGCCACTAACCCTGCAGATGAAATCCACAATGGTGCTGAAACTCCCCGTACGCCTCCTCGCTTCAAGCGCACCAACCGCAACACTTTCTTGAGAGCCATGCGCAAGTACATGCCTCGACCTCATCGTGAATTCTTGGAGGATTTAGAGGAAGCAGCCAACATTAGACCTTATATTCTTCAACTGGAAGAAAATGACAAGAACGGAAATATCACTGCTGAAGAATTGGAAATTGTCAAGGCCTACAATGAGTGTCTTCATCAACTCAAGCTCTTCCGTGACAAGCATGTTCAAATCGTCACCTTGTATATCGTCAATCAAGCTCGCAAGGGACCCAATATTCCTCATGGTGGTTTTGCTATTGAGAAGAAGCAGCCTCAAGACGAGCAGCCTGAAACAGAGACCCCCGTTGCTGCACCAATTAAATCTGCTGCTACCCACAACGATCTCTATCCTCAGACACAACTAGAGACACAACCTGGCATTCGCAAAAACTCCAAGACTGACAAGGTATCACAAATGTTTCCTCAACTGGGTCTCGCAAGAAAGTTGGCATCCAACGCTGAAGTTGTCCGAGGCACAGGTGGCACCAATGTCATGCCATTCTTGAAGCAATCTCGCGATGAAACTGCAGACATGAAGATTCGCCTCAACGGCGATGAACAGATTAAACAAGAAGAAGGTAAACACCAGCAACCTCAAGAAGAATCCAAGACTTCATGGTCTGATTGGATTCTTCGTCGTTAATAGCATTTCTCTTTACAACATACCCTTCTATTTTTCCATCTCATCATCTCTCGCTCTCACTCTTCTTTTCCTTCATACTATCAATAAACTCATTTCTTTTAATTTCATGCAGTCTATTTACAAGTATGCATGATTTACAGAAGTGAAATGCCCTTGAATTACAGTTATTATTGATACCGTATGTTGCCCCTTGGGCACAGTCTTCTCAGCGCTTGGATATTTGTTTCCAAGATGCTGCATAGGACATGATTACAATCATCTACAGTACCATCTAAAATGATGCTATTTTTTATTTTAGCAGGTTGAAAAATGATAGGATACTGTATGCTGATTTGTATTTACAACGTCTAATGGATTAGAGGCACTATCAAATTCCCAATCTGATGTTTGAAGCTTGACTTCTTCCTTTGTCACATCATCCATAATATTGTCAGGTCCTCTCAATTGCGCCTGCTCGTTCAAAGCAATCTTAATTTTTGTTAAATGTGTTACATCTCGATAATTGATGGCAATGTAGAGGTCCAAAATTTGTTGGCAAACGTCTATCAACATGTAGTGAGTTGGAGGGGGGGGGGGGGCATTTTAAAGAGCATGTACTTGCCGTTACCTTCAATATCTTCCATGCGTGATAAAAAGTGTTGATCCCAAGGCTCTGATGCCGACAAGCCCTGAAATGACTCATCCTCATCCTTCAACAGTCGAGAAGCCAAATATATACAACCAGCAGCGATTGTATGAGCTGGATATTCTATGCACACGAGTGTTTTGTAACTATCTACTGCCAAGGAATAGGCCTTTTGAGCTAATCTCTTGCTGTCTAATGTAGGCTGAAAGGCTATTTTTTTTTTTTTTTGCGTCAATAATCCACTCTTTTTTTTTTTTTTATATCCATGTCATAAGCAACTTGCTACTCACCTTGAATCCATTTTATGAATTTAATCACATATTCATAAGGATGCCGCAGTTGAAAATCAAAGCTTAGTGTCTCGAGCAACAGCTTTTCGTAATTGATGATTCTACGTCTTCTTTCATCGGATATCTTTTTTCAATAGGTCCAGATAGGTCAATTGTGTATGTCCAAACGTCTCATTGTCTGTCCTTTACCTGCTCTGGGTCTAATTCTTTCTTGTCAGGGTATTTCACACTATGCACTGCTACAATGATGTCCTTTAACTTTTTGATTGTTTCCTCAATCTTTGATGCGACAAATAGACATGTGACACTAACATCCTACACATCAGTTGCATGTCAGTTTTTTTTTTTTTTCTTCTTCTATCCCTTCTCCAGGTGCTGTTATACGCCGCTGTTACCTGAGGAGCGTAATCACGAATAGAATAATACAAATAGAATCGATGGTAGAGTGCTTGTGAGGTGCTGATTGTCTTTTGTGGGCTATGGGTACATAACAAAAGGCTCGTTAATCCCCTATCCATATCTCAAGCTTCACTTGAGCACATACAAGCCTAGTTTCTTTCCAACATCTTGTATGAATTTACAATACGTGTGTCGTGCTGCGTTCTCTTTCACTGCCAAAGTGCCAGATTTCTTCAAACTGGCGAGTGTAGCCAACTGTCTTTTAGTGAAATAAGGCTTGAATTGACGTTTGAATGATATGCCTGTTGTAATTGCTGTCAAAGAAGATGGTGTGCTGGGTGTATTTGGCGCTAAAGGGGAAGTGCTGCTCATTCTTTCTTTATATGACGACGACAGAGGGAACGCACTCTTTCAAAAGTATGTACAGAGAATAGAAAAAATTTGTGAAAAAGAAAAAAAAAAAAAGTAAAACAATATTCAAGTCGGTCAATCAATACTCCTCGATGACTTTTTTTATGAAGCCTTACAAATCAGCATTGGCATAATGATCAGTGGCAGCAGATTTGAATTGTGTCTTGTTTGAATAACCAAGTGCTTTTACCGAGAGATTTCTATACTGAGTCGAGCGTTATGGGCCATGTACCCAATGCTGGCTGAAATTTATTTCAAATTTTGCGGTAGGAGATGTGTGCACTCATGTTTTATTTTATGCTTGATATACTACTGTTGCTATGGATGCTCCTCCTCCTCCTCCTCCTCCCCCCCCCCCCACTAATAGATCTGCTTTCCCAATAGACTAAATATACTGACACTGTTCCTTCGTTAAGCATATAAACGGGAGAATTAGTGCAACATCTCCCAGCTTTACTAATAGATTGCATGAGATTAAGGTTCATCAGGGATCACACAATTTGGCCTTTCAAGGTTTCGCCTATTTTACTCCTCCGATGCTCCTCTCTGCAATGCTTTGGTCGCGAAGAAAAGCGCAAAGATCTCTGTCTTGGGTAGTTTACAACAAGTTGATTTCTAGTAACCTTTAGACCCTGACATCGATGGCATTTAAACGACAAAAAGTCAAAGCAATAATAAAGTCTAAAAATGAATGGCCCTTTCAAGTGGATAAATTACTGCCACTGCTGCTGATTTACAAAGATGTACTTGTAACTAAACCTTAAGTGGGAAAACCGCTGCATTTATTTCTCCCGGCAGCTGATTACTCATTGTTGCGGGTACAGCAAGTAGATGGCTCAAGCAACGCATAAATAGAGAGGAGTTTTTTCAGCCTTCTCTTTTAATTTAACATTACACAACATGTCCTCCTCTACACCTCCTCAAGCACTTATTGTAGGCTGCATCGATTTCGCAACGGACATCTATGAAGATTTAAAGAAAAAGTATGCCATTGAATACTACACTTCCAAATCACGTCAAGCCTTCATTGAAGATTGTTCTACAAAGTACAAGGACGTGCCTATCATCTACCGCTCACCTGAATCACAATCCGTGGTAGGCCCCTTTGATGCTGAACTTGTGTCTCATTTACCTGCTGCTCTCAAATACATTGTCTACTGTGGTGCTGGTTATGACTCCATTGATGTCCAAGCGTGTGCAGATCGCAAGATCATGGTGTCTCACACACCGATGGCTGTGGACGACGCGACCGCGGATATTGCTGCCATCTTGATCTTAAATTGTTGTAGAAATGTCTTGGCTGCCAGTGAGAATCTGCGCCAAGGTCGCTGGCGTAACGGTGTACGTATGGGGGTTGACCCACAGGGCAAAGTGTTGGGTATCCTTGGAGCTGGTGGTATTGGCCGTACCTTGGCAAAACGCATGTCTGGATTCGATCTGGCCAAAGTGCAGTATCATAACCGCAGCCGTCTTGATCCTGAATTAGAGCAAGGTATGGAATATGTTGATTTCGAGACATTGCTCAAGACATCCGATATCATCTCTGTGCATTGTCCCTTGAATGCCAATACAACCCATTTAATCAACTACAGAGAATTCACCTTGATGAAGGATGGCGTTATTATTGTCAACACGGCTCGCGGTAAGGTCATTAACGAAGCGGCTCTTGTCAATGCGTTGGAAAGAGGCAAGGTGTTGTCTGCCGGCTTGGATGTGTTTGAGGAAGAGCCCAAGATCTCTCCTGGTTTGCTGGCTCATCCTCGTTGTGTCTTGTTGCCTCACATTGGCACTTTTACCAATGGGTCTCAGTACAAGATGGAGAAGCTGGTGTTGGACAATTTGGTTGCTGCTTTGGAGCAAGATACTTTGTTGACACCTGTTCCTGAACACAAGCAATTCTTTAAAAAGTAAATTCTCTGAATAAATCATCATCAATTCATGGGGCACTTGTGGTTCCCAGTAATACACATCTCATGTTGACAGTGATGGTTTATTAAGATGAGAGATAATGTATAATTTTAGGGCTTATTCACATATTGTCGCATGCGATCAAGTTCCTTGTGAACATCTTTTCTGCTAATCGTGGGTCTTCTCGTAGACGCACCTGTCGATGATGGAGATTGAAGAGAAGAATCACCATCATCTCCTCCCCTTGCAGCAGAGCCGCCGTTCAGGCTGGACCCTCCTAGTAGAGATGTAGCAGTAGGCGATGAACCACCAGATGACGATGATGTCTTTTTAACCAACAAAGATTGAAAAAAATTAGCCAGCACTTCGTGCGACGGGCCTCCTCCTGCTGCTGCTGCAGCGCCTGCAACTCCAGGTTGATTGACACCTCCCAGTGGAGAAGCCATACTATTGGTATCGATAGGTGATAATGGTGCATTGGATCCTGATGTTGATATGGCTCCTCCTGACCCACCTACGCCGCTGCCTAGTCCAGATGTCAAACTGGATAACTTTGTTGCTACAGAGGATGTGTTCGTTGTGGTGGAACTGGAGCTAGATGAGAGCTATTTTGATCGTGCCACATGAGTCTAGTGAATCATACACGCAAAGGGCCCAGCGACGTTACCTTAATGTTACTATCAGGAGAAGAAACATCCTTGTGTCTACTGCCAGCGACTCCACTGCGGTGATCAGGTACAAAGTCCAAAGCAGAAGACACACCCAAAGGACCTACGACACTCGGTCTCGTTGTGGCATTTGCAGTAGCTAAAGTAGCACCTGTTCCTTTTCTACCTGGCAATTCGCTGCCATGTTGTAACGTCTCAAAATGTCTATCCAAAAATGCTTGTTCGTCTTCACAGGTCACTGGGGGAGGCACATTGGTCAAGGGCTGTTCTGTTGAATTGGGGTTGGTAATCACTTCCTCGTAGTTGCCACGACATCCATGGGCGCCTGGTTGTTGTCTATCTGTAACAGCATCCATATCCGAATCCCAGCCTTGATGTACAGCTTCGCAATCAAAGCCTTCTCTCAGAACACGCAATTTGCCCCATGAGTCCCAGCCTGCTGGTACAAGTACTGAATCTCGCTCGACTACTTGTGCCTTTAATTTAAACGGATATGATTTCGTAGCTGTTGTTAATAATCGATGGAGGATATATTGACGTAAGTTGTGGAAGGTATAGGGTTGAAGCGTCGAGGTATAAAATAATGCAGCGCCAACTATGACCATGTTGTTCATTAGCTTGTGTATGGAAGGGGGGGGGGTTTGTCAACTTACATTTCATGCAAATACATCGTAGTGTCTGCTGAATGAAATCAAACTGCTCGTCTTTGTAGTCCAATGTTTGTTCCAGTGTGTTTTGAGCATCACTCTACCCATCAGTTAGGTTGAGCAAAATGAGAGGCATTCAATAGGCACTCCAGACACTTACCTTGCAACAAACGACAAAGATAGGGATACCCAAGTTATTGGTCAAAGTACCTTGTGTCAAGGGCAAGGTAACTTGATCTGCAGAAGTAGTGGTAGTGACTAATGGAGTGACAAATGTAGTGGGTGTTGAAGGTACGGATCCAGTTGATGTGGATGCAGCCATATTGCTGAATGTGTTTAAAGGTACAGGCTCTGTGTAGGTTTGGAGATAATGCTCAACTAGAGAACAATGTGAGTCTACCCATGCATTCCAATTCACTGTCCATGTGTATACCTTTTTCCCGAAGATCATCCACTACAGCTTTTCCTCGACTCCATGACTCCCCAGCACTTCCTTCTTTGCAAATCTCGTCCATACGGTGTTGCAATACGTCGATCCATCGTTGAAATGTCTCTAGAAATTCCCAAGGACGCGTCCAATCCAGCACAATGATTACAGCTGAATCAGCCAATGTATCAGCGCCTAGTGCAAATTTCAACAAGGGCATATATTCCACAGCTGAAAGACCCAACTGATAGACACCCAAGCGAGCAATAGCTGGTAGCTCGAATTAATTGAAGCTGTTGTCATCAAAGAGAGAGAAAGCACATTTACCTTCATTGTCTTCATCTTGCACATCGATAAAGTTGTATCCCAAAGCCAATGTGTTTGTAGCATCGTCGTCGAGATTGTCAATAGGCAGTGGAGTGTAATTATGGCTACTGCTAATGCCAAACGTTGCTGATGCTGCTGTTGCTGGTTCATCATTATCGTTTTTGATGACTTGCGGTCCAGGATCATTTTTCAGATAATGAATTAAAGTTGATTTGCCACTACCAGGATCGCCTTTGATATCACTTGTGTGAATACAGCTGAAAGCTTCCTTTGAACATAAGAATAGACACAACTTACCCAATACAAGTAGCTTTTTCGTGGGCACCATTTTTGATGAAGCAACACCTGTCAAGATGGTAGACCAAATTTCATCTTTTTCAACAGTTTGAGTTCCTTGCTGTTGTCCAGCAGCACTTGTAGGTGCGTTAATTGTCATTGAAGTAGTAGATAGAAAGAGATCTCTAAAGAGCTTTTCGCCTTGTGAAAAAAAAAACAAGAAAGAAAGAGGAAGAGAGGAAAGAAAAAAAAAGTAATTAATGTCCTGTGTTTGAAATGAAATTAATACACGTCGCTTATGATTGGCTGTACCATGGTGCACATTGTGGTTGAGAATTGAGAAATTCAGGGCACACTTGAAAGATCTAGGTTTGGTAGCATCCAGGCACAGGTCAGAGCTGTGAAAGAGAGCAAAGGCGAGATGGCCGCATTTTGAATAGCATATTTTTTTTTGAGCTGTTGTGGTTGTTACTTTTCAAATATTCTATAGTCAAGAGCCTTCAGCATTTGCTCCACAATGCAGACCAAAGTGTCAGTAACTATCTACAGGCCATCTTTTGATGAAAAAATCGACATTTGGATAAAAGCATCGGAAGCGTACATTTCAGATCCATGTGATGGAAGTGGAGAAAGCAGATCATATAGAAATAAACTATCATTTGATTCCTATGATCGCACGTGAATTGAAAGGTGAACTGGCCGAATAACTTTCACAAGAGCGTTCTAAGGAGTACTACTACTACTACTGTATATCTGGACAAAAGTATACACATCAGAAGAAACCTAGACGATTGAACCCTACATGAATGATTGTACGACTTTAGTTACATATTCAAACAAAGATGATCATTGCATTTCGTATCATTTTATTGCTACGAAAAAAAAAAAAAAAAAAAAAAAAAAAAAAAAGCAAAAGAGAACAAATAAAAATAGTATCATTTCTTGACTCTTCTGAACAGACACGCATTTGAGTTTAGACCAGTGGCTAAATAACGAAATGTTTATAAACGAAAAACAGGTGATTCGGTTGACTTGGGTATCACACAAATGACACAGCCTGTGTATTTCAAATGTATCCCATTTCATTAGCTAATATTGACAACATGAATGCATTACATGATATAGATCAAATGGCAAGTAAGACCATGAGAACACTATGATGATTGATTGTGGAGGCTATAGACAATCAAACATGGTAGATTGTTTATCCTGGCTTCCGTCTGTTCTTTCTACCTGTTTTTTACTCCTCTTCCCCATCCTCCTTCTCTATTTTGTATATATTGAAATTGAAATCTATAAAGAATCTCAATCAACTTGACTCTTTATTTGTTTTGGGTCGCCAAGGATATAAACGGGTAAACAAGAACAAGAGCCATCCGTCTTTTTCTGATTTTCCAAGGGAAGGGATCTGCAAATTCATACACACACACACACACACACAATACCAGGTTTATCTTGGTTTAATAGTATTTACATGAAATATTAAAAACAAGACCAAATGTCTCTACAGGAGCTGAAAGAGAGAGAGCAAGCAAGAGAGATATTTCTTTACAAGATGCTATATTTATACATGTAGATGATGGATCACCTGAAGAAAGAGTCAATTTGACTTGCTTGTAATTCAGTTGTTGCTGCTGTTGTTGTTGTTGTTGTTGTTGGTCCTGTTTGTTTGTTTGTTTTTCTGCTGATTCCGTAGCATAACAAATTAAGACATATATATATATTTATAAATCAAGGGGATGATAGATACCAAAACACACCAAGGGATTGTTTTTTTTTTTTTTTAGGTCGCAAAGAACGATATCATTAATAATTAGAGTTTGTTCTGTTTTTTTTTTTTTTTTCTTTTTACTCCTTACGAGAATTGTTGTCAGTTTATAGAGACTGGGCGGTTAAAATAAAGGAGTAGCAAAGAGAGAAAAGAAAGCGCCAAAAGGGATAAGTGTATATATCTTGTGATAAATAAAACAGCAGGTTAGTAAAGTGTATGTATGTGTGTGTGTGTGTGTGTGTGTGTGTGTGTGTGTGTGTGTGTGTGTGTGTGTGTGTGTGTGTGTATTTTGGCTGCTCAGTCCTTCTTTACTCTCTTTCACTCTCTTTCATCTATGACAGTTTTTTGATCTGCCTTCTCTCTCTCTCTCTCTCTCTCTCTACTCACTATAGTTTCCCCTTGATCTAAACCAATCATCGTGATCGCCACCATCATCGTATACTAAACGTTGGTTCGTATAAATATATATATATATACATATACTATACAAAAAAATAGATACAAGATTATTTGAAACGATCTATATAACCCCCTCTTGTATTTCATTTCTTTTCCTTCTGTTTCTCTTTACTTTCTTTGTGCATCTTTTCTTCCCCTTTCACCATGGATAATCTTTATCAAAGCCCACCTTACAACTACTTGCCTCCTGCCACCCATGCTAATGACTACCATCAACAGCAGCCACAACATCATCATCAACACCATACCCCTCAGCCCAACATGTATCACGCGAGTCATTCATTTGATAGACCATTCAACGTAATGCCTCCCATGGTAGATGATCATCATGCGGATTCCACATTTGATTATTACCATCACCCACACCACCCACACCATCATTATCATCATCAACATGCCTCTGCTGGCTCACATCCATTTCCATCTTCATCGCCCTATGGCGGCTACAGCAGCAATAACAATGTGGTGATTTCATCTCCTAGACCCAAGATTACTACCAATGTTTGGGAAGATGAGGGTACAAACTGCTTTCAGGTAGATGCAAAGGGTATTTGTGTTGCTCGTAGACAAGGTAAGTCAGTTGTTTATATATATATATATATTTGTTTATGCTAATCAGATTTTAATTTAACCTTTTTGTTGTTGTTGTTGTTGTATAATATTAGATAATGATATGATTAATGGCACAAAGTTACTCAATGTCGTTGGTATGTCACGAGGCAAGCGTGATGGTATTCTAAAAAATGAAAAAGGCCGTGTTGTAGTCAAAGTAGGAGCAATGCATCTGAAAGGTGTTTGGTAAGCTCAACTAGACTTATATGGCTCGCTGTTCTCTGATGAAATCATGACATTAGGATCCCTTTTGAGAGAGCAAGAGAACTAGCTGCCAAATTTAAAATCTTGGATGTCTTGTTCCCTTTATTTGCAGATGAACCTTCGATTTACCTATGTAGCCCCCCTATTGGTGGAGCAGCACAACTTGATTCAAATGAAATGATGCCTTCCGCCAATGTCAATGTCAATGCTGCTGTGGTTGCTGCTGCTGTCAACAAGTGTAACATGGTATCATCCCCTTTGCCAGCGCTCAATCGTTCCGATGAGTACAACCACAGTGGTGGTGCTTCGCCAGCCGGTATTCCTAATTGGGATAGACCTTCTTACAATAGTGCCTCTTTCCCATCTTCTCATTACGATGATCATCACCACCCTCAACAACAACAAACAGGTAATTCCAAACCCAAAATTTGAAGGTGCTGATCATTGTGTGTATTTATACAAGTTTTTCAACATCTTAGCCTTACACAGAGCAAGTTTACCTGATTTGAGTTTGGCCAATAATAGCCCTGTTCCTAGATCAAGTCACCTTCAACATCCTTCATATCATCAACAACGCCACCCCTTCCAGCAACAGGAGCACCGCCAAGAAGAGAATGATTTGTATTTACTGAATCAAAGTCAAGGCAATAGTAGCAACAACAACAACAACAACAACAACAACAGCAATCCTTATGATTACTATCATCGTCAATTTAGTAACAACAATCATACCGATAACAGAGGTAGCTTTAGTAGTGTATCTAGTCACCACTCTCTACTCTATCCATCATTACAACAGCATCATGAGGATGAAGCAAGCAAAAACTCGTCTGTGACAACACCAACATCTTATACATTTGATTGCAACAATGGTAGATTCAATAGCGACAAGATGGCCTATCCATCTCTGGCTAATATTGGGTCTTCTCCTTTTACCAAATCAGCAAGCTTACTTGCTTCTACTACTACAACTAATACCACTAATAACAGCAACAACAATAATAACAGCAGCACAGACATGTCTCATCCTCTGCCTCCCCCTCCTCCTGTTGCAAGAACCGGTAGTGCAGGTTCTACCACACCTTCGTCTTGGTTTTCTCCAGAAACTCCTACTGCTGTTGTGTTTCAACAAAAAGAGAAAGAAGATGCCTTGATCAGCAAGAAGAGAAAATCATCCCTTTCCATTGAGCCAAGCGCAATCAAGAGAAGACCATCTATATTATCTCCTACCTCACCTGGCATTCGAGCAACACGAAGAGTTAAAGTTGAGCATTCTACCAAAGATTAAACATTTTATTTTACCCTATCATCATCATTTATATTCAACCATGCATAATATATATATATATATATATACACATTCACAAGCACAACCCTGGCACACAAGCAAAATACATACATAATTCTACTTTTTTTTTTTTTTTTTTTTTCTTTGTCAAACAGCATTGTAGTAATAAAATTTCGTATAAACCAATGCAGTGGGTATTAGGTCTTACAAGGTTAATTGCAAAAGATTCGTTTTCGGTTTCAGATGTTAAAGATGGCAAGCGGTTGGGCAGCTTGTGATTTGAAAAAATGACTCGAGTATTGCACGTTAGATTACACAAAAAAGGGCATCTTGTAGAGAGTGTTGCGCTTGCGATCAAATATGGATATAAGCTGCAAAAGCCCCGGGCATCCTAATCCAGTAATCAAAACCTATTTTTATATTGGTTTACATGCATCATTACGAAATGAATGAGATTAGAGAGCTTCTCCCCCCTTCAACATGGCAACCAAATGCAAGATTCATTTCATCACCATGGTCACCAGATGTCAGATCAGACAAGCTGCCTAGCAACCAGGAACACAACTCCCCGGAGATCTTCCTTTTTTTCTGACGAAACGTATGAAATGATACCATTCCAATGTGATACACATCCAGTAATGATATAATGGTTCGTAATAGCCACATCGTTTTACAAGAGGAACCTGCCTCATTTGTTGTTTTTTTTTTTTTTTTTCCATGTTGGGTTCCATTTGTGTACACCATACATAGCGTTTTACCAGCATCAAAAAATGGAAAGGTTTTTGCCACAACATTCAACAGGAGATGAAAAAGAAAAAGTCTATTTTTAATCAGTGCTCCATGACAGTATTCTTGTACTTTGTAAGGCGTTTTTTTTTTTTTTTTTTTTTGTGTGTGTAGGTAAGCTCGTGTGCTTAATAATCACTTTGATCAAATTATAGGTAGAGAACAAATCAACTTTGTGCATTATTTATTCTCGCCACATGTACTCTATATGTATCAGCAACCAGGAAGCGGAAAATTGAACGGAAAATTCTTTTTTGATCTGATCAAATTTGTTTACATGCATCATACCATTCTATCATGAATTTGAACATTGTTTTTCTTTTTCATTTCGTTTTATACAGTATGATTAGGACGGCGACATCACTGGATTTGTCAGATATCAAACAAACATTTGAGTTGGATCTTTCCAAGATGGAAGTTTGTTCATCATCAGATCGAATGTTGAAGGGCTCTGTTTAGAGTAAAAGACACCCGATATGAACATAAAAAAGTATTAACAGTCTTTTCTCCATGTTGAATAGACTGATCATGAACGCATATTTAAGGTTATTGTGGCGCATGGCTTGGCATTGTTACAAAAAAAGAAAATCAGGCTCGTGTTACTTTCTACACATCCTCGTAGTATAATATTAATTTTTTCGTCCTCCCTCCACTCTCTTCCTCCCCCGCTCCGCTTCCCACTTCAACCCCTTCCCTTTTACATCTCTCGTCTTCTTCTGGTCCGCCGCCTTTCTTTCCCTTTAATCCTACTTTTTTTTTTTTTTTTTTTTTTTTTTTTCTTTCTTATTCTTATTCTTTCTTGTTTTGAAGGGTCTGTTTTTCCAACAAAAATCATTTGGCTTGCATTTATTCGTTAATTATCATCTAAAATTTCTATATTCTCCATTCAATTTATATAAATGATGACCATGTCAAGTGAACCGCACCACCACCACCACCACCATCAGCAACAGCAGCCTCAGCAAAAACAACAACAACAACAACAACAACAACAACAACGAAAGCCTAGCTCTACTTCACCTACATTATCCACTATTCTAAACAAGAAATCCACATCCTCATCATTGGATACACCAATGAAAGAGTACTTACCAACACCTGTTACACCTGCTTCGGATTTCCCTCATCAAATTCAACAACAACATAACAAAAAAGATACCAACCATACTACAACCTCATCAGCAGGTGTTTACAGCACATTTTCAGTGATCAAACCACCTCAAGCTACCAACACATCAGCAGCAGCAGCAGGGTCCTCAGCAGCAGCAGCAGCCTCTCAATCCAGCTCGACATCCACATCACCCAAAAGCAATCAAACAACTGACGCTAAGCCTTACCCATGTCCAGAATGCCATCAAACATTCAGTCGACCTCATAATTTGAAATCACATCTTACTACACATTCCTCTGAGAGGCCTTTTCAAGTAAGCTATTATTAGAAAAAACTGTAATACAAGAAAATTTTATTTATTAAATTATTGAATATAGTGTGATGTGTGTAATCATCATTTTAGAAGACATCATGACCTGAAGCGCCACCAAAAGTTGCATACGGGTGAGCGTCCGTATGTTTGCAAGGATTGTTATCGTTCATTTGCAAGACTAGATGCATTGAATCGTCATCGTCGTGCGGAGGGTGGCACAGCTTGCAGTGCGGTACATCAACAACAACAGCAACAGCAGCAACAGCAGCAACAGCAGCAGCAGCAGCAGCAGCAGCAGCCGCATGGCCGTCATGGATATATCAAACAGGAGCCTTTAGCAGTAGAGAAATCACAATCTTCTACCTCAAATTCTGCCTCTGGCATTTCACTAGCTAACGCCACTTTTCGTGCTAATAACAGTGGCGTTGTACCGAGTCCATCATCACAGGCTCCTGCTTCTAGTACTTCATCAGCAAGCACAACACCAACCACCGCTACAGCGCGCCCCATCATTCCTCAACTACATATTCCTCATCCTGCTTCGCATTTGTATCCAAAAGACTCTCCTATACCTCCAACACATTCGCCGCCAAAGCAGCAACTATTACCATCTCCAAGTGCTTTATCTACATTACCTATTGCAAATAATAACAATCTAACGCCTATTTATCAACAACAACAAGCTAAAAGTTTACCCACTACACCGTCATCTCCTCCCGCCCATTCAAACACTAGATATCATCCTTATCAACAATGGTCACCTTACCATCACAAACAACAACAGCAACAGCGCCCAACATTACCACCACTTTCATCGCCTCCTCCATACCAGCAACAGCAACAGCAAGAACTATCTCACCTGGAAAGACTCCAACAAGAGAATGAAGAATTGAAGCGTGATATTAATAAGTTAAGAGCCATGGCTCAAAAGGAGGCCAGTTCATTGAAATCTCGAGTACATGATCTAGAAGTCGAGGTAAGTTGCTCGTGGGTGTGTGTGTGTGTGCGGCATGATTCAGATAGTGATGGTTTTTTATTCTAGAACAAAGTATTGCGTTCTTTGATCCAGAATCCTAATCCCAACCAAACAGCAACATCGACAGCTAGCGGTACAGCTCAGTTAGAACAACATTGCCGTGGTAATAGTCAGAGTAGTAGTCATAGCGTTAGCACAAATGGCAGTATGCACCATTAAGTTTATGTAATAAAAGAAAAAAAAATAGGGTGGCTACTATATCCTATTGCATGTGTGGCAAGTTGTTTATTCTTGTGTAAAAAAAAAAAAGTTTCTCTTGGCACTGTACTACAGTTGTTCTGCACATGCCTTGTCCTTGCTGGGCTTGGTTGCTGTTGTCCTCCGCCACTGTGCTTCTTTATACAAAGTAATGATGACGATAATGATGTTGATGGGAAGGAGCTGTAGCACAACCCAAAAGCAATGCACTGCTCGCCAAAGAAAAAACCATAAAGGCACAACCGACCATGGACATGCAAGGGCCTAATTCAATCTCAAAATGTTGCAAAGATTGCTCAGCTGTTGCTGCATGTTGAAATGTAATTGAAGTTAGTGTCACAAGCAATAGAGACCATAGTGAAGCCCCAGCGGATAAAAAGCCGCGCGTAAAGTAAATGTCGTAGCACCTCTTGTTGGTTAGTTTGTGCAAGCATAGCACAGAGCTGATACCTGAACACAAGAGACAACATATAAATGCTGCCAACATGTGTGGGTCATGAGGCGGATCTAGATCTTGTGCAGGCGTAGTAGTGGAGGTAACATTTAGTAGATCGAGCATCTGTTCCTCTATAGAATGGTGTGATCACTCAGTATGACTGACATCAAGCCCCCCCCCCCAAATTTATGTGCGCTTACCAAAGGGCAATGTAAATGTCTCTTGATGACATGCTTCGTTATCAATACAATAGTGGAACAAGCCAAATGTTGCTGATTGTTGGCTGTTTGATACCTTGACAAAGTAGAGTGATGACAGGCATGGACGTGCGTTCCCGAACAGGCACAAAATCATGAGAATAAAGCCGATCAGATTGAAGCAGGCACCAAGCACATCCAAGTTGACAGCACTCTTTATTTCTTTTTTAGTTGACGCAAACATGTTGGCATGGTGTGATTAGCATGTCTCATTGAGTATTTGAGAGAAAGAGAGAGAAATACACAAAAAAAAGCAAATTAGATCAATAGAGATGATGTAGATGGCAGAATGGAAACGGATAGTAGGCAAAATCTACAATAATAGAAGCACTGTCTGTCTCTGAAAACTTTAAATATAGCGTCGATTTATGCCATTTACTTTTGACACTAGGCTAATAAGATGGCTATACGCATCGTCTCTCCTGAGAGTGAGCTTCCCTTTGAAGTGGGGGCTCATGTTGGAGACTTTGAGTTTTCAATGCGTGATCCACAACTGCAAGTGGTTAAAAAAAAAAAAAAAAAAAAAAAAAAGAGCAGCACTGTCATACTTTTGGATAGCTATTGCCAGACTAAGAGAGTGATGGCCCAAATCCATCAAGAACCAGTCTCTAAAGCAATGAAGCATCATTATGAGAGGACAGCAAACATTAAGATAAACAGTATTTCCCTTGCAATCAGGCAAATTTTGATGAAAAAACGATTTTGAAGTTGCGAATAAGGCCATTCTGTCATGGATTTACAATTTTACACGTCCAGCTTGTAGATCCAGATACCAAGGCCATGTCTTTTCCTTCACTATCTGTCATCAAAGTAGTTGCCATTACATTGTCCGTTTGAGCTAAGCTCATGTTTAAATAAAGCAGGTCGGGTAATGTTACTATCTTAAATTGCATAAATTTGTTGAAGCATTTAATAAAAGTTGTCTTACAGACCACCGAAACATTGATCCTCTGTATAGGCCCCTAATTCTTAACCAAAAACCCAACTCCCACACATTGGATGTCGATTTGGTATCGATCACCTTGATATAAATATAAAGACGGACAGTACGTCTTCAGCACATAACAACTAACAACACTCAGCGCATCGAATACAATGATAAATATTGACTCGTCAAATGAATGATTAGTAGGACACCGCATTGAGGAAGGGCCACTAAATACATCTTAGTTTTATGCGATTTGCAATGGCTTGGGCGGCTAAGGTGTCTTGTCTCGTAATAGGTGTGTAATCCGTCAATAAAACGCTCATCGTGCAAGTGCTGAAGCGTACAATTCTGTGATCGCCCTTGAATTTGTTCTTAGCGGCATATCATCTTATGGTTGGCTGCCAGATTTTGCAATGTAATGAATGCAGAGACTTGGCTAATGCACAATCATTAGCATATATAGTATGCCATGTAAAAAGAACTTTGTTCGCCATACACATTGGTATGGTAATAATGGCATTATACTACTATTGATCGAGTTAATAGAACAATGATAACTTGACTTATCCATTCAATAATCTGGTTAGGCTGGTAAACTTAAACTTCGATACAAACAAACCAGAGAAAAATCGTAGGCCAATGCTCTTTTTTTTTTTTTTTTTTTTTTTACTCAAAAGTAGGTATACCTTTGTGTCTCCTCAGCAAGTATGTTTCAATACGAATATATTCTTGTGCTTGATTTTATTGTCTTTTGTTCGCACAATGAAAACCCCGCAAATTTATGTGGCAAAACCAAAGGCCATTCTCCACTGAAAATAACAAGCTTTACAACCAGCATTTTACATCAAAAGATGCTCCTTGGGATCTCAATTTAGTATACATCTTTTAAATTGGCTATTTATAAGACGATCATGGAGAAATCAGACATTTAAGGCAAGTGAACCCAGTTAGACCCCCTTTTAGTCAGACATTAAAATGACCTTTGGCATGAGCCCGAAAATAGCATTTTGAGGCTCAAAAAAAATCACTTCTTCCTCATTATCTCGAAAACCACCAAGTAAACTATGCATATAATGCTAATGGATATTGCATCTCCCAACCCTATAAATTTAATGGGACAGCTTTCTAGACACTTTGCTGCTTTTATCTGTAGAAAAATGTCCAAAACTAGAAATTTCTCCTGAGGGTTGAGGTCAAAAGAAGAGGGTCAAGCAAAAAATTAGCATATCCACCTCAAAAATGGCTGAAACGCATTATTGACTACTGTCGATTACTCTTGATACATTTACAATGCGACTTGTCTATGCTATCACATCATTTAAATGAATGAGATATGGTTTGTCTGTGAGAAGGACATTGGTGGTTACCTGATAATTAAGATGGACAATACGTTCAAACGATAATATATATTGTGAATAAAAAAGTAAGGAGACACATGCCACCGTGTGTTCTGACCACAATAAATGCTTTCAACCCGTACTATCTTATCTGCACTGCAACAAGCATTTAACGAGGCAATCATGCTAAAATGCGCATTGACTGTATTTTATTATTGAAAAGCTAAATTGAATTTTTCTGCAACTGCCTTTGTACTTGCGCTTGCAAAGCCAGTACCTTCAGGACTCATATCAATGATATCCTTTGACTTTGCCTTGTTTTCACAAACATAACATTTCTTGGATTTAGACACAAACATGTCGATGCAATGATGACAAAGAACATGTCCACAGTTTCGCAACACTTGATAAAGAATAAGGGTTAGCACGACACACACAGACACAGACGCAGACATTCTATCTCTCTTTACTGATAATTCATACCTGATAGTTTGGATGCATTGGTCAGTGTCTTGAGACAGGCAGGACACACATTTTTGTTTTTATCGTTGCCATCTTCCTTTTGAAACTTGACATCTATTAATGATTTGATACTAAGAGGATGTGTCTTGTCAACAGCTGTACATATCACTTGAGTTTTAGACGCTTTCAAAGCAGAGGCATCAGCAGCAGGTGTAACAGAAGGCTATTAAAACAAAGTGCGTGTTAGCCTCTCTCTCTCTCTCTCTCTCTCTCTCTCTCTCTCTCTCTCTCTCTCTCTCTCTCTCTCTCTCTCTCTCTCTCTCTCTCTTCATGATGCCAACAACATGCGATGCATGTCTCAATATTTACCACCCAAAATGACCCAATCTTTGGCTTGGCAGCCTCTTCTTTTTCCTTTTTCAATTGAGCAGCTGTCTTTGCTATTTCATCAGCATCTACATCAGATCGTCTGCGTTTCTTTTCATTTGCTGCTGTTACTGTATCATCCTTGAGGCTGTCTTTGATAGTAGAACGTCGACGTTCTCCACCCAACATGCTATGCTGTGTCTTGTCAAAAGTATCCAATATGACACGTTTGGCTTCCAGTTCCTCCAATTGCTTTTGTTGCTCTGATTCTTGGTTCTTGAGGTCAATCATCTTTTGTTCGTGCTTGATGGCTTGCTTTTGTTGCAAGATGTTTTCATACATGCATTCGCGACAAGCTAAATGACCCTCACCACAACATACTGGATCCCTGGCTGTTTGAAGGCATAGGAAGCAAGCATCGTAGTTTCTGAAAGAGTCTCTTCCTAGACGTTGCTATCCCCAAATCATCAGTCAATTCCCAGGCTCATTCCACATGAGACTGACGACTGTACTCACTCTTTTGGTACCATAGTCAAGGGTATGAGATTCATGGTATGTGAATACACTGGATGCTGTATTGTTCTTTGAGTGGCGAGGCATAATGTAAAAAAAAAAAAAAAAAAAAAAAAAAAAAAAAAAAAAGTGCAATTCAAGTAAAAAGATGAAGGATCGCAAATGTGACAAAAGAAAAATAAAGCCCAGTCCTATTTAGACCTACTAAAATGCAAAATTCAACGCTTCACTTTTTTTTTTCGCTCTCTCACACTGCCAAAAAAAAAACAATGGGCGATCATAAACACAAAAAAGAACGAAAATCAAGCAAGAGAGAACATGCCAGTAGCACCAGCAGTAGCAGCAGAGACCACAAAAAGCATAGAAAGAGCAGCTCCTCTTCTCGCCACAAGCACGAAAGAGAACAAGAGATTGATTTCTCTGACCCTTCGCTTTGGGTAGAAGCTGCAGGAGCAGCAAATGACAATGGCATTCAGTCAGAGATTACACCTGCCGACTATCTCAAAAGCCAACAGCAAGCCAATGAGGCCAAGCAGCAGCAGCAAGATGATGTATCCGCCAATAGTATGATGCCTAAAGAACAAGATGCTCGACATGGCTGGATGCTGGATGGTGGTTTGGATTTTGGGGCCATGGGATCAGCACGTATCAGAGAAGAAGACAAGCCAAAAGCTAATCCTGATCTGGTAAGTTCAGCTATTCAAAATAGTTGCTCGGTAAAGAAGAGACATGTGAATTGATATGGTATTGTTCAGCCCAAAGTCAGTGAAAGAGAATTGAATCAACACTTGGTTCAAGGTGTCAAATTCGAGGATTACCCAGAAGAAGAAAAGAAATCCATTAAATTTGGAGATGCTGGCTCAAATTGGCGCATGATGAAATTGAAGCGTACAAAGGAACAAGCTCAAGACGAGGGAAGATCATTAAGAGAAGTTGGCATTGAGAAATACGGGGTAAAGTACAATAAGGAATCCACTTGCAATGAAAATGGGTGTGTTATATTCACTCTTTCAATATGCAGTCTGTAGAGAAATTTGAAGAAGCTTTGGCTGAAAGAGAGTATTTGGATACTAGACGAGGTGGCAGTAGCAGCAATAGTAGACGAGGCGATGAAAGACGTAGTCGAGATAGAGACAATGATAATAGACGTAGCGATGGTCGCAGAAGTAGAGAGGGTAATAACGACAGAGGACGTCGATATATGTTCACAGATACAGATTCACAACAGAGATCATTCAAACGTCCATCTCCTCCACCTCCCCGCTATCAAACACAGCCTGCAGCCGGATCAACACCTCCAGTGCCTGCTCCTCCACCACCTACACCAGTACCTGTTATACCTCAAATGGCCTTGCCAGCTCCAATCCAAGCGCTCACCCGCGACCAACTCAACAAGCTCAATTCCAAGATTGTCAAGGCCAAGTTGATGGGAGCAGATAATGTAGAAGCCCTTGAAAAGGAATATCAGCTGGAATTGGAGAAATTTGAGCAAGCAGAGAATACAGTCCAAGTGCTACCTCAGCTCGACAGTCAAGGCCGATTATACGATTACGCGTTGAAACAAGGCAACCCAGAGCACGAAGCACTGAAAGGCAAGAAGAAATACGAGGGAACACACGATAAAATCACAGGTGAAAGACTTCGTTATGGGACATCCGACGATACCTTATCCCTGGCCGAGATGGTGCGACAAGAAAAGGGCGGCAACAGCAGATCCTCCAACATGGACATGGAATTTGCCAATCGCATCATGGCAGACGCAGCGTTTGAGAACAATTTGGATTATATGGACGATAAGGCAGACATCATGGCATCAAAGAAGGGAGCTACAGAGGAGCAAAAAATGAGACGTGCAGTAACAGATTACAAACGTACGCAAGAGACATTGAGTAAATGCAAATTTTGCTATCAAAATGGAACCCCTCCTCAGTTGGCTATGATTTCGTTGGGAACAACTTGTTATTTGGCATTACCGAATGTACAGGAATTGACACCTGGCAATTGCTTGATTGTACCTATTCAACATGTATCGTCTACTTTAGAGTGCGATGATGATGTGTGGACAGAAATCAGAGTGAGTGTAAACATATAAACAAACAGAGAGGATCTTGCTGACTTGTCATCCCATAATAGAACTTTCAGAAATGCTTGATGAAAATGTTTCATGAACAAGGCAAAGGTGTTGTATTCATGGAGACTGTCATCAACTTGCGGCAACAACGACACGCAGTGATTGAAGCTGTACCCATACCTTACGGTGTCTATGAAGATGCACCTGCTTATTTCAAGGAAGCCATCATTGCCTCGGGTGAAGAATGGTCTCAACACAAAAAGATCATTGATACATCGGTGCGTGGATTCCGTCATTCCATGGTCCCTAATTTGCCTTATTTCCATGTCTGGTGTGGACTCGATAAAGGCTATGGTCATGTCATTGAGAATACAAAGGATTTCCCCTACTGGTTTGGTAAAGAAGTGATAGCGGGTATGATGGATCTGGGACCTGAATTATGGAGAAAACCTCGGTACCATCACGCCTCGGAGAATCATGCGAGACAACAAGCATTTATCAAGTCGTGGGACAAGTGGGATTGGACCAAAGCGTTAGAATAAAAGAGGCTGTTTATTATTAGGTTAATTTTGTATAACTGGGAGGTGCAATTCTTCGTTTGATCATCTTTACAAAGTACAGTGGACAGCTACTGACAGCAGTGATGACGGCTACTTTCCATACAAATCTGCCTGTGAGGATAAATGTCATGTCGAAATAGGTAGGTAGTAACCACATGGATCCAAAGTAGATCAGGACGGTGACTAGTTCAGCCAAAATCATGTAGCGATGCCTAACAGTAATAGTAAGAATGAGTTTTTCTAGATTTCAACTTTTTTTTTTAAAAAAAAAACAAAAACTCACCATGTGTTGATCTCTAATGCCACCATCAATAATTCATTGAAAATCAATGCAGTAAAGGAAATAGCTACAATGTGGATAAACTCGTCTTCAAACAAGATGATGGATAAGATCATGATGGCGCCACCTTGATACACACTGATCAATAACCATGTAAAGAAGGTTCTGTAAGACAAGGATCGGCCTTTGGTCAAATCCTTGTACAGTTCAGGGTACATCATGGCAATTTCCTCACTGACATCTTGATCCAGCACCAACGAGAATACGGGCGCATTGGTGTACACGGTCGCATAACCCACAATCAGCATGCCTTGATACAAAGCAATAGGCGCAAAGTAAAAAAGAGCAGAAAAGACAGCCTGCATGACTGAAATGATGAGACCACGATGAATGACAAATTGAGATAGTTTGGCTGATCTTTTGTAACTGTTTCTACCATGCCATACTGACCACGTCCAGAATGATAGTTAGTGAAAAGTCTCTTACGAAAAAAAAAAAAACACAAACTTACATAGTAACTTGGTTAAATAGCTAAACTGAGTAATGGAGAAATCAGCAGCCAGCGAAGCTTGTTTGCCTTCCTTGCCAACGATACCCACACCGACATCAGCAGCTTGAATCATGCTCACATCGTTGCCACCATCGCCAATGCACAGCACTCGTTTCTTGGTATATTCTTTGATGAGCCGAGTGATATCTGCCTTTTGTGTAGGAGAGCAGCGACAGCAGACTACCACAGGCAGGAGTGTCACCATCTCAATAAATTCATCCACATAATGGTCGAGGCAAAGCTGCAGTGATTCGCCGTCAATGACCAAGCAATTATCTGTCTTTGTGCGTAGATTGTCGATTTCATCCCAAGCCTCCATTGCAGTTTTGACTAATCAAAAGGCTTAATGAAAGCTTCATACAATATCCAACATTCATGCTTACTTTTAGAAATGGTATGAATACCTTGATTTCTGGAAACCAACTTGGATGAAATAGCAATACAGGTGGCTGTTTCAATCTTGTCACCTGTCAGCATCCATACCTTGAGCCCCGCATTTCTCATCTGCTCCAGCGTGTTCTTGACACCTTCTTGCAACTTGTCTTCCACACCTGTCAGTCCCAACAACTCAAGATTGGATTCCAACAAGGTCTCCACCACGGCTTGTTTGAGTGCATTTCGATCGTGCAAAGCAACCTCTGCCTCATGATATTTGGCTGTAAATTCGTGGTAGACCTCTTCTGACAAACTCTTCTTGGCCACCACCAGGGTTCTCAAGCCTTCTCTTGCCATGTTATCGCACTCTTCGTTCAACCAGTCATTGTATTGCACAATGCGCGCCATGACAGCATCAGCGCCCTTTTCGAAAAATGTGATTTCTTGCGTTTGTCGATTTCTAACAATGATGCCCATACGTTTGGTTTCACTGGTAAAGGGGAACAGATGGAGCACATCAAAGTACAAAATGTCGCCAGTGGGATCGACGCGTAGCTGAATGGTATTGACATCTCGATTAAATAGGGTGAGGCCCATGTGTTCAGTCCATTTCACAATGGCCACTTCGTCAGGGCTGGATGCTTGATAGGTGATATCGCCATCGACGCTGGTGGAAGGAGTAACGTTATGGCACAGTGCCAAGGCTTGCACAATGTCTCGTACACGCACAGAGATGTTTCTGCGGCCTTTGTTGAGCTCTTGTTGCTGTTGTGATCCGAAAGCCGTTGCTACATGTGTTTGAATCTCGTCCATGGTATCTGAGCTGTAAGACATGGTGCCCATATGCAGTTTCTTTAGCTCCATGTCGTTCTGTGTCAATGTGCCTGTCTTATCCGTCAGCAAGTATTCCACTCGACCCAGTTCCTCGGGTAATGTGCTGGTGCGAACAATGGTGCCCATGATTTCTCGGTCGTGCTCGATTTGGCGCGCATACACACTTTTGCCCATATCCAGGTTCACACGTAAACCAATGGGGATGATGGACGAGAACAGAATCAAGAAGCGAAAGACGTAAATGTACCATACACCACGGAATCCATTCAAGCCCACCATGATGATGGACAAAGCGAGAGTGACGATAAACAGAATCTATATGCAAGCAGGTCATGAGTATGATGGATATTAAACTGTCAATGACGCTCACCTTGGCCAACTGATTGATTTCTTGATCAATGAGCCCTATCTTTGTCTTGGGATGATTGGTATTCATAACAGCACGCGTATCTTTACCCGTGTAAATGACAAACCCAATAGCAGAACCTGAAGCCAACACCGTATTTGTCCACATGGTGTTTTCTACGCCAAGTGGTTCGATCTGCTCTCTGCCCGTCTGAGGATCATTGACAGACACTGTGCCGACAAAGCTATGAATATCCTTGTGGGGTGCATCCGCATAAATATGTCCCTTGATATCCAACACATCCTGATCTGAAGGTAATCTCTGCAACGACGGTATCGCTAATCGTAACTTCCAATCTGTCTCGCCATCCAATTGATCTGTTCTAATAAAACTGGCACCTGACTCTTCTGTGGTTCTCAGCAAAATCATGTCTGCTGGAATACGCTGATCTTTAAGGATATGAATGAAATCGCCTACTCTAATTTTGGAGCTTGGTATATTTTGGTTGCCAGAAGGCGTGAGTCGTGTGTAGAGCTGAGAGTTGGCTTCCTTGTCTCGCTTATAACGTTGGTAATCATCTAAGGCTTCTTTGCTAATGGTGATCAACAAGACAAAACACAGTGGTCCAAAGTAGGTCAGAATGTAGCCGATTTTGAGAGCAGGTACAAACTGGGATAATGCAACCAGTAAAAAGTATAGATTAAAGAAAATGACAAACTATATCAGAGTGGTTAGCTATAGCATTGCCATTGACAAGTAGGTGTACTTGCCTGTTCAAATAAAACAACAGGTAGAAAAGTAATCAAGTTGTATTTTTGATTGATAATCATATTGGCACAGTACTTGTTCTTTTCTTTGTCTACAGAAGCTGGTGAGTATTCTCTTGGCAAAAAAATTGCACTGGCTCAAGTGTTACCATCTGCTCCCAGTGATATCGTTCTTGGTGAATACACCTTCTTTTTTATGAACCAAGATATAAAACTCTTGCCTTCTTGCTGCCTTGTCGTTGAGGATGACTGTGTTACAGATGGAGAGGACCGTCTTGGTGAACTCTCAGAAGGGTTGGTGGGTGAAGTTGGTGAATTTAACAGGTTGAAAGCTGCCTCTTCGTCTAGTAACGGATCCTCATCGCTGTGTATTGAGTCTGATGTGCGATGCTTTCGATTTGAAAATGGGTTTAGTTTTCGAAGTGCTATTGGCCGAGAATCTCTAAACATCTGTTTTTATATTTTAGATGCAAAGGAAAGAAAAGAGCGAGGAAAAGCAATGCAAGCATATACACGGTTTTATTGGCAGTCCACTAGCTCTTTCGTTTCACCATGGCATATAAAAAGGCACACTTTCTTTCTTTTTCTGCGGTTGTTCAACATGCACACATTACTATCATGTTTTCACCCACAAACCAAACCAAGGAAAAGTTTCTAGAAGCCACTCGACAAGAAAGAGAGAAACGAGAAAAGGATCGCATCAAGCAACAGCAACTGGAGAGGGAAACCAAGGCAGTGATTACCATACAATCATGGTGGAAACGTCGAGAGCAGAGAGCAGCATCCCGTGCTCAATGCCAGGCCTGGTGGGACAGCCGCATAGACAAGCCGAATGAGCTGTCCATCTTGGACTTTTATCAATTGTTGGGCGTATACTGTATCATGGCTCGCCATGGTGTGATGTTGGGAGGAGGCAGTGGATTAAGACGGCTTGTCAGGTGCTTGACACGCAACAAATTCAAGCATGCCAATGCTGATATACCCTACTACTGCTTATTGATCGACATGAGATACATGGACCGAGCAGCAAAGTACCTGGAGGTGGTCATTGTGCAATGTATTACTGAATGTACCTCATCGAACGACACGACTTTATTTGGCCCTGAATTGACATTCTTGCTGCAATACCTCAACCCAAAGACATACGTAACAAAGCACACCGTGGACACTTGTCATGTCATTGATATACCAGATAAAATCTTGCAGAGTAGAGCACAAACCATACTGAAAAGAACACTGTGTCATTTCAAGTTGCGAGATGCATTGATACTCTGTGTGCAACATATTATCAAGCTACAGGACAGAAAAGACACCACAGCCAAGATCAATGCTTCCAAATTATGGCTATCTACCATGACACGACTAACACTCTACCCCGTTGAGAATGCAGAATTATCAAGCGACGCGTTGGACATGACCACTGCCTGCAACTTTTTATGGACCAACACGTTGGCAGTGCCATGTATCGCTCGTCTCATCAATGACATGATGGCAGATCGATTGCGGAAATGGGCACTCAATACAGTGAAAAGCTATCTGATTGAATCACCCGCCTCTATGGACCAACTGGATGGAAATGGATGCTTGTTTCTTTTGGCTAACTTGGTGGATCTTTGGAACAGTGACAAGAACCCTCTAAAGACAGAGAATGGCATGCAAATGATTGAATGGACACATTTTTTCTTTAAATACATTGAGTCTCGCTTTTCCGATAAGCAATCGCCTTCTTTTCCAACGTACCATCCCATCTTTAAATGGTCAAAAGCGGCATGGGGAAACAACATACCAAGTGTAATATTTGACCACGTCATGTATCAATTGGAGTATCTCTGGTCTCGCTCGTTCATGGATCAGTTGTTTGCAGACATCATTCAATTTGACACAACTAACAAAAGCAATCCTAAAATGTTTAAAAAAGCATCGCACAACAGCCATAACGACACAATGGCTCTCTTTTCAATACAAGTAGCATCCATCTTTTCCATGTACATGCAATTGACTCGTGTCTTTAAAGCCCATCGAAAAGTCATCTTTTACAGAATTGCATTTACCCCTCAATTGATGCCTCAACTATGGAAACTGATGAACTGTTTCGGACCCAAAGGCAATATGGTCATCTACCTCAATGCAGCCAAGCAAGCAGATATCAACAAGGAACCGCTGGTACACATTCTCAAGGCCTTTTGCGAGGCATGTTCCATTGTCTTTTTGTGAGTATATATATATATACCTATATACCTATATTACTGTACTTGGCGCACTTACACACGTCGAGTATATAGAACATTGGACGACGTTGACATCTTTACACAGCAAGAACCATTTTCACCCTCTACGTTGATTCAAATCAGTAGCTTTCTCAATCAATTCTACTTTTCACTGATTCAGCAGCACGCAGATATACCAAGCGAACTTCCACCTGCTGCCAACGCATTCAAGTCAGCGCGTCGTCTTTTGCTCCAAATCTATGATCTTGACTTGCACCATCCATTTTGTCCACCAGATCATTGGCTCCTCATCCAAGCCAGCAACAGCACTAGCATTAAGTCTTTCTTTTCCAACATGTTCAATGACACTACAAAAGACATGTTGGCCGCCATGTTTTTAGACAAGCTAAAGCAAGGCGATCCTGTGCCATTGCGCATATTGCAACTCATGCCGCATACAGTGTCGTTTGGTATGCGACTACTTATTTTTCGTGAATGGATCGAGTTGGATAAATACACTTGCACCAAGACAGCCAACAGACACATTACAGTCAGGAGATCACAGGTGCTGGAAGATGGATACCAGCAGCTAGTCAATTTACCTGCCTCTGCGTGGAAAGGTACGATCCGTGTATCGTTTGTAAATGAGCTGGGTATGGAAGAGGCAGGCATTGATCAAGGTGGTCCTTTCAAAGGTATTTTACTTGTCTCTTAAAACAAAGTGTTTTTAGAGTGATAAACAAGCTTTTTTTTTTATCAGACTTCTTGACCATGATGATTGCAGAAGCGTTTGAACCCAATTACGGGCTATTCAGCTCAACAAGAACGCAAAGTTTCTACCCAAGTGCTACGTCCAGCGTTCATGGTCGTCATCATATCCAATTATTTGAATTTATTGGCAAGGCAATCGGCAAAGCATTGTACGAAGGCGTGCTTCTAGATGTGCAATTTGCTGGCTTCTTGCTGGCTCGTTTGCTTGGACGAAATGTGTTTTTGGAGGAATTGAAGGAATTGGATCAAGAAGTGTGGCGCAACTTGACATTTATCAAGCGTTATGATGGCAATGTGGAAGACTTGTGTCTATCATTCGAAACAGATGAGCAAGTGTTGGGCAAGGTAGAAACACATGAATTGAAGTTTGTAAGTGTGTGAGCCAGCAGAGACCAGCTGAGTGAGCGGACTGACCTACTTGTTTTTTGTTAGAGAGGAAAAAGTACAACAGTGACAAATAGCAACAAAGTAGAATATGTGTACCTGATGGCAGATTACAAGCTGAATCAAAGAGCTCAAGACCAAACAAAAGCGTTCATTCGCGGTTTCAGAACTGTCATTTCCGAGAGTTGGATTCGTATATTTTCACCTCCTGAATTGCAGCGTGTGTTATCAGGGGAAGACACTGATTTTGGTATAATTTTCTGCTGGAGAAAAATGGTTGCAGGAAAACGAGAGCTCTAATCAGTCTGCTTAATATAGATGTCAATGACCTCAGAAAGCACACACAATATGATAATGGCTATTTCGATCATCATCCAGTGATCAGATCGCTATGGCAGATTGTAGCTGAATTCAACTCGACTGAGAAACGAGCATTTCTGAAATTTGTCACGGGATGCCCCAAACCTCCACTGGGTGGCTTCGATTACCTGCAACCTGCATTCACTGTGAGGATGGTTTCCATTGATTCAGTCAACATGGATGGTGCAAAAATTGTGAAGTCGTTTTTCAAGATGAATTTGAATAACAACAAGTCTGGAAGATTGCCATCGAGCTCCACATGGTAAATGCAAAATCTCTTTGATGTGGGCTCGACATGATTGACTGATTGGGTTACTTTATAGCTTCAACTTGCTGAAATTACCAGCGTATACAAAGAAATCTTTATTGAAAGAAAAATTAGTCTACGGTAAATAGCAAAACTTCAACAAATAAGAAGCTCTCGCACTCACGCATCCACTTTACCAAAAATACACAGCCATCAATGCAAAAACAGGGTTTGAATTAAGTTAATCATATTAGTAATAAACAGGGTATTAGCAGTTGTTTATTCTCTTCTCAGATTATCTAATCTTGCTTGCAAAGCAGCATCATCAGCAGACAGGCCTTCAGTTTGAGCCACTCTCTCAGAAGCAGCAGGAGATGATACAGCAGGTTCAGATTGCTTGATACCTGTAGGCACATCCGCCAGTTCTTGATTGAAGCTGATCCCAATTTCATCCAGCACTTTATTCACAATCTCATCGCTTTCCTCCTCATCCTCCTCCTCTTCAAAAGCATCATCAATCGCATCACCCATCATTTCATCCTTCATGTCCATCATTTCACTTTCTTTCTCAAATTCCATCATGATTTTTTGGATCTGAGGTAAATTCATTTGTCGGTTCATGGATCCCATGGCTTTGGTAGCGCCTTTCATGGCTTCTGCCATTTGCTGACTTGAACGTAATGTTTGAATACGTAAACCCACTGCCTGTAGTTGCGTCTTCATTTGATAAAACTTTTGGACGTTGCGTCGCGTGCGGACTAAATCTTTGGCCATCACTTTACAAGCACCCATTTGATTTGCTTTGGCGGATTTCTTGATGTCTAAAATGAGCTTCTTTTCTTGCCGCTCGAGTTTCTCTCTTTCTCGGTCGAGTTCTCGTTGTGCTTTGGTAATGGCTCGTTGATGTTGTCGAAGAAGTTCGGCGGGTGTCTTTCTTTTACCAAATAAAAATTCCTTTGCGATTAAATGAATCATGTTAGCTATCTATATGAGATGTGGGAGATTGCGAGTTACCATCTCGTGTAATGATGCTTTTATTGATGAATGAGGAAAGAAAAAGAGAAAAGAGAAGACTGTGTGTGGATGCTCAACAACAACTACATCATGCTTTTTTGAAAGGGCGCAAACTTTACACAGTTACATTTCAACATATAAATTGAAGATTTACATCGATTGGATGAGAGGCACTCATTTGAGGGCGTTGGGAGTACTTGTCTCGCAAGATATCACGAACACTATTCAGTAAGGCATGGTAAGATTGCTTTGGATTTTGACGAAGAGTAGCTTAAAATGATATTAGTACTGCATCACATGCTGAGCAAACCACACATTAAATACTCTTACTTGTAAACGCATAACTCATAGCACCTGTAGCTTTGCCATCTTCTACAGCATCAGCAGATGTCTGACTATCTTTGCATCCAGAAAACATAATCACATCAGCAGGAGAAAACAAATTTTGTCTGTTCCACTCTTGGATCTCCTTTTGTGATTTGGCAGTGTTTCTAATTTCCATCAAGGAGGAAAGAGCTCTTGCCTTGTTGCCACTGGCGTAGGAAATACCTGCAGATAGTAACCCTTTACCAGCACCCTTGAGCAAGTTTTGTTCCTTGATCATGCCTTTGGTAGAATACACATATCTATGAGCTCATTGAGTTGGGAACAAGATTGTAATTTATCCATCTATATACACTTACGGCAAATCCAAGGCTGTTCCTGAATGACAGCTATCGAAAATACAAGTCAAGCGACAGCCCTCTACCAAGGGTTTGACCATGATATCGTGCATCAAATCATCAACAATTTGTCCAGACTCTCCCTTGTATTTATCGTGGTCGACAGGGAATATCGTCTCGTCGTAGCCATCATCTTCATCTCCACTGGTATCCACCACACGACCACCGTGTCCGCTGTAATGCAAGAAGAATCTACATGCAGAAAAAAATGAACACTTGTGTCTACTGGCTACGTGTATACTTTTCGCGCCAGACTTACGAGTCATTTGGTTTAGAATCTGATACAAGCCATTGCATAGCAGCCAAAATATTGACTCTTGTTGGGTAAAATTTACTGTTGGCAGGTTGATCATCTGTCAGAATAACCATATCTTGTTCTTTAAAGCCGTATAAGGTTGTGATAAAGTCCTTGATATTCCTGACATCGTTGATACAGCCATTCAATTGAGCACTGGTATTAAAGTAATTGATACCAATCAAAAGTGCCTTTTTACGACCTTGACAGTTGGATAATTTGAAATTGAGAGTACCTATTTCACGCACAAGAGGGTCGACGTGAAGATAAAAACCGTTGCCAACAGATGTGAAATTTTTGCCATACGGGACTGTATTGAGTTTGTTAGCTCATCTTGTTGCTCTTAGCTTTTCTTCTCTTACTAATGGTCATCATCATTACCTGGTTTAGAAGGCTGATTCTGAGAGGCGTGAGGTGGTTGAGGAAAATTGGGATTAGGATGACTCAACTCTTGTTGCGTGAATTTAGGATCCTTGGCATCAGATTTTACAGATGCCTGTTGACTGGTAGCAGTGGTATGTAAGCCCTAATGCAAGAATAGGTTCAAGTCATTAAAGTAAAGAAAGGATTTTTGATCGTAGAATAATTTTATACCTGATTGCTTGCTCGTGATGCTTGCTGATTGTTCATAGAGGGTTGCGTATGTCGATTGGGCTGTGCTTCTTGGCAATTGATGGTTGCAAACGTTGCTTGACGAAATGAAGGCATTTGCTGTTGTTGGGCAGTTGATACATGGTCCTGTTGTTTTGCAGAAACCAAACTCACTCAATGAATGTAAACAATCAAACGTTTTGTTTTACCTGTCGATTTTGCTGACAATAGCTGTTTGATACCTGCTGAGGAGGTGGAGGTAGCGGAAAAGCCTGGAAAAATAGATGTTAGTATGGGTGTATGCTACTCGATTCGAGGTAAACTCACTTGACGGGATGAATATGGCTGCCTGAGGCTGCCTACGCCGCCTGGAAATTGATGTTGCTGCTGCTGTGGATGCTTCGCCATACTAGAGCTTCCTAAACGTTGTTGGGGATCGCCCAACTTTTGACATGTTATAAGGCTGTTCATTGATGTGATAGTGATAAGGGGGGTGGGGGTTACCTGAGATAATGATTGTTGGTTCCCTTGATTAGTGCGTGGTTGCTTGGATGATTTTCTAAACATGGATTTGTTCATTCGATACAAGTAGAAAGAAATGCGATATCAGGTAAAACATTCTTTTTTAAAGGTTCCTGATTCCAAGACTCAGTTTGACTATTCAACGAATTCAGATTTTGAAGGCAACCTCCTCAAGACTCTTACCACCTTTGCTCAACTTCTTAGGAGAATGGTTGGCAAGAGTGACAGAAGGAAAATACATAATAAAATTGACAGCTATTATACTCAAGCTCTATAAACTCTACAGCAGGTTAAAGAGTAAAACGACGCTCTTATATTACTACTTCCATCAGTCCATGCAACAAGTTTCAAAAGTTTAAAACTTTAATACCATAAATGATAGTAAATGGCCGTTTCTATCAAATTTCCCGTCTGATTATGTTTATTATATTCTTTAGAAAAGATATTAACACGTTTGTTTATAGCGCACTTCTGTGCATTTAATAATATGTTGAACTTATAAGTATTTTCAAGGACTCTCTCAATATTCGCAATATTTACAGTCTCTCAGTGTAATCATAGGTTTGATATTTCATAGTGCACAAAAACACGTATGTCATGTGGGGCCTTAATTCAAGACACGAATCGCAATCATTGCTATCTTGTTACTAGCTGTTTACAGATGTACTTTAAATTCATTGTTTGATAATGTGCATTAGCTTTGCCTTATTGAAAGAAGATTTTGCTACGTATCGTTGACATGTCTATTGTGTGTATTTACTGAAGTATGACGACCCGCCGCTCTACAAAGGCATCATTTTCCGTGTTTTTTCTTTGATGAACATGAACACAGAGTCATTACACTAATTAAAAATCGGTTAAAATCATGAAAGTCTCGCAATTTCATAAGACTGTGTTGACCCTACTGATTTTGAAGTTTTCTGAGCTATATTGCACTATTCATTGTATGGGTTCATAGTCTGGCCCCACTAAGTATGTCTTTAAAGCCTAGTAGCATTCTAAATCCTACTTACGATGATGATGGTCTTTAAAAGAAAATATGAATTTCGTTCATATCAATACACTGAGAGAATTGAGGTCATGAAGCAACACGAAAAACCTTTCATAAATAACAAGATAAGGCATTCCTTGCATTGGATATAGAACCCCTACTTACATGATAATGAAACTCTTGTGGTGGCATTAATGAACATTGCGTTATTATTATTGTTAATATGCGATCAGCTTAGGGCTATAGACTATGCACGTCCACGTTTAGCGACGCTCTTGATAGTATCATGTAGTAGTATGCATTGCTTATTGTGCAATACTCACTCATCAGCCTTATGCCTTGGACTATTATTATGGTCAATCACAATGTATTCTCTTCCTCCTAATAGCCTAAACTTATTATCCTGTTGTTGTCATCAGCGATGTTTGCACATTGAATTAAGTCAGGTGGATACCATAGCGTACATTATACGGTACTCATGATTATGGTGCAGTGAAATTGAGTTTAAGAGATTTTACAAAAAATAAAATACAATAGAAATCAACTGTATTTTATTTGTGTGTAAAATAAACTGAAGTTCCTGGAATTGAGTAAAAAAAGAAGAGTATTTAAACATTTGGAACCAGCTTGTAGGATTAGTGATGATAGAGAGCAATAGGTGCTGCTATTGCGATATCTGGCAAATGTTGTTGATGTTTGATTTAAAGTGGTAATTAATGCAAGAGCACTGGCCATAAGGGTCGATTTGAGTAACCTTGATGGGCTTGGGTGAGCTATCGTCATAGCATGATTTAATGTAACCTTGACAGTTCAAGGTATAATGTTTGTTAATGAAGTATAGAACCTTTATCTGGAGTAGTACTGTGCAGCTATGGCATTAGAGCATGGTTGTCACATTTGAACTTGTTTATTACTGATTCCATTTAATGTTGTGGATAAAGGTAACATTACTTATTACGACCACCATGAGTTTGATTGGATACATTGTGATTAGGAATGATTTATTCACACGATGTGCGAGATATAAGAGCGCATCTTTAGTATGTTTAAATAATTGTTAATGCACATCTGAGCGCTTTATTTGTAGATTCAAATAGCATTAATTGGAATGAGTGGTATTTGAGGAACTCCGGCTTTCAATGGAATGGCTATTTCATTCCATATAGTACTATTATACAGTACTATGGATTACAGTTGTAATCTAAGAACGGGATAAGTCTTTTGAAACTTATTACTCCACTATACATAGTATCGTTTTGGGAAAAAACACTCATCGGTCAATGCCTTTTTTTCCTTGGCAACTTTTTTGTTTCTCGACGCATTTGACTCTCCTGGACAGGTACTAATCAATGAGAATGTATCGTTGTTGTGTTGCTTATTAATGTTGATTATACGAGCTAACGCAAGCCTAGCCGCAGAGATTGCCGAGCAGCAAACACAATCATATAAGACCGTATGAATGGCATTAGACACCGCAAAATTGTGTGGTAAAAGTCAGCGGTCTCTTTATACTAGAAATAGCAGTTTTTTTGAGTATAATTTCAAGTTAAGAGGTATCTGTTTGTGCCTCAATTTGATTTATATCTTTCGAGCTAATAGTTTATATGAAGACCATGTAGAAATCGAGCATCCAAGATAAGTGGACCCGGTTGGACCCCTTTTAGTCGGACATTCAAATGGCTTGTAAGGTGAGCTTGAAATGCAGATTTGAAGCTTAAAAATTTCCACTTCTTCATCATTAACTAGGAAAGCTGCAAGTAAACTATATTAATTTACTAAGTAGATATTGTAGTCTTCTATCAGACGCATCGGCTAGTATATTTTTTGGAATAATATGCTGTTTCTACCTTCAGTAGAACGGCAAAAACTAGAAATTTCGCCTTAGGGTTGAGGTTAAAAAACTGTGGTCGAACAATGAATTGGAATATCTCGCTCAAAATTAGCTCTTTTCGCAAAATTCAAAAACTGAAAGGTGCACTTTAGTGCCTCAGTCGTGAATCACTTTTTAGTTTGTACCGTGACCCACAAAACAGCCCCAATGTTTAGCAGTTTTTACTTTCAGATCTTACCACCGGACGGGAAGTTATCCAATAATAATGAATTTAGTATTTTCTAAAAGCTAACACTGTTTTCTTTATATCTTTTAATTTTTATAAGCATATAGCTGTAGAATCACAAGCTGTGATTGGCCAAAGTCATAAGGTACATTGGGACAGTATTGTGAGGTATTTGGAAAAATCAAGTTTTATTATTTTATAAGACTTTAATACTCTGTCCATTTCCCTTTTGCTTTGATAACGGCCGCAGTACGTCGAGGCATGCTTTCTATAACCTTTTGGCAGTCCTCCGGCTTCATTTGGTCATACCAAATCTCAGTTACTCGCTCATATAATTCACTCATACCCTTGGTTGCGGTTTCATACTCATTGAAACGCCTTTTCATCAAAGCCAACATGTTTTTGATAGGATTCAAGTCTGGAGATTGTGGGGGCCACCCCATGATCTGGTGTGACTGTTCCTGAAGGTAATCCTTGACCAAATTTGAGGTGTGTTTAGGATCATTGTCTTTGTGGAATTTGAGGCTTGATAGACTAAAATTCACGGAAAAAAAAGAATTAAAAAACAGTAATGTCAACTTGATAAAGGTATGTTTTATTATCAAACTGACAGGTGTAAAGTAAACTGAAGTCTCTCTACTGGCCAGGTAGATGATCCTTCTTATATACTATAACAATGGATAAAAGTTCTATTAATTAGATTAACAAATAAGTCAACTCAGATCAACTAATGTCTAATCATGCTAAAAGACAACTCCAGCAAGCTAATCATGATTTAGCTCTGTCTGGATGAATAATTAGACTCTCATCCGAAGTACCCTGATCTACCCTTTCTATAAGGATAATTAATATCGATCTAGTAACATGTATCCGATAGGTACAGTCTTCTTAGTCAATATCAATAGTAAATATCTGAGTGTATATCGCTAAGCATACATCTTTAGCATGTATCTGGATATATGGCATGTCTATAGCATATCGTATGCATGTCTATAGCATGTCTCATATATAGTACAAGTCTGTAGTACATAAAGTATCTGTAGCTAGTATCACGGATATAAGCATGTGTCTTATAGCCTGGATCATGAAGTGCACATCTGAAGCAACAAGCTCATATTGCATTAATCTTGGTGCCTATCCAGATATGGTAAACATCCGTAGTCAATGTCGGAATACAAGTATAAGTCTATAGTGCCATCCATGTCCGTGGTGCCATCTATAGCCTATATCTTATATAGTATGAATCTTATAGTACTAGCGTATCTGAAGTCCATATCTTCTTATAGTATAAATCGATATCGTACATCTAATCCAGCGTACATACAGTTTATATCTAAATCTAGTAACTGGATGAACTGTCGAATGCAGATCATAGTGGATGTATTCCACAGCACCAACACCAGCACCATTCACAGCCTTCAAATTGGCATTCAATTCCATTCGCTTTCTTTGAGAGGCCTCTTTGAGCTTCGACAAACCCATCATCTCCTCTGGAGAGTCAACATTCATAGTAAGAGCCGCCTCATTAGAAGCGTATTTCGAGAATGCAGAGCCGCGCACATCAGGAAGCTTCTTGACACCACTACCACCAGCAAGCACGATTTCATCATCTTCTTCCATAGCATCATCTCCGTGTAACTTATCCTGATGATCTTCACCTTGAAGATCCTCCATTTGCACCCCCAAATTATCACTTTCAGTGGACTTGTCATTTTCAGACGCGTCAACACCATCAACAACACCCTGAAGAGATTCTTCCTCTTCGTCTACTACAGACTCGAGTTCTTCTTCTTCGACTTTCTCTTCCACTTCCCTACCTGCTCCTAGCTTTGCCTTAGCAACGAAATCCATCAAATGCACCGTCTGTCGACGTGCCTCAGTGACCTCCTCCGAATCCTTCAGTTGATGATCCACCTTTTGCTTCTTGGCACCAGATTGATCCTCCTTACCAGGACAAAAACGCAACATGTGACCATGCTTTCCACATCCATAACATCTACGCTGGAGCAACTCAGGACATTTAGCGCGGACATGACCACTATGACGACAGAAATGACAAACAGGTGGAGCACCCTTATATGTCGCTGCGACAAAGCAATCAAACTCGCTGAGATAGAGCATTCTATCTAGAGGTTGAGCCTCCTGCCACTCACCACCCTCTACCTGATATCCCACCGAGATATCCACCATCACCGAAAACTTGCCCTCAAGGAAACCACCACGAGTGAACTTCTTCACCTGCAGGACACGACCATAAAACGACAAAGACTTGATCAAATCATGCAGAAAGGTGGGCTCTTTGACGATGCGCATCAAAGTAAACTGGACAAACTTCAAATCACCAAACTCCTTGCATTCCTTGGCGTGAACAGCCTTGTACACCATGCCATTCACGTTAACACCAGTTGTCGTAGCCTTGTTCGCATTATCCACCTCCTCGAACTTGGCTTCAATAAGCAAAGAACCATCGTTCTTTTCATCGTAGACACTTAAAGGACGAAATTCCACCAGAGAAGACACCTGGGTTTGAATTATCTTGTACGCATCCACACGATCACCAAACAAACCCTTACGGAAAGAAAAGAGAACTGAACCAGAAGAAAGTGCCTGCTGCACAATCGCCATTGCCTTACTAGCTAAGATTTGACTCTTCAAATCATCATCCTCAAACATCACAGAACCCACCAAAGGGTAAGAAGAAGCGGCGGCCTCCACCGAACGCCTCTTGGATGGCTGATAGAACCTCATGGTAGAACCACGAGATGCATGTTCAGCCCAAGTCATTTCAGAATTGACTGACATAGAGTGTAACTTGTAACTGGAGTGTAACTAAGTCGCGTTGTTGAAAAAATAGTGAAAATGTTGAATTCGTCGAAAAATTGCTGAATCGATCTGAAATCAAGATATGTTGTAGAGCTGGAATGGATGTATCTAAATATACTTGGGTGCAAGATGGATGTATCCTAGTTGTTGAGATATCGTCGTTCAAAGTTGGTGAAAACAAAAACTTTTTGAAAAGTGATGTATAAGCGAAAGATTTTTTTTTTGTATTAAAGTGTATCTTTATTAGCATTAAGGTTTATAATTTATACAGAGTTTACAGGCAAGGCCAAGGTGCCAGCTTGAACACTTGCCAAAGAAAGAGAAGAAAAGAGTGTACTATGGTCTTGACGGACCATGTTGATAGCAGCAGAAGCTATCCAAGGCTCCTCGTCTATGATGCATTGCCAATGATACTTCCAAAGTGTACTGTAAGCAGCACCAAGAGCAATCAGAACATCCTCATCGATCACCAACAAATCTGAACCACTACAAAAGGTAGTCAGCGCCAACCAAATAGAAGAAGCAGAGGGGAGTAGCTCTTGAAGTGACAACAAAGAGACTACATCCTGCCAGAAAAATGACTTGATACGGCAACCCACCACGAAATGGTAAAGGTCCTCTGTAGCAAAACCACAAAGAGCACAAGCAGGAGACAGAACTTTTGTAGGCATAATCTTATGGCACCACGAACGGTGCGGGAGACGGTCATGTAGCAATCGCCACCAAGGTGTGAAAGCCTTTGCAGGCATTTCCAGGGACCAGAAAGTACGCCACAAAGCAGGAGACAGCAACAAATGAGCAGGCAACTTCAAGGGAGGACCCATACGAGATGTAATGGTACCCTTTGCAGGGTGCCAATACCTTCGCAAAGCACCAAGAGAGAGACGAGCAACCGGAGCAGCAGAACGAGACGAGTTGGAGACAGTCCAATGAGTACAATCTGGCATCCAAGAGGTAGCACCATCAGAACGGGGCATAGTAAAATAGTCTACTTGAGACAAGACTATCTTACTATCCATGACAGGCGGGAATACCAGAGAGACAGGACCACGATCACGGTTCAAAGCAAGAAAAACAGGGCGCAAAACACGAGATGACTAAGCAAGATGAGAGGTGACACCATCAACTATACCTAGATCAGGTTGCCAGAAAGAGACATCCGACACCAAGAAACGAGGATCAAGAGATGATGGATCACGAGGAGGACGAACAGAAGGCACAGTTTTTTTTTTTTTTTTGTATCAAAGTGTATCTTTATTAGCTTTAAATTTATAATCTATACAGTAATTACAGGCAAGGCCAAGGTGCTAGCTTGAACACTTGCCAAAGAAAGAGAAGAAAAGAGTGTACTATGGTCTTGACGGACCATGTTGATAGCAGCAGAAGCTATCCAAGGCTCCTCGTCTATGACGCATCGCCAAAGAAGGCACAGTACTGAGAACAGAACACAAGGGAAGATCAAGAAACCAGCTAGCAGACCAACCAGAGGAAGGAACTAACTTTGGCAATCTCAACAGAAGCTTTCCAAGATGTGTTAGAGCAGGCACAGAAGACACACGAGACTGGTAAAGACCAGGAAAACAAAACCACGGCAAGATGGACTTATGGCCAGTGTAAACTTGAAAAGCATACACCAACCAAGAGGAGACAAAATCACTGGGAGAGGGTGGACGCAACAAACGTTGCAAATAGACAAGATGCAAAGCTAAGCTTTGATCTGCTATATCCACGAGACCAACACCACCAAATTTGCGAGGAAGACACAAAGTAGACCAGGCAACACCGGGGCGAAAAGACACCAGATACTCACGAACCACCTTTGTGAGCGACTTCAACCACGACGCAGTAGTAGCACCACCAGGAACAACACGCAACAAATGATATACCTTTGACAACAGTAACGAGTTAGCCACTAGTCCTGGCTTTAAAAGTATATATAAGCCCGCCCTGGCAAAAAAAAACTTTTTCCTGCGAAAGAGCCGCAAAAAAAATCACTGAAGTATTTACGACCTATTCGTAATCATAATATATTCGTCAGAAAAAACCTATACCAATTTGTTTACAAATATGAGAATAAAACTTATAGTAATAAACTAGTTAGATAATTTTTACAAAATATTTTATATGGTAACAAAATTAAAGAAATATATTTAAATTTATATATATTATACAATATAAGTATATATAACGTGGTATTAATTTTATTTTATAATACTAAATAAATTTATAATAAATTTTTTTTTATAAATTTAACATAAAATTATGTTTTTATATTTTATACAATAAAATAAACAAAATTTTTTGTTTTATAAAATAAATGTAAAGTATTTAATATAAATTAAACAAAAAAAATTTTTTTGTAAATAAAGTAAAAAGGTTATTGTTTGTAATATTTATTTTTATTTTGTTTAGCTGTTACGTAATATGTAATTTTTTTTTATAAATAGCTTGCTAACGAATAGGTTCTTTTGGTTTACTGTAAAGTTTGAAACTTCAACACGCGAGGTTTTATCCTTCAAGATTGTTAAAGGCTAGGAGGTAGGCTCTAGGCTCTTTCGCGTATTCAGAAGCTCTCACGCTCTTTCGCGTATTCATCACTTTTTATAAGTTTTCGATTACGCCATCTTTGAACAACGATATCTCGACAACTAGGATACATCCATCTTGCATCCAAGTATATTTAGATACATCCATTTCAGCTCTACAACATATCTTGATTTCAGATCGATTCAACCATTTTTCGTCGAATTCATCTTTTTCACTACTTTTTCAACAACGCGACTTAGTTACACTCTAGATTACAAGTTACACTCTACGTCTGTTACACTCCATGTCTTCCCAATCTGAATTGACTTGGGCTCAAAGAGCTTCACGTCAAAAGGTGGGTCGATTTCTCCAGCCCAACAAGCGACGATTGGACAATCCAACTGATGTACCACTGGTGGGTACTGTTCTCTATGAAGATGATGACCTGAAGGGTCAAATTTTGGCAAGCAAGGCTATGGCGATTATTCAGCAATCCCTTTCTTCTGGTTCTGTTCTGTTCACGTTTCAGAAAACTTTGTTTCCTGATCGTGTTGCCGCTTACAAAGTGATTCAAGATCAAATCTCACCTGACGTGGAATTTCGACCTCTTAGTTTGTATGATTCTCGTGCTGATGGTTCTCTGCTGATTGAAGCCAGGTTTGCTCAGGTGGAGCATGCACAAGTGGCTATGCGTGAAGGGGTGACTGTACAAGGTGTAGTGTACAAAGCGTCTACCTCCAAGGAAAGTGCTGAATTTGGGGATGTCAAGCATGTGCGGTTTACACTTATGCGTATGGTGGACAAGACCACTTTTTTGTCGGATCTTATGGAGTCCTTGTCGTACTTTGGTAAGGTACTGCAAGTGAAGAAGTTTACTCACCGTGGTTACTTTGAGGGTAAACTTTCGGTGATTTTGGATACTTCTGTTGGATTTCAGGTAGGGGATGAGTGGCAGGAGGCCAAGCCCCTAGATAGAATGCTCTATCTGAGCGAATTTGATTGTTTTGTGCCAGCGACTTATCAAGGTGCTCCACCTGTTTGTCATTTCTGTCAACACAGCGGTCATGTTCGCGCCAAATGTCCTGAATTGGCTAGACGTCGTTGCTTTAGGTGCAATAAGCAAGGGCACATGTTGCGTTTTTGCCCTGAAAAGGAGGTTCAGTCTGCAAATTTCACCAAGAAGCACAAAGTTCACCATCATTCTGAGGATTCTGAGGATGTCACTCTGGCTCGTAAGAACACTGTGGAATTGATGGAATATATTGAGAAGGAAAAATTAGGCGTAGGTAAGGAGGTGGAGAAGGTAGAAGAAGAAGAACTCGATTATCGTGTAGTCGAGGATGAATCTCTTCAGGGTGAAAGTGTTGACGAATCTGAAAATGATGAGTCCACTGGTAACGAGGATTTGGATCTTCTGAGTGAAGATAACCACCAGGTAAGTATGAATGAGGATGAGGACATGGAGGACGACAAGATTGTGCTTGCTGGAGCTCCCAAGAAGCTGGATACCGTGCGTGGTTCTGCCTACTCCAAGTATGCGTCTGCTGAGGTGGCTGTGAATATGAACATTGACTCGCCTGAGGAGGTGTTGAATTTGACCAAGTTGAAGGATCTTGCTCAGCGCAAAAGAATGGAGTTCAATGCAAACCTGAAAGGTACTACTGGTGCTGGTGTAAAAGGCGATAACAAGCTGGGTAACTCTGGTGGTGTCTCTTCTGGTACTGGTGCTAAGGGTAACAAGTCTGGTGTTGCTTCTGGTGTTGCTTTCGGTGGTGTTTCTGGTGGTGTTTCTGGTGGTGTTTCTGGTGTTGTCAAGAATAGCAAGACTAATGGCCGTGCGCCTCTCAAGACTAAGCAAGACGCCCGTAGGGCTCAATGAGTACAAAATTAGGCATCAAGATTGGCTCCTTGAACACGCGTAGCTTGTTCATGCAGTCTAATCCTACAAATCTCAAAGAGTTTTCATCTTATCTTCGCTCCTCCTCTCTCCATCTGGATATCCTTTGCTTGCAAGAGGTATCTCATTTCCGCTCTCAATCTACTCTCACTGAATCTCAAGTCCGTTCCTTTTCTTTTGCTTTTCCTAATTGTTCTCTCGTTGTGTCCAAGCACTGTGCTATTATATGTCTCAATTCTCGTTATTCTTTGGTGGATACGGAGGTATTGTTGGATGAACGTTGTCTTGTTGCATCTGTCGTAGATGCCTCAAGCAATGTTTTGTGCAAAGTGGCCAACGTCTATGGTCCAGCGCAGTCTTCTGACCGTCCTTCATTTATCTCTGATTTTCTCTCTCTTTCTGTTTGGTCTGATGTGTTCAACACACCTTGGATGGTTATGGGTGATTTCAACATTCACTTGCACTCTTTGTCTACTTCTCGTCAAGCCGATGTCGCTCCTTTTGTTCACTGGTTGCGTACTCACTTTGTCAATTGTCATCCGGATGGTTTAGCCACGTTTCCAAAGAGCAATACTTGTATTGATTACATCTTTGGTCACTCTTCTCTTGCTCCTCGTTTGACTAATAGTCAGTTACTATATATGCCTAGTAGGTGGACGGATCACTCTCTTTTGACTGTTGAAATGTTACCTGCGACAGCTAGTATTGGTCCTGGTAGTTGGCGGTTCAATCCAACTCTGCTTGATGATAAGGAATTTGTTGCGTTGTTGAATGCCACGGTGTCATTGTTCTTCTCTGGTGCTGTTGGTGGTGGGTCTAAGGGTGTCAATACTAGTCAAGGTAGTAGTGGTGACTCTGAAAGCACGGTGGCTAGATGGGAATCCTTCAAGTTGTTACTAAAGTGCTGTGCACAAAAGTACACTAGAAGCATGAAAGCACGATTCAAGAACAAAGTTTTTACGCTTCAACTGGAACGTATTAGGGCTCTGTCGACGTCTGTATCGGGTGTTGAGACTAGGAATGCTATTGGTCAAACTGATAGAGTGTCTACTGCTTCAGGTGATGCTGAACAGCAGGTCAGGCAACTAGAAGTTTTGATTGAGGATCAGATACAGAAAGAGACTAGTCAGAATATGCTTCGCTCTGCCACTCGTTGGTTAGAACAGGGAGAACGTAGCAACAAGTATTTCTATCGTTCGATCAAGGTGCGAGAGTCTCAACAGACAATTCAATCCTTAAAGTGCTCTACTACTGGGGATATCTTGGTGGAAGCAGCAGCTATCAACAGGGAGGCACAAGGTTTTTACCAAAGGCTATATACCCCTGATGCTGTCGATGCTGAAGCTATCGATACTCTCCTGGGGAATGTTCCAACTGATGTACGTCTATCATCTTTGGATGGTGATATGCTAATGGAACTTCCAACTCGCGATGTTTTGTTGTCTCTGCTCACTCATGCTCCCAAGTCTAAAAGTCCTGGTCTTGACGGTTTGCCTTTTGAATTGTATCAATATCTTGCTGGTGTTTCTACTGATTTTCTTGACTTGCTTGTGGATGTGTTGGGTGCAGCTTTTTCTGGTGTGTTTCCTCCTTCGTGGCAACAAACTCGTATGGTCTTATTGTTCAAGAAGGGTGACCCTCAGTTGTTGGTTAACTGGAGACCTTTGTCCTTAATTAACAGTGATGCCAAGTTATTTACAAAGCTCATTGCTAATCGTATGAACAAAGTGTTGCCAAAGTTAATCAACCCTTATCAAACTGGTTTTCTCCCTCATCGTCTGATCTCTGACAATGGCTGGTTAAATCAGTTGTTGATGTCTCACTTGCGTGTTGTTGCTCCTGATTTACCTCAAGTGGCTGTTTTGTTGGATCAAGAGAAGGCGTATGATCGGGTTCATCCTGAATATCTTTGTCGTGTGTTGCTCCGGTTTGGTTTTCCTGGTGAGTTGGTGTCTTGTCTGTCTTCTTTGTTCTTTGGAACCAAGATTTCAGTGTCTATCAATGGTTGGCTTGGTGCTCCTGTACCTCAATTGCGAGGTCTTCGTCAAGGTGATCCTCTGTCTCCATTGCTATTCAATCTGGCATTTGAGCCTTTGCTTCGTTCTCTCCTTGCTTGTCCTGGTCTTTCTGGTGTTACTCTGTCTCCTGTTAATATCCCACGTAAATGGAAGCCTTCACCGGTTGAAGTTCGTGTGGATCATGGTACTGGTTCCCGGAATTGGACTTTGGACTTTGTCAGTGGCTCTGTTGCTCCTCCTCCTGTCAAGATTCTAAGCTATGCGGATGATCTTGAGGTGTTTTTGTCTTCGCCAGAAGAGTGGTCTGTGTTGTTGTCTGTTCTTGATCTGTATGGCCGAGCATCTAATGCGAAAGTCAATATCAGCAAGACAGTGTTGGTGTCGTTGTCTGGTGTGTCACACTCTGCTTGGGTTGCTTTGGCTGATTCTACTGGTCTCCAGTGGCATGACGCTCACTCTCGTGGTGCAGTACGTTACTTGGGTTATCCCTTGTATCATACTGAAAGTCAACTTCAAGACTATCTTGATGGTGTCTTGGTGAAGGTCCAGCGACACAGTAACTTGATGAAACAAAGGAATCTCTCCATTAGGGGAGCAGGACTAGTGGCTAACTCGTTACTGTTGTCAAAGGTATATCATTTGTTGCGTGTTGTTCCTGGTGGTGCTACTACTGCGTCGTGGTTGAAGTCTCTCACTACGGTGGTCCGTGAGTATCTGGTGTCCTTTCGCCCTGGTGTTGCTTGGTCTACTTTGTGTCTCCCCCGCAAGTTTGGTGGTGTTGGTCTCGTGGATATAGCAGATCAAAGCTTAGCTTTGCATCTTGTCTATTTGCAACGTTTGTTGCGTCCACCCTCTCCCAGTGATTTTGTCTCCTCTTGGTTGGTGTACGCTTTTCAAGTTTACACTGGTCATAAGTCCATCTTGCCGTGGTTTTGTTTTCCTGGTCTTTACCAGTCTCGTGTGTCTTCTGTGCCTGCTCTAACACATCTTGGAAAGCTTCTGTTGAGATTGCCAAAGTTAGTTCCTTCCTCTGGTTGGTCTGCTAGGTGGTTTCTTGATCTTCCCTTGTGTTCTGTACTCAGTACTGTGCCTTCTGTTCGTCCTCCTCGTGATCCATCATCTCTTGATCCTCGTTTCTTGGTGTCGGATGTCTCTTTCTGGCAACCTGATCTAGGTATAGTTGATGGTGTCACCTCTCATCTTGCTTGGTCATCTCGTGTTTTGCGCCCTGTTTTTCTTGCCTTGAACCGTGATCGTGGTCCTGTCTCTCTGGTATTCCCGCCTGTCATGGATAGTAAGATAGTCTTGTCTCAAGCAGACTATTTTGCTATGCCCCGTTCTGATGGTGCTACCTCTTGGATGCCAGATTGTACACATTGGACTGTCTCCAACTCGTCTCGTTCTGCTGCTCCGGTTGCTCGTCTCTCTCTTGGTGCTTTGCGAAGGTATTGGCACCCTGCAAAGGGTACCATTACCTCTCGTATGGGTCCTCCCTTGAAGTTGCCTGCCCATTTGTTGCTGTCTCCTGCTTTGTGGCGTCTTTTCTGGTCCCTGGAAATGCCTGCAAAGGCTTTCACACCTTGGTGGCGATTGCTACATGACCGTGTCCCGCACCGCTCGTGGTGTCATAAGATTATGCCTACAAAAGTTCTGTCTCCTGCTTGTGCTCTTTGTGGTTTTGCTACAGAGGACCTTTACCATTTCGTGGTGGGTTGCCATGTCAAGTCATTTTTCTGGCAGGATGTAGTCTCTTTGTTGTCACTTCAAGAGCTACTCCCCTCTGCTTCTTCTATTTGGTTGGCGCTGACTACCTTTTGTAGTGGTTCGGATTTGTTGGTGATCGATGAGGATGTTCTGATTGCTCTTGGTGCTGCTTACAGTACACTTTGGAAGTATCATTGGCGATGCGTCATAGACGAGGAGCCTTGGATAGCTTCTGCTGCTATCAACATGGTCCGTCAAGACCATAGTACACTCTTTTCTTCTCTTTCTTTGGCAAGTGTTCAAGCTGGCACCTTGGCCTTGCCTGTAATTACTGTATAGATTATAAATTTAAAGCTAATAAAGATACACTTTAATACAAAAAAAAAAAAAGCGTATTCAGAAGCTCTTTCGCGTATTCATCACTTTTTAAAAAGTTTTCGATTACGCCATCTTTGAACAACGATATCTCGACAACTAGGATACATCCATCTTGCATCCAAGTATATTTAGATACATCCATTTCAGCTCTACAACATATCTTGATTTCAGATCGATTCAACAATTTTTCGTCGAATTCATCTTTTTCACTACTTTTTCAACAACGCGACTTAGTTACACTCTAGATTACAAGTTACACTCTACGTCTGTTACACTCCATGTCTTCCCAATCTGAATTGACTTGGGCTCAAAGAGCTTCACGTCAAAAGGTGGGTCGATTTCTCCAACCCAACAAGCGACGATTGGACAATCCAACTGATGTACCACTGGTGGGTATTGTTCTCTATGAAGATGATGACCTGAAGGGTCAAATTTTGGCAAGCAAGGCTATGGCGATTATTCAGCAATCCCTTTCTTCTGGTTCTGTTCTGTTCACGTTTCAGAAAACTTTGTTTCCTGATCGTGTTGCCGCTTACAAAGTGATTCAAGATCAAATCTCACCTGACGTGGAATTTCGACCTCTTAGTTTGTATGATTCTCGTGCTGATGGTTCTCTGCTGATTGAAGCCAGGTTTGCTCAGGTGGAGCATGCACAAGTGGCTATGCGTGAAGGGGTGACTGTACAAGGTGTAGTGTACAAAGCGTCTACCTCCAAGGAAAGTGCTGAATTTGGGGATGTCAAGCATGTGCGGTTTACACTTATGCGTATGGTGGACAAGACCACTTTTTTGTCGGATCTTATGGAGTCCTTGTCGTACTTTGGTAAGGTACTGCAAGTGAAGAAGTTTACTCACCGTGGTTACTTTGAGGGTAAACTTTCGGTGATTTTGGATACTTCTGTTGGATTTCAGGTAGGGGATGAGTGGCAGGAGGCCAAGCCCCTAGATAGAATGCTCTATCTGAGCGAATTTGATTGTTTTGTGCCAGCGACTTATCAAGGTGCTCCACCTGTTTGTCATTTCTGTCAACACAGCGGTCATGTTCGCGCCAAATGTCCTGAATTGGCTAGACGTCGTTGCTTTAGGTGCAATAAGCAAGGGCACATGTTGCGTTTTTGCCCTGAAAAGGAGGTTCAGTCTGCAAATTTCACCAAGAAGCACAAAGTTCACCATCATTCTGAGGATTCTGAGGATGTCACTCTGGCTCGTAAGAACACTGTGGAATTGATGGAATATATTGAGAAGGAAAAATTAGGCGTAGGTAAGGAGGTGGAGAAGGTAGAAGAAGAAGAACTCGATTATCGTGTAGTCGAGGATGAATCTCTTCAGGGTGAAAGTGTTGACGAATCTGAAAATGATGAGTCCACTGGTAACGAGGATTTGGATCTTCTGAGTGAAGATAACCACCAGGTAAGTATGAATGATGATGAGGACATGGAGGACGACAAGATTGTGCTTGCTGGAGCTCCCAAGAAGCTGGATACCGTGCGTGGTTCTGCCTACTCCAAGTATGCGTCTGCTGAGGTGGCTGTGAATATGAACATTGACTCGCCTGAGGAGATGTTGAATTTGACCAAGTTGAAGGATCTTGCTCAGCGCAAAAGAATGGAGTTCAATGCAAACCTGAAAGGTACTACTGGTGCTGGTGTAAAAGGTGATAACAAGCAGGATAACTCTGGTGGTGTTTCTTCTGGTACTGGTGCTAAGGGTAACAAGTCTGGTGTTGCTTCTGGTGTTGCTTCCGGTGGTGTTTCTGGTGGTGTTTCTGGTGGTGTTTCTGGTGTTGTCAAGAATAGCAAGACTAATGGCCGTGCGCCTCTCAAGACTAAGCAAGACGCCCGTAGGGCTCAATGAGTACAAAATTAGGCATCAAGATTGGCTCCTTGAACACGCGTAGCTTGTTCATGCAGTCTAATCCTACAAATTTCAAAGAGTTTTCATCTTATCTTCGCTCCTCCTCTCTCCATCTGGATATCCTTTGCTTGCAAGAGGTATCTCATTTCCGCTCTCAATCTACTCTCACTGAATCTCAAGTCCGTTCCTTTTCTTTGCTTTTCCTAATTGTTCTCTCGTTGTGTCCAAGCACTGTGCTATTATATGTCTCAATTCTCGTTATTCTTTGGTGGATACGGAGGTATTGTTGGATGAACGTTGTCTTGTTGCATCTGTCGTAGATGCCTCAAGCAATGTTTTGTGCAAAGTGGCCAATATTTATGGTCCCGCGCAGTCTTTTGACCGTCCTTCATTTATCTCTGATTTTCTCTCTCTTTCTGTTTGGTCTGATGTGTTCAACACACCTTGGATGGTTATGGGTGATTTCAACATTCACTTGCATTCTTTGTCTACTTCTCGTCAAGCCGATGTCGCTCCTTTTGTTCACTGGTTGCGTACTCACTTTGTCAATTGTCATCCGGATGGTTTAGCTACGTTTCCAAAGAGCAATACTTGTATTGATTACATCTTTGGTCACTCTTCTCTTGCTCCTCGTTTGACTAATAGTCAGTTACTATATATGCCTAGTAGGTGGACGGATCACTCTCTTTTGACTGTTGAAATGTTGCCTGCGACAGCTAGTATTGGTCCTGGTAGTTGGCGGTTCAATCCAACTCTGCTTGATGATAAGGAATTTGTTGCGTTGTTGAATGCCACGGTGTCATTGTTCTTCTCTGGTGCTGTTGGTGGTGGGTCTAAGGGTGTCAATACTAGTCAAGGTGGCAGTGGTGACTCTGAAAGCACGGTGGCTAGATGGGAATCCTTCAAGTTGTTACTAAAGTGCTGTGCACAAAAGTACACTAGAAGCATGAAAGCACGATTCAAGAACAAAGTTTTTACGCTTCAACTGGAACGTATTAGGGCTCTGTCAACGTCTGTATCAGGTGTTGAGACTAGGAATGCTATTGATCAAACTGACAGAGTGTCTACTGCTACAGGTGATGCTGAGCAGCAGGTCAGGCAACTAGAAGTTTTGATTGAGAATCAGATACAGAAAGAGACTAGTCAGAATATGCTTCGCTCTGCCACTCGTTGGTTAGAACAGGGAGAACGTAGCAACAAGTATTTCTATCGTTCGATCAAAGGTGCGAGAGTCTCAACAGACAATTCAATCCTTAAAGTGCTCTACTACTGGAGATATCTTGGTGGAAGCAGCAGCTATCAACAGGGAGGCACAAGGTTTTTACCAAAGGCTATATACCCCTGATGCTGTCGATGCTGAAGCTATCGATACTCTCCTGGGGAATGTTCCAACTGATGTACGTCTATCATCCTTGGATGGTGATATGCTAATGGAACTTCCAACTCGCGATGTTTTGTTGTCTTTGCTCACTCATGCTCCCAGTCCTGGTCTTGACGGTTTGCCTTTTGAATTGTATCAATATCTTGCTGGTGTTTCAACTGATTTTCTTGA